ATTCATTCTTTGTATTCTTGCGTTAGTATTCATGTTTTCATCTGTACTCTGTATTTTCTCACTGTTTTGTCCAATTATGTCCCCCCCCCCTCCACCCCCACTGATATTGCTCGGTAAATGGGCCGTTATGTTTACCAGCCTCTGTGTCTTGGTGGTGTTATGTCACTCCCCAGCCTCTGTGTCTTGGTGGTGTTATGTGTCACTCCCCAGCCTCTGTGTCTTGATGGTGTTATGTGTCACTCCCCAGCTTCTGTGTCTTGATGGTGTTATGTGTCACTCCCCAGCTTGTGTGTCTTGATGGTGTTATGTGTCACTCCCCAGCTTCTGTGTCTTGATGGTGTTATGTGTCACTCCCCAGCTTGTGTGTCTTGATGGTGTTATGTGTCACTCCCCAGCTTCTGTGTCTTGATGGTGTTATGTGTCACTCCCCAGCTTGTGTGTCTTGATGGTGTTATGTGTCACTCCCCAGCTTCTGTGTCTTGATGGTGTTATGTGTCACTCCCCAGCCTCTGTGTCTTGATGGTGTTATGTGTCACTCCCCAGCTTGTGTGTCTTGATGGTGTTATGTGTCACTCCCCAGCTTCTGTGTCTTGATGGTGTTATGTGTCACTCCCCAGCTTCTGTGTCTTGATGGTGTTATGTGTCACTCCCCAGCCTCTGTGTCTTGATGGTGTTATGTGTCACTCCCCAGCTTCTGTGTCTTGATGGTGTTATGTGTCACTCCCCAGCTTCTGTGTCTTGATGGTGTTATGTGTCACTCCCCAGCCTCTGTGTCTTGATGGTGTTATGTGTCACTCCCCAGCTTGTGTGTCTTGATGGTGTTATGTGTCACTCCCCAGCTTCTTTGTCTTGGTGAAAGTATGTATCCCTCCTCAGCCTGTGTGTGTTTCCGGTGCTCCGTCTCCATCATTTCTTGGACACTCTTCCCCCTTTTCATTATTCCAAACAGTGGCATGTACAAGCACACTCCCTGGAGCCTCCAAGTGGTTGGGCACCATTCCTCCCTTCCCCCCCTCCCCCCCCCACCGTCCCATCCCAAATCCTTATCCTGACCCCTTGCTAGTGCTACATAGTCGTAATGGCTTGGCGCTTTCCCCTGATAGTTCCCTCACTCCCTAGAGCAATTCATTTCCATAAATAAGGAACAGAAGAGGGTCCCAGGACCGAGCCTCTGGGAACCCCAATCGTTACCTTCCTAGCTCCAACTCTCAGTCCAGCCCGTCCTCCTAAGGTTTCCCAACGTCAAGAAACTGTCGTACTAAAGTGTTCTTATTCTGACTAACCAGAGGACCCAAAACAGAAAACGGGACAGTATGTCAATTTCGTGAGAAGCAACCATTTTCTAGTACGACGATTTTTGGCCTTAGGTGGAGTATACGTCAAAATGCGACGCTCTATTAGGAGGACGGATTGTTCTGCTCACCAATTCGTAGTTTAACCTGTTCAGTGTCTTTCTAGTTATCCCTCGTTTGCTTGCATGTTATTATTTGTGTGTACTTGTACCTAATTGTGCTTGCGGGGGTTGAGCTTTGGCTCTTTGGTCCCGCCTCTCAACCGTCAATCAACAGGTGTACAGGTTCCTGAGCCTATTGGGCTCTATCATATCTACATTTGAAGCTGTGTATGGAGTCAGCCTCCACCACATCACTGCCTAGTGCATTCCATCCGTTAACTACTCTGACACTGAAAATTCTTTCTAACGTCCCTGTGGCTCATTTGGATACTCAGTTTCCACGTGTGTCCCCTTGTTCGCGTACGTGTGTATGTGTGTGTGTGTGTGTGTGTGTGTGTGTGTGTGTGTGTGTGTGTGTGTGTGTGTGTGTGTGTGTGTGTGTGTGTGTGTGTGTGTGTGTGTGTGTGTGTGTGTGTGTGTGTGTGACAGACTATCTGTCTGCCTGTCAGTGAGCAAACAAGGAGCTCAGCCACAGGGTAAACCTCAAAGACTTGACAACAGCCATCGATCACATCCAGCAGCTGCTGAGACTGGGTCAGACCTCAGGGTCAAGGACCGCTGCTTCAGACGCTCTTCCCGCCAAAACGCTAAATCAGTGTTGACTTAGCAAGAACCTTTCCAAGCGTTGTAGGTGGGGGTTAAGTGCCCCGTGGATCACTAACCCCGTGGGTGTTGTAGGTGGGGTTAAGTGTCTCGTGGATCACTAACCCCGTGGGTGTTGTAGGTGGGGTTAACTGTCTCGTGGATCACTAACCCCGTGGGTGTTGTAGGTGGGGTTAACTGTCTCGTGGATCACTAACCCCGTGGGTGTTGTAGGTGGGGTTAACTGTCTCGTGGATCACTAACCCCGTGGGTGTTGTAGGTGGGGTTAACTGTCTCGTGGATCACTAACCCCGTGGGTGTTGTAGGTGGGGTTAACTGTCTCGTGGATCACTAACCCCGTGGGTGTTGTAGGTGGGGTTAACTGTCCCGTGGATCACTAACCCCGTGGGTGTTGTAGGTGGGGTTAACTGTCCCGTGGATCACTAACCCCGTGGGTGTTGTAGGTGGGGTTAAGTGTCCCGTGGATCACTAACCCCGTGGGTGTTGTAGGTGGGGTTAAGTGTCCCGTGGATCACTAACCCGTGGGTGTTGTAGGTGGGGTTAAGTGTCCCGTGGATCACTAACCCCGTGGGTGTTGTAGGTGGGGTTAACTGTCTCGTGGATCACTAAGTCTGATCCACGGGACTTTTGCGAACCTACACTTTAAGTGTGTAGGTTCGCAAAGGTCATCACGATATTGGTCAGTCTGGCGTCTGCCTCTTACCTAATTCCCTCTCTTTCCTCAATTGCAACCGAGGAAATATCACGATTCCTACGTAGGCACTGGATGTTGATCATCTGTTTCCCACATTACGTCGGACGGCTCTGCAACAACCTAACAGGAGTTAAAGGAGCGTTTAATGACTAAAGATCAATCTGAGGCAAGAAGTCTTAAACCTCTGTATGCACGACTCAACCTGAAGGGAATCTTGCATTAGGTACCCGGATCATTGTGGGAGAGTCTTGACTTGCGAAATCAACCTCGAGGAGGTATTGTGAGTGAGAGGAGTGGGGTGGGTGAGAGGTTGGTGGGTGTGTGGTGGGTGAGAGGTTGGGACGTTTGCAACTGAGGGTGTTGGGAGAGTGAAGACAGGTCAGAGGAAGGACGCTGAGAGGTCAGGCCTCTGAGGTGGAGGGAAAGGGAAGAAGTTATCAGGGAAAAGCGCCAGGTTAATTCGTCTATACAGCACTGCGAAGGGATCAGGATAAGGATTTGGGATGGGACGGGTGGGAAGGAATAGTGCCCAACCACTTAGACGGTCGGGGATTGAACACCGACCTGCATGAAGCGAGACCGTCGCCCTACCGTCCAGCCCAAGTGGCTGGCCTCTGAGGTGGAGTTGACGACGGAAACTATACGATAGATCTGCTCATCCCGTCCTCTGGGTTCTAAGGCTCACGGTCTCCTACAATTTGTTTAGCTATTTCGTCAAGTTCTGAGAGAAGCTCCAGAAATATATTTTCACATTTGTTAAAGTTACCCACAACAATCTTTCTCTGTAATTGGAAACTTGAGCTATTTGCAGCCCAGAATTTGGCGCGAATTAGTCGAGTTTCAGTTTCACTGTCCTCTCGTATGAATCTTTTCAGTACTGATCAACGATATAATTATTAACTACGTTATTTTTGCAGTGTTTACTTTGTTGCGTCACATGTAACAACGCTGTTACATAAAGGTGGTGGTTGCGTGTGTATTCACCTAGTCGTGCTTGCGGGGGTTGAGCTCTGCTCTTTCGGCCCGCCTCTCAACAATCAACTTTTTGTTTCGTTTTTCACACACACACACACACACACACACACACACACACACACACACACACGGGGCCTCGTAGCCTGGTGGATAGCGCGCAGGATTCGTAATTCTGTGGCGCGGGTTCGATTCCCGCACGAGGCAGAAACAAATGGGCAAAGTTTCTTTCACCCTGAATGCCCCTGTTACCTAGCAGTAAATAGGTACCTGGGAGTTAGTCAGCTGTCACGGGCTGCTTCCTGGGGTGTGTGTGTGTGTGTTGTGTGGAAAAAAAAAGTAGTTAGTAAACAGTTGATTGACAGTTGAGAGGCGGGCCGAAAGAGCAAAGCTCAACCCCCTTAAAAACACAACTAGTAAACACACACACACACACACACTTAAACTAGCTAAACACAGATGCCGAAGAAATATAAGAAAATTCACCTTCGCAAATAGAGTGGTAGACGGTTGGAACAAGTTAAGTGAGGTGGTGGAGGCCAAGACCGTCAGTAGTTTCAAAGCGTTATATGACAGGTGGAATGCATTAGGCAGTGATGTGGTAGAGGCAGACTCCATAAACATTTTCAAATGTAGATATGATAGAGCTCAATAGGCACAGGAACCTGTACACAAGTTGATTGACAGTTGTGATGCGGGACCAAAGAGCCAGAGCTCAACCCCCGCAAGCACACCTAGGGGAGTGCTCACACACATATGCACTAGTTACAAACGCGATCATGAATATCACATCCTTGTTGCACTTGCAACAGGCAGTGACGTGAAGAGGAGACGGAGAGGCTGTGTAGTGTGTGGTGGAGTGATGGTGTGGTATGTGGTGTGTGGTATGTGGTGTGTGGTGTGGTGTGGTGTATGTGGTGTGGTGTGGGTTATAGCACTTGTAGCTATATGTTCTTCTATATATATATATATATATATATATATATATATATATATATATATATATATATATATATATATATATATATATATATATATATATATATATATAACCTTCTCCATAACAGAAAGAAAGAGAAAACATGTAATATAAATAATAATAATAATAATAATAATAATAATAATAAAAATAATAATAATAATAATTAGTAATAATAATAATAATAATGACAATATTTTTAATAATAACAATAGTGACATAATAATAATAATAATAATAATAATACGCACACTAGGACGGGGCAGGTAGTCTACTACACCTCACCTATCACTTTCCAGCACCACCGGGGCTTCGAATCCCAGCGGAGATGGACGTCCTGTACTTCAAGTTGAATCACGAGCAGCTGGGCAACAGGGTGAAGCGTGCCATCCTCCACGTGTGGCTCAAGCCCATGTACTCGGAGCTGGACCGCACCGTCCCCGTCACCGTCTACAAGGTCTCCAGACCAGACAACCCGGACGACTTCATCAACACCAACGTAAGTCTTGTTTCGTGAGAGCCAACGTAAGTCTTGTCTCATGAGAGGCAACGTAAGTCTGTGACTTGAGACGTAAGAGTAGAGCAACCGTAAGTCTATGACTTGAGACGTAAGAGTAGAGTAACCGTAAGTCTATGACTTACGACGTCCTCAACTCTTGCTGACTATCGCAGTGTGTTTAAAAGCAACTTTGTATATATTTGTTGTGCTTCCTAGTTTTCGTGGCCGCGTACTGTCTACTTGTTCGCCTCTACTATCTACTCTCCATGCTTCTTTTGTTCGAGGTTATCTATCTATCTATCTATCTATCAGTGGTCCTCTCTGCCCACTATTGCCTTTCTTTTCTGATCTTGTTTGGTGTATTCACCTAGTTGTGTTTGCTTTGCTTTTTCGGCCCGCCTCTCAACTGTCAATCAACTGTTTACGAACTACTTTTTTTCCACACCACACACACACACCCTCAAGGAAGCAGCCCGTGACAGCTGACTAACTCTCAGGTACCTGTTTACTGCTAGGTAAACAGGGAATCACGGTGAAAGAAACTCTGCCCATTTGTTTCCGCCATCGCCAGGGATCGATCCCGGAATCTAGGACTACGACTCCCAAGCGCTGTCCATTCAGTCGTAAGGGCCCCCTCTGTGTATATGAATTTGTACTCACCTAGTTGTACTCACCTAGTTGTACTCACCTAGTTGTGCTTGCGGGGGTTGAGTTTTGGCTTTTTGGTCCCGCCTCTCAACCGTCAATCAACTGATGTACAGAGTCCTGAGCCTACTGGGCTCTATCATATCTACATTTGAAATTGTGTATGGAGTCAGCCTCCACCACATCACTGCCTAATGCATTTCATTTACTAACTACTCTGACACTGAAAAAGTTCTATCTAATGTCTCTGTGGCTCATTTGGTTACTCAGCTTCCACCTGTGTCTCCTTGTGCGTATACCGCCCGTGTTAAATAATTCATCCTTGTCTACCCTGGCAATTCCCCTGAGAATTTTGTATGTGGTGATCATGTCTCTTCGAGCTCTTCTGTCTTCCAGCGACGTGAGGTGCAGTTCACGCAGCCTTTCCTCATAACTCATGCCTCTTAGTTCTGGGACTAGCCTAGTGGCATACCTCTGAACTTTTTCCAGCTTCATCTTGTGCTTGACAAGGTACGGGCTCCATGCTGAGACCGCATACTCCAGGATTGGCCTTACATATGTGGTATATAAGGTTCTGAAGGATTCCTTACACAGGTTTCTGAAAGCAGTTCTGGTTTTAGCCAGCCTCGCATAGGCCGCTGATGTTATTCTTTTGATGTGGGCTTCGGGAGACAGGTTTGGCGTGATATCTACTCCTAGATCTTTCTCTCTGTCCGTTTCCTGAAGGACTTCAACTCCCATTCTGTATCCAGTGTCTGGCCTCCTATTTTCTCCTCCTAGTTTCATTACCTTACATTTACTTGGGTTGAACTTAAGTAGCCATTTGTTGGACGATTCCTTCAGTTTGTCTACTTCATCTTGGTGCCTCATACTATCTTCCTCTGTCTTGATCCTCCTCATAATTTTGGCATCGTCAGCAAACATTGAGAGAAATGAATCTATACCCTCTGGGAGATCATTTACATATATCAGAAACAAGATAGGACCAAGTACAGAGCCCTGTGGGACTCCACTGGTGACTTCACGCCAATCTGAGGTTTCACCCCTCACCGTAACTGTCTGCTTCCTATTGGTTAGGTACTCCCTTATCCACTGGAGCACCTTACCAGCTACACCTGCCTGTCTCTCGAGCTTATGTACCAGCCTCTTATGCGGTACTGTGTCAAAGGCTTTCCGACAATCCAAGAAAATGCAGTCCGACCAGCCTTCTCTCTCTTGATTAATCTTTGTCACCTGGTCGTAGAATTCTATTAAGCCCGTCAGGCAAGATTTACCCTCCCTGAACCCATGTTGGCGATTTGTCACGAAGTCCCTTCTCTCCAGATGTGTTACCAGGTTTTTCTCACGATCTTCTCCATCACCTTGCATGGTATACAAGTCAAGGACACTGGCCTGTAGTTCAGTGCCTCTTGCCTGTCGCCCTTTTTGTATATTGGGACCACATTCGTCGTCTTCCATATTTCTGGTAGTGTGTGTGTGTGTGTGTGTGTGTGTATAGTCACCTAGTTGTGCTTGCGGGGGTTCAGCTCTGGCTCTTTGGTCTCGCCTCTCAACTGTCAATCAACTGATGTACAGGTTCCTGAGCCTACTAGGCTCTATCATATCTACACTTGAAACTGTGTATGGAGTCAGCCTCCACCACATCACTTCCTAATGCATTCCATTTGTCAACCACTCTGACACTAAAAAAGTTCTTTCTAATATCTCTGTGACTCATTTGGGCATTCAGTTTCCACCTGTGTCCCCTAGTGCATGTGCCCCTTGTGTTAAATACCCTGTCTTTATCTACCTTGTCGATTCCGTTGAGAATCTTGAATGTGGTGATCATGTCCCCCCTAACTCTTCTGTCTTCCAACGAAATGAGGTTTAATTCCCATAGTCTCTCCTCGTAGTTCATACCTCTCAGCTCGGGTACTAGTCTGGTGGCAAACCTTTGAACCTTTTTCAGTTTAGTCTTATGCTTGACTAGATATGGACTCCATGCTGGTGCCGCATACTCCAGGATTGGTCTGACATATGTGGTATATAATGTTCTGAAAGATTCCTTACACAAGTTTCTAAAGGCCGTTCTTATGTTAGCCAACCTGGCATATGCCGCTGATGTTATCCTCTTGATATGAGCTTCAGGGGACAAGTCTGGCGTGATATCAACCCCCAGGTCTTTCTCTCTCTCTGACTCTTGAAGTATTTCATCTCCCAAATGATACCTTGTATCTGGTCTCCTGCTTCCTACCCCTATCTTCATTACATTACATTTGCTTGGGTTAAACATAAACTTGGGTTAAACGAGCTTATGCATCAACCTTTTATGGGGTACTGTGTGTGTGTGTGTGTGTGTGTGTGTGTGTGTGTGTGTGTGTGTGTGTGTGTGTGTGTGTGTGTGCGTGTGTGTGTATGCGTGCGTGCGTGCGTGCGTGTGTGCGCGTGTGTCGGGAGCCATCACAGTACTGGTTCAACAAGTAAACAAAGGACTAAACCCGAGGACTGCGCCTGGCTGAGACGCGCGAGAGGGAACACTACACAACTCCGCCACAAAATAAACTGCTCACAAAAAGAGTCAGGCGAGCATTTGGGGAAATATCAAGATTGTTGTTTATGAAAGAAGCGGCGCTGGTTGGGACCCGTATTATGTTATACCCGCCACACTCGTCCCGAGGCGCAGCAGTCAGCTGCGTTTGTTTATGCACGAATCGAAACTTGGGGTTTCAAGCAGAAATAAATATATGCACGATTAATCGATTTAATAGGTTCGCAAGGCCAGCGACGGTTCACAGCCCAATGGGCCCTGGTTCTCTTCCAGGGGAGGGAATTGGCACCCCGGCAGGGTACGTTTTCCTTAGAACCGATTTATGTCTATACTCCAACCAGTAAATGTGTAAATAGGAGTCAGCCGTTTGTTGTGGGAGGCATCAAGCTCGATCCCGGGTTTCAGAAGATCTCGATAAGAGTAATAGGCTTCAGCGTCAAAACAAAAGCTCAAGTTGGGGATATGACCTTTGGAAGGAAGAACAGGGTAAGATAGAGCAAGGAAGAAAGTAGGAAGAATGGGAACGAAAGAAATAGGGAAGATGAGAGGGAAAAAGGGGAGGAATTAGATTATTATGGTTTGTAAAGGAGAAATGGGAAAAAGAGAAAGAGAACCAGAGAGAGTGAGTTAGCTTTAGTGTGTTTGCTGATCATGTATGGATGAACCATACCTGTATGGATGAACCATACCTGTATGGATCAACCATACCGATATGGACGAACCATTCCTGTATGGATGAACCATACCTATATGAATGAACCACACCTGTATGGATGAACCACACCTGTATGGATGAACCACACCTGTATGGATGAACCATACAGGTATGAACGAACCAAGCAAGATAGCACTCCGACGTATGTGCCAGTGCCATCACAATGGCCCACTCGGCCCATCAGACCAGCCACGACACAAACAGCATCAGGGGCTAGGATAACACCGCTATCGCAGCCACAAGTGAAGGATTACCAAGGTTGTAGAGTTACACTATAGTTGTAACTTGTAGTTGTAACACAATAGAACTTGAAGCGACAACTGTAGAGTGCTAATGGTTGTAGTAAAAGTGGAGGAAGTTGTTGATGCATCAGTAGCATTGGGTGTAATGATAGTAGTAGTACCAACAGTTGTAGTAGCAGTAGATAAGTAGTAGTTGTAATAGAAGTAGACGAATCATTACCAACAGTAGACAACAGCGCCGTGAACGGGAGCGACACTACGAATTATGGACACGAGAGAGAGCTGCCAACCTTACCAATACACAAGAGAGAGCTGCCAACCTTACCAATACACAAGAGAGAGCTGCCAACCTTACCAATACACAAGAGAGAGCTGCCAACCTTACCAATACTCTCCTCCTTGCACCAGAAAGTGTCCACCCATCACAGCAGTCGAAGTTAATAATACTTGTAGTGAAGCCTCAATTTACGACTCAGAAAACCTTGAGGACACCGTGGTGGAAGGAGGCACCGTAGAGGCAGTCTTGAAGACACTTAATGCCTGTGAATGGATGCTCGTGTACTCTCAGTGAAACTCCTGTTATCTTTGTTATTTATGCCAGAGTTAGGACAGTTCAGTGGCCCTGTTACACGCCACTGTCCAAATAGTTTCGAGTCTTAAGCTCTATAAAATAAGCCAGACACCCACAAACCACGTGCAGAAAAATTGGGTAAGCAATAGTTATCTAGGTCAGTAGATATAGTTGTATCTACGAACCTTACGATACTAAACTATCGTCCCCCATCTGGGAACCATTTTCATGCCAGCAACTACATCTAGAAAAATCTGATGTAAATTGACAGACTGGCTGTCTGTCTCTGTCTATATCCAGAGAGATGACGGCCAATATTCCGGCACAGTTCATGTGGACGCCGCTGTCGCAGGCGTTCACCCGGTGAGGGAGCAGACGCCTCGCCAGGGGTGAGAGACGTCACCCCTATGACGATATATATATATATATATATATATATATATATATATATATATATATATATATATATATATATATATATATATATATATGTTTTTTTTATAAAATAGGGAAGGGAGTACCACCTCTGGCTGGAAGAAGGGGGACCCTTAGCATCGGAGGAAACCACACACAACGCAATAGAGGGAATGTTTAGGTCCCCTCCAATACAGTTTCTGTGTACTTTTCTCCTACCACCCCTTTCCCTATGATTTTTTTTCTTTATTGCATATACTTAAAGGTTACAAGATGTACATTGGTTGATGCAAAGAGTGCTCAAAGGTTGTGGATCTCTTGAAGCTCATCCGCTTCCGGACAGGAACCGAGGATGCAGCAGGCGTTTCCCCTCTGGATCGCCACACTGAGGCGCTGAAACAAAAAACTGGCAGCTCTTGGGTCTCTGGTGACGTCAATGAGCTTGGAGCCTAATTCCTTGAGAAATCCCAAGGCACTCTTGCCCCAGGGATCATGCGTCTCAGACGCTATAGGAACAAAGGTGTATTGACCTTCCAATCGTCTGTATTTGGCTGATTTTGCTATTTCCCAGTGGTTGGTCGCCCCACCTGCTTGATCAGCACCGAAGTGTACATAGGTGTCAGCCAGGGTGGATACACATGTGTAGTCCCACACCAACTGTTTGCTCCCCTTCCAGGAGTATATGGTGATGCCACCCGGGCGAAGTGCTGGGAAATCTGGGTTTTGGTTCCCTAAGATGCGTGGTTCTCTCACCACTGGGCACTGAGCTGAGGCGAGACTTCTCTTGATGATGTCATTGACCTCGTTGTGTCTTGCATGCCAGCCCTTTGTGCTTCCGCAATGCAACCCATGCAGTCCGTATTGGTCTGCTTCCACCCTGTTGCAAATACACTATTATTCAGTGTTAATTTTGGCACCAAGGCGGAGGGCCACTGCTACACGAAGGGATTCTGGATCTAGACGCGTGCCCATTGCCGACATGGGTACTGCCAGGAGGAAGTCTCCTGCATGGGGGGCACCCACTGCTCTGAGGCGGGCTTTCTCCTTGTCTGATGTTGCGGCGCTGAGCATGGCATCAGCTCTTTTTCTACTAGTAGGTGGTCCCAGCTGGACTGTTTGTGTTTTATGATGGTGCTAAGATGAGTGTTGGGGCTGCAAGAGCTTCCCACTGATTTGAGCATTCAGTGAAAGCAGGATCGTGTATACCTGCTGAATTACTCAGGAGTTCAAGTAGGATCGTGCGATGAATGGGAGGAGAAAAGGAAAGCTGGTAGAACAATATTATATTTATATATATATATATATATATATATATATATATATATATATATATATATATATATATATATATATATATATATATATATATATACATTCTCTCCTCCCTCTCTTCCGTTCTCTCCGCCTATCTCCCCTTTTCTCTTTCCCCTCTCTTCAAACATCTACCCTCTCCCCTCCTTGTTCCTTCCTTTTCTCCCTATGTGTGTCTTTGTCTTTCTCTGAGCGTTCTTGTCTGTCTATCTCTGTATTTTTATGTTTGTCTTCCAGTCTCTCTGCAGCCCTATCCCTGTCTGTCTGTGTCTGTCTGTCTGTGTCTGTCTGTCTTTGTCTCTTTGCTCTCTCTGTCTCTTTTATTTTATGAAAATAGTATAATAAACTACCATTGGCATGGAGCCGGTGGCTGAGTGGACAGAACACTGGACGCGTGATCCTGTGGTCCCGAGTTCGATCCCGGGCGCCGGCGAGAAACAAAGGGCGGAGTTTCTTTCACCCTGATGCGCCTGTTACCTAGCAGTAAATAGGTACCTGGGAGTTAGTCAGCTGTCATGGGCTGCTTCCTGGGGGTGGAGGCCCGGTCGAGGACCGGGCCGCGGGAGACTAAAGCCCCGAAATCATCTCAAGATAACCTCAAGATCTCAAGATTTGGGTGGTCCGCCGGTGGGAGGAGCCTAGTGGTGTGAAATATTAAAAATATATAATAGTTACCCATCTGCTTTGAGAAATGGGCGGGGATTGAAGACATCTTCGAAGCTGTGGAAGGAACGTCTGTTTTTACTGTTATAGCTAAAGTATGAATAGCAGGGAATTTATTGCTTGCCATTTTCTTTTCTGAATATTTAGCAAGGTGTAGCCAGTGGAGCAGTTCCAAAAATCATCGTGAAGGGGGTGGAGGGGGGGGGGGGGAGGGAAGGGGGGTCAGAATGTGACCCTGACACATTGTTCCCTCTTGAATTGTGGCGACTCCGACCAGCCTATGTCCGTCCTGTACCACAGACCATTCCCTTTGAAAAGTTGGAAGGGACTAGCCCCAAGCGTCTGGTCTCCTACCCTGGACATACAAAAAGACAGACAGACAAGGAAACACTATCTCAGATATAGACAATGAGATATAGATTGTCAATAATATAATTATGTAAATATAATATAATAGTGATTTTTTAAATGTTTTATTATTTATTTCTAAGTGTTTTTTCAATATTACTTTCCATTTATTTCTGGAGTGATGCCTCCCCCACTCTGGGAAAATGACGAATATGTATTAAGAATATAGCTGTTGACTGAGATTTGCCGCCCCGCAGGAGGTGACGACGGTGTCCGAATCCTTCGACGCCATGAAAGGGAACTGGGTGGACATCGAGGTGTTCAAGCTACTGCAGGAGTGGCTCAATAAGCCAGACGAGAACCTGGGCCTGGTGGTGACCGCCTACGACTCCCAGGGCAGACAGGTGGCAGTCACGGACCCCAGCGAGATGCCCACTAACGTGAGTACCTCTGACCTGATCTTAGAGGTCATTGAAGAGAACTAACCAACTCCACCCTCCTTATCCCCCCCCCACCTCTAGAACGCAAAGAAACGCCCTCTACCGACTACAATAACAACACCCCTTTCCAAAATGCCTAAGACAACCTTCTAACATGGAAACAAGACATTTCTTGGCCCCACAAGACGATGTCTTTTAACGTAAGAAACCTCGTCTTACTCTCTGTAGACCTGAGGTCGAGCTGTCTACGGCAGTGACAGTCCCAATTGATGGTCTGCAATGTTTGTATTCCTTACCCTGCTCCAAACACTCAATGTTTACACTCCTCACCCTGCTCCAAACACTCAATGTTTACACTCCTCACCCTGCTCCACTCAATGTTTACACTCCTCACCCTGCTCCACTCAATGTTTACACTCCTCACCCTGCTCCACTCAATGTTTACACTCCTCACCCTGCTCCACTCAATGTTTACACTCCACACCGTGCTCCTCCCCCATCACGCAACATTCAATGTACTCACCCCAAACACTCCAGTGAGTTACAACCTGCTTACCTCCCCAACGACGAAGGAGGTCATCTTTTACCATGTTTCATGCATGATGTATTATTTGTATATGTATGAATACATATACATTCTTATTATTGATGTCAATCAATTGGTGTACAGGTTCCTGAGCTTATTGGGCTGTATCATATATACATTTGAAACCCTGTATGTTTAATGTATCTCTGAATAATTAATTTTTCTCATTTACTCATTAAACATACAGGGTTTCAAATGTATATATGATACAGCCTAATAAGCTCAGGAACCTGTACACCAGTTGATTGACATCTGAGAGGCGGAACTAAAGAGCCGAAGCTCAACTTCCCTCCTTCCCATAAACACAATTAGGCGAGTACAATTTGGAGAGCACACACACACACACACACACACACACACACACACACACTTATTAGGAGGATTGAAACAGAGGATGATAGTAGGATGCTACAAGATGACCTAGACATATTGAGTGAATGGTCCAACAAATGGCTGTTGAAGTTCAACCCGAGTAAATGCAAAGTAATGAAACTAGGCAGTGGAAACAGGAGACAGAATAGGAGATGAAGTACTTAATGAAACGGACAGAGAGAAAGATCTAGGAGTTGATATCACACCAAACTTGTCTCCTGAAGCCCACATAAAAAGAATAACGTCTGCGACATATGCGAGGCTGGCTAACATCAGAACTGCCTTCGGGAACCTGTGTAAGGAATCATTTAGAAGCTTGTACACCACATATGTAAGACCAATCCTGGAGTATGCGGCCCCAGCATGGAACCCGTACCTTGTCAAGCAGAAGACGAAGCTGGAAAAAGTCCAAAGGTATGCCACTAGACTAGTCCCAGAACTAAGAGGCATGAGTTACGAGGAAAGGCTGTGGGAAATGCACCTTACGACACTGGAAGACAGAAAAGTAAGGGGAAACATGATCACAACCTACAAAACCCTCAGGGGGATCGACCGGGTAAACAAGGGTAAACTATTCAACACTGGTGGTACGGGAACAAGGGGACACAGGTGGAAACTGAGTACCCACATGAGCCACAGGGACGTTAGAAAGAACTTTTTCAGTGTCAGAGTAGTTAACAGATGGAATGCATTAGGCAGTGATGTGGTGGAGGCTGACTCCATACACAGTTTCAAATGTAGATATGATAGAGCCCAGTAGGCTCAGGAATCTGTACACCAGTTGATTGACAGTTGAGAGGCGGGACCAAAGAGCCAGAGCTCAACCCCCGCAAGCACAAATAGGTGAGCACAAATAGGTGAGTATACACACACACACACATAGGGGGGGGGCCTGAAAGCTTGATAGCTGAGTTGACAGCGCTCTGGACTCGTAATCCTAGGGTCCGGGTTCGATCCCCGGTGATGGCAGAAACAAAATGGGCAGGGTTTCTTTCACCCTAATGCACCTGTTACCTATCAGTAAATAGGTACCTGTGAGTTAGACAGCTGTTACGGGCTGCTTCCTGGGTGTGTGTTTGTGTTGAGGGGGGGGGGGAAGTAGTTAGTAACAGTTGATTGATTGACAGTTGAGAGGCGGGCCGAAAGAGCAGAGCTCAACCCCGCAAGCACAACTAGGTGAATATACACACACATAACCACAGACACACACACAAACACAGGGTTCAGGGAGGGTAAATCTTGCCTCACGGGTTTAATAGAATTCTATGATCAGGTGACAAAGATTAAGCAAGAAAGAGAAGATTAGGCAGACTGCATCTTCTTGATCTGTCCGAAACCTTTGGCACAGTACCCCTTAAGAGGATAGTGCATAAGTTGGAGAAACAGGCAAAAATATTGGTAGGGTGCTCCAGTTGATAAGTGGATAGGTAGCAGTACCTAAGCAATAGGAAGCAGAGAGTTACTGTGAGGGGTGAAACCTCAGATTGGCGTGAAGTCACAAGCGGAGTCCCACAGGGATCTGTACTCGGACATATCCTGTTTTTGATATACGTAAATTATCTTCCAAAGGAGTTTAGACTCATTCCTCTCAATGTTTGCTGATGTTTCCAAAATTATGAGAAGGATTAAGACAGAGGAGGACAGCTTGAGGCTTCAAGAAGACCTGGACAAACTAAAGGAATAGTCCAACAAAGGTTGTTAGAGTTTAACCCGAGCAAATGTATTATAATGAGGATTGGTGTAGGGAGCAGGAGGCCAGATACAAGTTATTATTTGGGAGATGAAATTCTTCTAGAATCTGAGAGAAAGACCTGGGGGGTTGATATCACACCAGACCTGTTCCCCGAAGCCCACACCAAGAGGATAACATCAGCAGCATATACCAGGTTAGCCAACATAAGAACGACCTTTATAAGATACTTGTGTAAGGAATTATTCAGAACCTTGTATACCACGTATGTCAGACCAATCCTGGAGTATGCAGCTCCAGCATGGAGTCCATATCTCGTCAAGCATAAGACTCAACTGGAGAAGGCTCAGAGGTTTGCCACCAGACTAGTGCCCGAACTAAGGGGCTTGAGCTATGAGGAGAGACTACGGGAATTAAACCTCACATCGCTGGAAGACAGGAGGATTAGGGAGGGACATGATCATCACATACAAGATTCTCAAAGGAACTGATAGGGTAGACAAAGACAGTTTATTTAACACAAGGGGCACACGCACTAGGGGACACAAATTGAAATTGAGTGAAAAATGAGCCATAAAAACATTAGATTTTTTTTAACGTCAGAGTAGTTAAAAAATGGAATGCATTAGGTAGTGATGTTGTGGAGGAAGACTCCATACACAGTTTCAAATGTAGATATGATAGAGCCCAGTAGGCTCTACTGGGTGTACACCAGTTGATTGACGGTTGAGAGACAGGACCAAAGAGACAAAGCTCAACCCCCGCAAGCACAACTAGGAGAGTACACGGAGGTCTTGCAGCTGAGTAGACAGCGCTCGGGAGTCATAGTCCTAAGGGCCAGGGATCGATTCCCGGACGAAGCGGAAACAAATGGGCCGAGTTTCTTTCTGATGCACCTGTTGACCTAGCAGTAAATAGGTACATGGGAGTTAGACAGCTGCTTCCTGGGATGTGTGTGTGTAGGTGTGTGCCGAGGGAAATATGTGTAGTAGATATACTAGAGGAAAAATAAGTTGGTTAGAAAGGCGGGGTCCAAAAGCTGATAGCTCGGTTCTGCAGACACAAATAGTAAATACACCCCACGTAACACCTACACACACACCTCTTAACACTTCCTTGCTCATTACACCTCTTCCTGACCCCCTCCCTCCCCCAATCTTTCAATACTGACACCCTCTCAACTCTCCCCCCCCCCTCTCTCCCTCTCTCTCTCTCCCCCTCGCACCCTCCCTCCACCATAGCGCACCTTGAACGGTAATGAGACCAGCCACTAGACTCAGCCCTCACAACATTGATTTCCCTTACACTGATTAGTGAAACAGCAGCTGGTCTGGCCGCTAGCGAGTCTGGCAGGAGGGCTGGGAGGGGAGGGGCAGGAGGGATGGGAGGGGGAGGGGCAGGAGGGCTGGGAGGGAGAGAGGAAGGGGGGGTTGGGCGGGAGAAAGGGAAGGGGGGCTGGGACTGAGAGAGGCAGGTGGGCTGGCGGGAGAGAGGGAGGGGGGCTGGGAGAGAGAGAAGGAGGGGGTGGGCTGGGACTGAGAGAGGGAGGGGGCTGGGCGGGAGAGAGGGAGGGGGGGGCTGGGACTGACAGAGGCAGGGGGGCTGGGAGGGTCTGTTTAGAGGTAGCCTGCAATAACTGCGGTAGAAGTTGCAGTAAAAGTGGTTGTTGGATCAGTATTATTATTGCTAGTAATGCCGTTGGGGCCGCTTGGTGTTGCTCTAACAAGTGTGACGTTCACCTGCACCAACAGTAGTGATAACTGTTGCAACAACAGTAGGCTTTCCTGTTGCAACAAGCAGTGTCATCTATCAGGCGGGGGTCGAGAGGTGACGCATATTAAGAAGCGAGCTACCATAGGGATTCCAGATCCTTACGCAAGCATCTTACACGTTGAGGACCGGCTGTGGAGGCCAGGCGGCCCCTACAGCCGGCCAACCACAACCCAAGCGATATATGTAGTCAATTAGTACACTGTATACCACAGGGATTTACACACACACGTAACAGAGCCACGTGTCAACGTTCATATTAATATTCTCTAGTATACACATGTAACAAGCTGGGTAAGTGAACTCTGAGAGTAGAACTAACTTTTGCCTTGCCCCCAGCAGGCGCCGTTGCTGGAGATCCACACTGAGGAGACCATCAGGAACCGCTCCAAGCGGAACAGCGGCAGCAACTCCTTATGTAGCAACAGCAACAACAAGGAGTCCCGCTGCTGCAGGTACCCGCTGGTCGTCAACTTCGTCGACTTGGGTTGGGACTTCATCGTGGCACCAAAGGTATACGAAGCCAACTTTTGTAACGGTAAATGTCCCTTCCTGCACGCTCACAAGTACGCCCACACCACCCTCATCCAGAAGCTGAACAGCACCAACGCCCAGCACGGCCCCTGCTGCGGGGCCAGAAAACTATCGCCGATGAAGATGCTGTACTACGACCATGATCATCAAATTAAATTCGACACAATCCAAGATATGGTGGTCGACCGGTGCGGGTGTTCGTAAGCCCCGCCCCGACTCCACTACTAACCGTTCTTTCCAATAAAAGATCTGTGATGGAGAGTAGATATAATTTAGACTCGTATTCCAGTATCCAGTCCAAGCACATATTTTTGACTGCTCTCGTTAGAATTAATTATAAACTGCAGTTGGTAACAGGTACAACTAAGTGATAATTCAAAATGCAATATGTCGCCGTTACATACGTTAAACAAGTCACTTAACTGCCACTGTCCAGCCAGTCAACAGTCTGATGGAGGCCTTATGAGGGCTGGCTGTAGCGGTCTCCTCTCTTCCTGTTGTGTGAAGCGGTCTCCTCCCTTCATCTAGTGTATGGTGACAAGGCCTCTTCACTGCCAGAGACGTGAAGCGGTCTCCTCACCACCTCTGTTGAGGAGAAGTTGCCTTCTCATTTAGCGTGATAACCGGCCAACACTCTCTTGAGCATCTTCTATTAGATATAAACTCGGATAAATGTATATATACATATATAAATATATGTATGTTTGTATGCAGCCGTGTCCAAACGGCAATCAATAGGCGGTATTGGAGTGACTGCGAGCCTGACTGATTGTAATATATTTGTGTTACGCCAGGTGTGTTACGCCAGGTGTGTGATAAGTGCTGTCTTTGTTACAACAGATGCTCTAATGTTGTGTGCACAAAGAAATCACATTACCGTGATGTATCAACGAGCAAATCAGTAGGAGCCGTGAGGAGGATTCGAATCTATGTTCTGGTGACTCCCAAGCACACGCCTTAGACCACTACACCAGAACATGGTCAAAGCAATGCAGCTTGTGATTTAACTGAATCCTCTAGGCTTCCTGAGATGTACACTGGCTCCAGTGTCGTGGTGTAGTGGTCTAAGGCGTTTGCTTGGAACTACCCAGAGCATAGGTTCGAATCCTTCTCACGGCTCTTACTGATTTGCTCTAATATTGTGTGCTTGAGCAAGCCTCTATAACTGGTATATTTAGGGCAAAATTGTGCAGTTTGAGGTACTTACCTGCGCGGAGACGTCCAGTGTTTGTATGGCGAATGAAATACACTGGTTTGAGTTTCTTCTAGATAACGTCTAAGATGATAGAGCCCATTGCAGGAGTTTCCAAACATCTTATAAATCATCCTATTAAGGCTAAGACCATGAAAACAAGGTACTGGCGAAGGTTCGCCCGGCGGGACTTTCAGTGGTGGCCTGTAGCAGAGTGACTTTGAGAGTCGTGTCTGCTCATTGTCAGAGGTACTCAGTCCCACCTACTGAGGCCAAGTCCAATGGCATGCCACACCTGTTGATCGCCAGACATATTGAACGCCAGTCCTGTTAAACGTCAAACTTTTTGATTATCAGACTCTCTGAACACCAGTCCTGCTGAACGATAGATCTATTAAGCATCAGACCTGACAAATGCCAGGTATGTTGAACGCGAGTTTTGCTAAACGCTAGTGCTACTCACCACCAGACCTGTTTAACGCCATGCTCCATAAACACCAGGTCGGATGAACGCCAGGATTATAAACGGCACGCCGGATGAACGCCAGGGCAGACGAAATCAGGCCAGATGAACGCCAGGCCTCCATTTTTATGGAACATCGAATGCATCTTCGCCAGAGTGTACTTGGCTCCAGTACTCTTCGTGGCGACTGCCTCTCCTTCTCCGTCTGCTCACTCAACACATTTTCTCACGAGTGTCAAGAATTCGAAAATAATTTGCCTAGTCAAATTTTCCTCTTAGATCTTATGCCTCATCCTTGCGTAGATTCCTCTGTTCCCCAGCTTTGGTAGCTGTGTAGTTGAGTACATATGAATATTTGTAGTAGCATGGAAGTAAATGTGTGTGGGCCTACATGGATACCATAGGCATTTTGACCACATGCCTATTCTCAGAATCTCCGCCATGATACGTTAAAGTGACATACTTGATAACCCATTTGATCAAGCCACCTAGTAGGCTTAATACTCCATTGAGCCTATGACGTTGAGAAACTCTGTGGACATTTAACAAGGTTCTCTAATCGACACATCCAGTTCCAGAACAAGAGACTCAACTTTCACAAGATTCAAGAAATATATGAAAACTGTATGACACAGGACCACAGCTTTTGGACATGACCAGTGTCACGTTATGCAGCTTCCTGGTGTTTCACGGCTCTCTCTCCCTTCTTGTCGTTGTTTAAGATTCAGCTACTCGCAACTAAATGTCTCAAGTAGCACGGGCTATGGTGAGCCCATAGTGGACTTACTGGCACAGGAGGGGAGCTGTAATTGCTCTCTCTCTCTCTCTCCTTTCCAATGTACTTATATATACGTCAACACATGTCTACTCCAGCTGGACCCCCTACCCAACCACTTGGGCTGGACGGGAGAGCGACGGTCTCCCTTCATGCAGATCGGCGTTCAATCCCCGACCGTCCAAGTGGTTGGGCACCATTCCTTTCACCCCATCCCATCCCATCCCAAATCCTTATCCTGATCCGCTTCCAAGTGCTATATAGTCGCAATAGTTTGGCGCTTTCCCTTGATAACTCCCTCTCTCCAGCTGGACCTCACACCCGAATTTTAGCTTGGCGAGTAAGCGAAGTCTAAAAAATCATCCACTGAACTAACGAGAATAGAGCAGGATCTAGATGTTCACTTGATCTAGATCATTTTACCTGAACTGCAGCAGGACTGACAACCCCAAACCCCAGCTGGGATTCCTCACAGCCTGGCTGGGACGTCCCACAGCCTGGCTGGGACGTCCCACAGCCTGGCTGGGACGTTCAACAGCCCGGCTGGGACGTCCCACAGCCTGGCTGGGACGTCCCACAGCCTGGCTGGGACGCTCCACAGCCCGGCTGGGACGTTCCACAGCCTGACTGGGACGTCCCACAGCTTGGCTGGAACCCTCGACAGTATGGGCTGGAACCCACCACAGTATGGCTTTCCATATAAAAGCTAGAAATAAAAGGAAACCCAACCGTCACATCAGAAAGCTTCGCCTGCACTTGCTTCAGTTAGCGAGCGTCAAGCTTGGTGTTGTTGATGTTGTGTATGTGAGAGTGAGAGCGGTCTATGCTAGGAAGCATCCATGGTCCGTGTTCCTGGTTGCTGCTATTGATACAAATATTATTATTATTCAGACAACGAGTCATAATAACGTGACTGAAGACATGAGGGCCAAACCACACACCAGGAGATGAAGAGACGACGACGTTTCTGTCCGTCGTGGACCGTTATCAGGTCGATTGTGATACTGTCACAATGCAGCTTGATAATGGTCCACGACGGTCCGAAACGTTGTGGTTTCTAAATCTTCCGTTGTGTGGTTTGGTCATCAACCATTATTATTACTCCCAATGTGACTCATTACAAGTAATAGTTCTTCTATTATTGTTATGGTTTCTACTATTGATCATCTGTGAAACACTTCTGCAACTATGACTATTATTGCAATGAATGTATCTATTACTGCTATTATTGGTATTTCCTCAACTATTGCTTATTCTCCTGCTATCACCCTGTGACTAGGCCTATTAATAGGACTAATACTGTCGCCTGGCGTAGATCATTCCTTCCACCTTAAAGAACAACCACATGACTGTGATCAGATTGAATTCTTACAGCGGTTATCGAACCATATAGCGGTTATCGAACCATATAGCGGTTATCAAATCATCCAGTGATTATCGACGTTTTACAAGCACTTTATATCTATAAAATAAAGTGCAAAGTACAAATATTACAATTCGTAGTTAAGACATTTGTTTAGTCTAAGATTATAAGATAAGATAAAACACTTTATGCTAGAAATTCTCTCTCTCTTTTCTCTTTTTTTTTGGTTTCTGCGTGGGACGCCTTTGGTATTAGGTGTTGAGAGTCGCGCTCTCTGGCTATATACCGTAGAGAGAACACGGTAATATATATATATATATATATATATATATATATATATGATGAAGGAGATATGTTTAAGGGTTTCACTGCAAAACTGAACGAAAACATGCAAACTTAGCTACATAGTTGTGATTAGGGCATCTTCTTTAGCCATATTTGACTGTTGCTGTCCAATTTTAGTCATAAGCTGCACTAGAGAGCAGTCGAGGAGGGGTATTACAGAGTCCACTGAGGCAGGGAAGTTTTCTGACTCTTGGCTACGTCTTGGGCGCCGGCCACCGTCAAAGTCGTATTCTGTATGCTGCCATGCTACATTCCTAAGAAACCTGACTGTCCCCCCCCCCCCAATAAGGACATGCATCTCCGAACCCTTGACTGAGACCTAGCTGGTAATGATGGAGAGAGGAGATCGTTCACACGCGAGAGACGCCGTCGTCGGAGGAGGAGGTGGGTGCACCCGTGTCTCCTTGTTGATGGTTGTGGTGATTTACGTCTGAATGGCTGGTAACGAGGTGATTATAATACATGGTAGGCCTACCTGATAACCCACGGGGCAAGGGCAGCCCGCTCACCGGTTCGCCCACCATAGGTGGTGAGTGGAAGGTACTTCTCTCCCACCGCTATCAGTGGGCATAGTCGTGTCATGGGAGACGCCCTCCCGAGCACCACCAGCGGAACAAGCCATTCTCCAGAGGAAACCACTCTGCCTCTCAGTAGGTGGCGCCACAAATGACCATTAAATCTTTCAAATTTTGCGGTGGAGGACCAGTTTATTGGGCAGCGTCACTCAGCCTGTGAGTGAACATACAGCCATAGGGAGAGTACTGGGCAGCGTCACTCAGCCTGTGAGTGAACATACAGCCATAGGGAGAGTACTGGGCAGCGTCACTCAGCCTGTGAGTGAACATACAGCCATAGGGAGAGTACTGGGCAGCGTCACTCAGCCTGTGAGTGAACATACAGCCATAGGGAGAGTACTGGGCAGCGTCACTCAGCCTGTGAGTGAACATACAGCCATAGGGAGAGTACTGGGCAGCGTCACTCAGCCTGTGAGTGAACATACAGCCATAGGGAGAGTACTGGGCAGCGTCACTCAGCCTGTGAGTGAACATACAGCCATAGGGAGAGTACTGGGCAGCGTCACTCAGCCTGTGAGTGAACATACAGCCATAGGGAGAGTACTGGGCAGCGTCACTCAGCCTGTGAGTGAACATACAGCCATAGGGAGAGTACTGGGCAGCGTCACTCAGCCTGTGAGTGAACATACAGCCATAGGGAGAGTACTGGGCAGCGTCACTCAGCCTGTGAGTGAACATACAGCCATAGGGAGAGTACTGGGCAGCGTCACTCAGCCTGTGAGTGAACATATAATCATAGAGCGTGTACAGCTCCCTTTCCCCACAATAGGAAGAAAACCGGTAGGGTTGTTCATCCCTTGAGTGAACATATCACTATAGCAGCATACTTTCAGCAGCACCCCTTAACAGGATATTAGGCTGTTAGATTCTTCATCGTGGAAGAGGCCTGATCATGGACCGGGCCGCTGGGACGTTGAGCCCCGAAATCAACGCAATGTAACCCTGTCACCTGTACCCGGACGGAACTGGAACTCACCTGTCTCTTGTGAACTGACTGTCAAACAAGGAGATTAACATTTACCAACGTCCGAAATCCATCATGCTATGGATGCAAGGTGAGGGAGGACACTTTTAATAACAGTGTCCTTAGTTGACAAACATTTTCCTTGCTCAAACAATGTAGCATTTGTTTTATAAATAATGTTTCTAACAGAAATTTATATAAAGAGTTGAAGTTGTTTTATGTAATATTTCGGGAGGTTTTAAACTCATTTGCATTCAGTATTTAACCTATGGTATTCTCTTTAGAATTTGAACTTTTCTGTCAAGAAATTATGAACTAGTTTTTGTGTGTGTATATATATATATATATATATATATATATATATATATATATATATATATATATATATATATATATATATATATATATATATATATATATTTGTGTCCAGTTATGCAACGTGCATTCAGTTCAGATTTGTAAACGCTCACTGTGATTGTTAATTTAATTATGTTATACAGCAATCGGATTGTATTTTGGGTTATGACATTTCAATCGGCGTGGTAAGTTTTGCAACACGTATCCAAGGTGTCTGATCAGCTTTGCAAGATCAATACAGTTTGCAACACTGTCTCTTGAGTTCTGATTTCGATAAGTTCTCCGTTTTCTGTATTTTGCGAAAAGTAGACACTTTACTTTGCCCAACCCAATAAACAACATAATTTTGATTATAAATTGCAATTTATATCCAATTTATATGACGTGGATCACTAATTCCTCTGAGCTTCAGTAGTAGCTCCGTCCCACTGACACTCAGAAGGCGTGCCCAGCCGTCCCACAGACACTCAGAAGGCGTGCCCAGCCATCCCACAGACACTCAGAAGGCGTGCCCAGCCGTCCCACAGACACTCAGAAGGCGTGCCCAGCCATCCCACAGACACTCAGAAGGCGTGCCCAGCCGTCCCACAGACACTCAGAAGGCGTGCCCAGCCGTCCCACAGACACTCAGAAGGCGTGCCCAGCCGTCCCACAGACACTCAGAAGGCGTGCCCAGCCGTCCCACAGACACTCAGAAGGCGTGCCCAGCCGTCCCACAGACACACAAGGCGTGCCCAGCCGTCCCACAGACACTCAGAAGGCGTGCCCAGCCGTCCCACAGACACACAGAAGGCGTGCCCAGCCGTCCCACAGACACACAGAAGGCGTGCCCAGCCGTCCCACAGACACTCAGAAGGCGTGCCCAGCCGTCCCACAGACACACAGAAGGCGTGCCCAGCCGTCCCACAGACAATCAGAAGGCGTGCCCAGCCGTCCCACAGACACACAGAAGGCGTGCCCAGCCGTCCCACAGACACACAGAAGGCGTGCCCAGCCGTCCCACAGACACACAGAAGGCGTGCCCAGCCGTCCCACAGATAGAAGGCGTGCCCAGCCGTCCCACAGACAGAAGGCGTGCCCAGCCGTCCCACAGACACTCAGAAGGCGTGCCCAGCCATCCCACAGACACTCAGAAGGCGTGCCCAGCCGTCCCACAGACACTCAGAAGGCGTGCCCAGCCATCCCACAGACACTCAGAAGGCGTGCCCAGCCGTCCCACAGACAGAAGGCGTGCCCAGCCGTCCCACAGACAGAAGGCGTGCCCAGCCGTCCTACAGACAGAAGGCGTGCCCAGCCGTCCCACAGACAGAAGGCGTGCCCAGCCGTCCCACAGACAGAAGGCGTGCCCAGCCATCCCACAGACACTCAGAAGGCGTGCCCAGCCGTCCCACAGACAGAAGGCGTGCCCAGCCATCCCACAGACAGAAGGCGTGCCCAGCCATCCCACAGACACTCAGAAGGCGTGCCCAGCCGTCCCACAGACAGAAGGCGTGCCCAGCCGTCCCACAGACAGAAGGCGTGCCCAGCCGTCCCACAGACAGAAGGCGTGCCCAGCCGTCCACAGACAGAAGGCGTGCCCAGCCGTCCTACAGACAGAAGGCGTGCCCAGCCGTCCCACAGACAGAAGGCGTGCCCAGCCGTCCCACAGACAGAAGGCGTGCCCAGCCGTCCCACAGACAGAAGGCGTGCCCAGCCGTCCAACAGACAGAAGGCGTGCCCAGCCGTCCAACAGACAGAAGGCGTGCCCACCTGTCCCACAGATAGAAGGCGTGCCCAGCCATCCCACAGACAGAAGGCGTGCCCAGCCGTCCCACAGACAGAAGGCGTGCCCAGCTGTCCCACAGACACTCAGAAGGCGTGCCCAGCCGTCCCACAGACACTCAGAAGGCGTGCCCAGCCGTCCCACAGAGAGAAGGCGTGCCCAGCCGTCCCACAGACACTCAGAAGGCGTGCCCAGCCATCCCACAGACACTCAGAAGGCGTGCCCAGCCATCCCACAGACACTCAGAAGGCGTGCCCAGCCATCCCACAGACACTCAGAAGGCGTGCCCAGCCGTCCCGCAGACACACAGAAGGCGTGCCCAGCCATCCCACAGTCAGAAGGCGTGCCCAGCCGTCCCACAGACACTCAGAAGGCGTGCCCAGCCATCCCACAGACACTCAGAAGGCGTGCCCAGCCGTCCACAGCACCAGCCGTCCCACAGACACTCAGAAGGCGTGCCCGTGACCTCAGAAGGCGTGCCCAGCCGTCGTCCCACAGACACTCAGAAGGCGTGCCCAGCCATCCCACAGACACTCAGAAGGCGTGCCCAGCCGTCCCACAGACACTCAGAAGGCGTGCCCAGCCATCCCACAGACACTCAGAAGGCGTGCCCAGCCATCCCACAGACACTCAGAAGGCGTGCCCAGCCGTCCCGCAGACACACAGAAGGCGTGCCCAGCCATCCCACAGTCAGAAGGCGTGCCCAGCCATCCCACAGACACTCAGAAGGCGTGCCCAACCGTCCCACAGACAGAAGGCGTGCCCAGCCATCCCACAGACACTCAGAAGTGCCCAGTGCCTCAGCCAGCCGTCCAGACACAGAAGACACGTCAGAAGGCGTGCCGTTCCACAGACCCAGCCAGTCCCACAGTCCCACAGACAGAAGGCGTGCCCAGCCATAGACACCACAGGCGTGCCCAGCAGAAGGCGTGCCCAGAAGGCGTCCCACAGACACTCAGAAGGCGTGCCCAGCCGTCCCACAGACACTCAGAAGGCGTGCCCAGCCGTGCCCAGCCGTCCACAGACACTCAGAAGGCGTGCCCAGCCATCCCACAGACACTCAGAAGGCGTGCCCAGCCGTCCACCACAGACACTCAGAAGGCGTGCTCACCTGTCCCACAGACAGAAGGCGTGCCCAGCCGTTCCACAGACAGAAGGCGTGCCCAGCCATCCCACAGACACTCAGAAGGCGTGCCCAGCCGACGACACTCAGAAGGCGTCCCAGCCGTCCCACAGACACTCAGAAGGCGTGCCCAGCCGTTCCACAGACAGAAGGCGTGCCCAGCCGTCCCACAGACACTCAGAAGGCGTGCCCACCTGTCCCACAGACAGAAGGCGTGCCCACCTGTCCCACAGACAGAAGGCGTGCCCACCTGTCCCACAGACAGAAGGCGTGCCCACCTGTCCCACAGACAGAAGGCGTGCCCAGCCGTCCCAGACAGAAATGTGTCATAATTCTCTGTAAATCGAAGGGGGGCAGAGCTGGTTGAACAAAACTTTAAAAAATACTCCAACAAATACTAATACAAATAATTATTATAATTATGGTAATAATGATATTAATAATAATTGTAAAATAATAATAATAAAATAACAATAAAAAATAATAAATGGGAAAAAATATTAATAATAAATATTTGTGCGTGTTTGCATATACGCCTCTTGATCTCACTTGAGTTTGTGTGGATGTGAAGTTTCGCGCCGTCCCCCCTCCTCTCTTTTCCCCCCTTTCTTGTTAGGCTTTATTAATACTTTGGTCCGGTGAAGGGGAATGATGTGTGTGTGTGTGTGTGTGTGTGTGTGTGTGTGTGTGTGTGTGTGTGTGTGTGTGTGTGTGTGTGTGTGTGTGTGTGTGTGTCAAAGCCAGGTCTTACGACCTGATTCATCAACGGACAACCTAAAGGTTGGAATCAGTCTCATTGTGTGAATATGTCAACCTTACGAACTACTTAAAATTATAATCATTTTTTTCTACAATTATATATATACCCTGTGATAGTGAGTGTCTACGATACCTTTGTCTACTATTCAAGGAATTGTAATATACATATATTCATATATAGGTCTATTGTCTAGTCCAACATACAATTACTTCAGAATAAAACATGTAATCCGGTCAACTGTCTTTTATTTACTCCTAAATGGTTAATATCTGAGAATCCTACACTCACCTGAGACACATACACCCATGATGAACATACACCTCTGAGACACATACACCCCTGAGAAACATACACCCGTGATGAACATACACCTCTGAGAAACATACACCCGTGATGAACATACACCCCTGAGAAACATACACCCGTGATGAGCATACACCCCTGAGAAACATACACCCATGATGAACATACACCTCTGAGACACATACACCCCTGAGACACATACACCCATGATGAACATACACCTCTGAGACACATACACCCCTGAGAAACATACACCCGTGATGAACATACACCTCTGAGACACATACACCCATGATGAACATACACCTCTGAGACACATACACCCCTGAGAAACATACACCCGTGATGAACATACACCTCTGAGACACATACACCCCTGAGACACATACACCCCTGAGAAACATACACCCGTGATGAACATACACCTCTGAGACACATACACCCATGATGAACATTCACCTCTGAGACACATACACCCCTGAGAAACATACACCCGTGATGAACATACACCTCTGAGACACATACACCCCTGAGACACATACACCTCTGAGACACATACACCCCTGAGAAACATACACCCGTGATGAACATACACCTCTGAGACACATAGACCCCTGAGACACATACACCCATGATGAACATACACCCCTGAGACACATACACCCCTGAGAAACATACACCCGTGATGAACATACACCCATGAGAAATGTACATCCCATTGAGAAACATTAATGATTAGAAAGGTAGAGGTTCACGGGACTAAGAATAAGGCGGAAAATATATTCAAAACACTCAAAATTGTTCAAAGCCGATTTAGATAGGCTTTCAAAATGAGCGAAAGATGGCAGATGCAGTTTTGTGTTGACAAATATATAGTCATCTTCGTCTAAGAGATGTTAATAAAGTGACTGGAGAGAAACTTAACAACGTCGAAATAGTAAAACTTGAATGAAAAAGCCAACAAAATTATGAAAATATTCCGAAATAAGTCAAACAAAATGCTGGGATGTTTATATATAAGCGTTTGTAACAGACTATCTAATTACGGGCTATTCATGCCCGTGCCACCTCTTGTGTGACTTAATCTTTATAAATCAATCAATCAGGATATCTAAAGATATTATTCAGCTTTAACTTGCCCTGATTTAGATCAAGCTGATTAGGTTTGTGCTTTATATTTTACAAAGATTATAAGTCCACTTGACTGTGTAAGGGTAACAATAACAAACTTACAGAAATTACAAACCTCTCATATGAAGAGAGGTTAGAAAAGCGTAAATTTCATTCTCTTAAAAGAACTCACGATGGCCCGACCAGGCAGGACCCTCTTAACAGCACTATAGACCCCTGGGCAATCCAGTGTGCTGCGGCTCCCTACCACAATCACTCACAGACATAACAAGTAAATGGTCGATAATATTAAACATGTATATATTTTATTGGCACTTCAACAAAACTGGTGTTAAAACATTATAAACATGCTGTAGAGCAGCAATTAATCAATATGATAAATATTGAACAATACACAAGGCTTGAAAAACACAATAATATTCAGAAAGCTACACAGATTAGATGGCACATTATGAAATTACTACGAACTTCTTATACCTTACCTTGAGGTTACCTTGAGGTGCTTCCGGGGCTTAGCGTCCCCGCGGCCCGGTCGTCGACCAGGCCTCCTGGTTGCTGGACTGATCAACCAGACTGTTGGACGCGGCTGCTCGCAGCCTGACGTGCTATAACAAGCATGTGCGGCATTTCTTCTCAGAGAATTGCTTTATTGCCTGAAGTCAATGATCTTCAGGGTGTCATCTTCCATGCACATGAGTGAAAGTCAGGTCAAATGATGCTGCCCCATTGTGCTACGAAACAGACTTTTAATGTTTCACTCTTGAAAAAGAACGTTCGCCTGTACAGTTGGTCACCATCATGCACATGAACACTGAGTGCAATGTCAACATTCGGGAGTACAGATTTCAAGTTGTCCGAAATTATTTTTCTGCACAGTGCAAGGAGAGTCTCTTAATGGTCATTAAGATCCATGTAGTGCTAAAGATGCTCACATTCATTTAAAAGGTCATCATAATTCAGGTCTTTGTGATACATATTATCCAGATGTTCACACTTTTTCTTTAGTGCATCAGAAGCAATGGTTTTCAATTCACTGTGAAGAAAGAAAACAGATTTCCAATCTGTGAATTAGCCTCTGCACGTTTTGTCAGTTCACAGGTTAGAATGTCCAGAATATGGAGAAAAGCTTCCACCTTGAATTTTTCGGTTTTAATGAGAAGTACCTGGTCTTCTGATCCATCATATCTACTACGACGCACACTTCGCTTTCGTTCCCGTTTTTTCCCCTAACACTGTAATCTATATCTGGACACATACTCCTGGTTTTGAATTCATATTCACTAAATTTGTCTCTAGTTTCCCGAAGATATGTTTTCATAGACTCAAGAAGATTCGTGGCAACAAGGATGTTCACATCCTTTGATTGCAGGTTTTCGTTTTAGTTTAGTTCATTTATTATGCACCCCATACCCATCTTGTGGGCGGTAGTGGAAAGGGTTACAGAGGCACATAATGGGCTCAGGGACTGAACCCCACAATTCATTTAGCTAAGCAAGTTACAATCTTGATGAGCTAGTTACAAAATTCAATATAAGTCATCACATCAACAATGGGTTCAGGACCTTGTTTGTTTTGCTCATTCTTTCTAGCATGTCATTCCAAAGGATTATAAGAAAGATTGTTTCCAGGTTTTCCTTTGTTTTTGCTCAATCCTTCTGCCTCTGTTTATTGTCAGTTGATAGAGAATCCAGTACATGTTTTATTTTCTCGAAACCTCCCATACAGAGTGAACAGCATCAAAATGTGCTGACCATCGTGTGTCAGACAGACGCTTGACCACAAAATATTTTTCCTAAAGATAATGTCAATACATTTCAGCGATGAGTAGAACCAGCAAAATATTAATACAGATGCCGAACAAAGCAGACAGCTGCACCCAACAACTTGGTGGGCCATTCAGAGCGCCAGGGAGGGGGGGGGGGAGCTGTAAGGCGACTCTCCGGGGCCACTCACGCCCACATGCTCTCTACGTGTCTGTTATGTAATGCCCGCAAGGCCTTTCATGGAGGAATTGCCCGGCAACTACTCCCGGGCTAGACCAATTTCTCCTTTTAGTCTTACTTTAGCTGTCTACCTCCAATAAGAATGATGCTGATGTTTTCAAGTGATTTTGTATGATTAGAGCGGATATCTTATATGTTATCTTACACGAGCCTTTTTGCAACTGGAAACTACATAAAGGAAACTTTATGGAAACATAAAGGAAACTTTTCCTTTATACTGGAAACTCAAGTTTCATTTTATGTGCTTAATATTTGTTTCTGATAGAAATGTTATCTTGCGTCGACTTGATATCATGTATATGTATACGTATGTATTTGGGGCCTGAGAGCTGAGCGGACAGCGATTCGGATTCGTTGTTCTGAGGTTCCGGGTTCGATCCCCGGTGGAGGCGGAAACAAATGGGCAGAGTTTCTTTCACCCTGATGCCCCTGTTACCTAGCAGTAAATGGGTACCTGGGAGTTAGACAGCTGCCACGGGCTGCTTCCTGGGGATGTGTAACAAAAAGGGAGGCCTGATCGAGGACCGGGCCGCGGGGACGCTAAGGCCCGAAATCATCTCAAGATAACCTCAAGATAAAGATGTGTTGAGCGAACGTGTTCCAAGTGCGAGTCAATCTAGGAAGAATGATCGCTGGGGAATGATGTTCTCAAGAAAGGTGTAGCTAGGCGTGTGGCTGCTGTTGGCTGAACGCCTTGTGTTGTGGTTGCCAACTATCCACAAAGTGGTGTCAGGTGGGAAACCTTCGAGTACACTGGATTTAGAGAGAACAGTAAGACCGTCGACCACTGCCCAGCTCTGATATGGTGACCAATCTCACCAAAACAAGTTACGACTAAATATACATTTTGTCCCATCCTAAATCCTTATCCTGACCCTTTCCAAGTGTTGTAAAGTCGTAATGGCTTGGTGCTTCCCCTGCTAATTAAAAAAATTAGATATGCTTACTTTTTTCTCTCTCAACCTTGTCCAGAATTCAGATCGATGATGGAGGGGCGTCAGGCTATACCGAAGAGCGGCGCATACTCAAGATGGGAGCGAAATTGTGTTTTGTTAAAGGTTTAGCAACTACTGCTGTCGGGAAATAAGTCGTAGGGCTGTAACCTTCTTGGCTACCTTGCTTGATATGTTCAACATGGAGGTCTCTGTGGTCACTGAAGAGTCAAACTAATAACTGTGTGACTCACTATAGATATAAAGTGACTTGTATAGTGATTGTTGTGAGCCTCTTTGTTGAATCCCTTGTGATTTAAATAATATATAGGTATATATATATGATATATATATATGTAAATGTATATATAACATATATATATATATATATATATATATATATATATATATATATATATATATATATATATATATATATATATATATATATATATATATATAATAATTGTGTAACTAGCTTCAAAAGATCGTCACTTAGCTAAGCGAACTATGGGGTTCAGTTCCTGAACCCATTATGTGCCTCTGTAATCCTTTCCACCACCACCCACGGGATGGGTATGGGGTGCATAATGAAGAAATTGAAATCTCTCATATAGTATATACATATATAAACTGTATAATGCTTGTATACGAGACCAAGAGTTAGGATATAAGGACGGAGTAAAAGAATGGTGCCCAACCACTTGGATCATCGGGAATTAAATTCAGGTCTAGCAAGAACCAAGACCGTCGCTCTACCGACCAATCTAGGTAGTGATGCCGGGGGTCGTCGGACAGCCGGTGAGTGGGGCTGAGGATAAGCCTGCCCGGCTGTATTCACCTAGTTGTGCTTGCCATTCTCTGGCAAGCTCTGGCTCTTTCGGCCTGCCTCTCAACTGTCAATCAACTGATTCTTTGTTCCCCCCCCCCCCACACACACACACACACACACACGAAGCAGCCCGTAGCAGCTGTCTAACTCCCAGGTACCCATTTACTGCTAGGTAACAGGGGGGCACCATGGTGAAAGAAACTCTTCCCATTTGTTTCCACCATCGCTGGGGATCGATCCGCGGTCCCTAGGATTACGAGCCCTGAACGCTGTCCACTCAGCCGTCTGGTTCCATGTGTGTGCAGTCGCTTGTGCCAATGGAGGTTCACAGTGTGCCGATTGTTATGATGGTGGAGGAGGCGCCCCTGAAGGTGTCCCCTTCTGCTTTGGTGAGCGGGTCTGGTGAGGTTGGTCCACCTGGGGGGCCTCTAGGGGTGAGGGGTTTCCCCGCGTCTCGGGAGGCGTCTCCGGCTGCCTCTCCAACGGAGGGTTAGCGTCCCCCCTCCTCGCATTGTGGAAGCGTCGCGTCTGTCTGTGCTGGTGCCGGAGCAGAGGAGGAAAGCTGCCTGGATGTGGTTCACTGATTGTGAGGAAACTGTGGAGCAGATTGAGGATGAGCAGGGATGTAGTGGCTGTGGATGTAGCGGAGCAGGGATGGGGGGTGAGGTTGCTCCCTCGCTGGTACCCGCCGGTGGGCCCCCTGTGAGGGCGAGTCAAAGATGTTGAGTCTGGTGAAGGTGGCCACGGTGGCCGTGATTTGAGGTTGGTGTTGAAGAAGGGGGTCTGTCGCCCCTCCTCAAGGGGGATTCCCCCTCCTTCAACTCCTTTCACGTTGTTCACGGTTCTGTGAGTGTTTTCCGGGGTGGCGTTCCGGTACTGTCGGGGCTCCCGGGGTGGCGTTCCGGTACTGTCGGGGATCCCTGGGTGGCGTTCCGGTACTGTCGGGGATCCCTGGGTGGCGTTCCGGTACTGTCGGGGCTCCCTGGGTGGCGTTCCGGTACTGTCGGGGATCCCTGGGTGGCGTTCCGGTACTGTCGGGGCTCCCTGGGTGGCGTTCCGGTACTGTCGGGGCTCCCTGGGTGGCGTTCCGGTACTGTCGGAGATCCGTGGGTGGCGTTCCGGTACTGTCGGAGATCCCTGGGTGGCGTTCCGGTACTGTCGGGGATCCCTGGGTGGCGTTCCGGTACTGTCGGAGATCCCTGGGTGGCGTTCCGGTACTGTCGGGGATCCCTGGGTGGCGTTCCGGTACTGTCGGGGATCCCTGGGTGGCGTTCCGGTACTGTCGGGGATCCCTGGGTGGCGTTCCGGTACTGTCGGGGCTCCCGGGGTGGCGTTCCGGTACTGTCGGGGATCCCTGGGTGGCGTTCCGGTACTGTCGGGGATCCCTGGGTGGCGTTCCGGTACTGTCGGGGATCCCTGGGTGGCGTTCCGGTACTGTCGGGGATCCGGCCGCATGTTGGTTAGTGTTTACTGGCCTGTGTGCTGGAGCTGTGGCTCAGCTTGAGGTAGCGTGTGTGTGTTGCTGGCTTTGTATGTCATAAGAGTTGGTAGTGTGTAGTCTATTGTTATATTCCGTGTGAGTGTGTCCCGTTGTGAGGCTTGGAGGTGTCTCCCCTTCTTGCTTGCTTCGAGAAAGCTGTGTATGACGCAGTTCTGCTTTTGGAATGTGTTCATTCCGTTTTTGTGTGTGCCATTATCCTCTGACCGCGGTCAGCTGTATTATTTTATTTATCTTATGTAATGCTGTGTGTAATTTTTTTTATGCTTCACCTGTTGGGACTTATTATGTGCTATACTTTCCATGTATTTTATAGGGTTGGTGGAGGTGCCGGGCTCCGTTTGTTGAGGGCCTTTGTGTGTGTTTAATTTTATCTTGTGTATTCTGTATTTACATGTTGTGGGGTCCTGGTTGTGTCTTTGCAGTGCCTTAATTAATAGTCTTTCCCTAATGTAGTTCTGTTCCCCCCTTTCTGCGCGCATTTGCGCTGTGCCTAGGTTCGTCTACTTGTATTTCCAGGCGTTTTTTATGTATAGGTTTAGTGTATTTGTTTTGTGTTGTAATGGAGTTCTGTTGCTGGTGATGTTTCCTGTGGTGTTCGACACTAATGATGCTTCGGTACCTTTGCCTTTTATTTAGAGATCCAGCTCTTTATGCTACTGTTGGAATCACACCTCTGTAAACGCTTCATCCACGTACTGCGTATATATAAATAACAAACCCAAAGAACCTCAACACCTTGCGCTAACCAAACCTATGGCTAACTATGCATAGAACTCTACTACATAATAATATCAATGTATACACGAGAAAGTCCGTAATTTTAATACACAGTAAGTTAAAATTTATGAATGCATCCTAGTGGTCGGCCGCGACTGTAACGAGTCTGGCCTGAGGATGGGTTGACGAGTCGAACTGAATTGTTTCGAACATAATAACCAAGAGTCAATATAGTAAACTATCAAAAAGTCAAATACTATTAAAGAACTACACTGTGATAGATATTTACCATCAGTACATACCTGTACATATGAGGACAGGCCGCAAAAGTCGCTGCGTTAACTTCCCTCGTTGGTACACCTTGCAGTTTACACAACCCCCTGATGTATTTCCCAGACACTGGTTTACCGTATGGGAATAATGGTATCACGAGCAAATATACTTCCGTGTCTAACCCAATATTTATAGTACTGCGGGACTGACACACAGGGGTAGACAAGATGGTTTTGGGCTCAGACTATCACCCGGGGGAATGGGTGAATGGCCACCACAGTCGTTTACTGACAAGCCAGCAAGTGTATTATATGTAAAAGCTCAGTGTTTATACAGTGAGAAGCAGAGTACACTCCTCGGGTTATATAACCTGTGTCAAGGATGGGTGGGCTCTCGTTTAATTAGTTTCATTACAAAAATTACCATAAATAGCTCAGTTTGCGCGCGCATACTTAAGTGGTGGGGCAGGAGGGGAAGGGGGGTTGTGGGGGGGGGGGGGGGGAAGAGATGTGTAGTGTGGCAGGGTTGGACTACAACTTCACAGTCATCCTTACTCACCGTCGCAGACACACCTGGGTCTGCTGACTCCCACCAACATCTCCCACGCCTACTGGAGCCAATCTGCGGGACTCTGAATTTTGTGTTGCTGTGGGAGGCAATATTGAAGGTGCGACGGTTGACCAGTGAAGTAGTTTTCCTCTACAGGCAGTGCTGGTATCTTGGTTGGGGAACATCTACGACGTCTAACACGATAATGTTTGGCATCATCCAGAATCCGGTGAGATGGCAATTGCTCCTGAGTAAACTTGTGTTGCTCCTCATGGCACTACTCCAAATTTTACTAATTCGGTGAAGATTTTTTTAAATTGGGGTTGGAGGATGTTTATAGTTTATTTTAATATTTGTACTCGCCACCTTAGTACGTGAAAATGCCTTCAACACTGGTCTGAATTTATCTGAGGCCTTATTAACTTATCAGAATTTGAGAAACTAGTGGTCTCTACGAGGATTAAAATGTTGCTCAATTTTAAAGCTTAGCAGAGTTGTCATTGGCGGGTAGGAGGTTCTACGTCCATAACCTTTATGGGTCACTGCGGAGGCACTTTATTTTTAACTTTCTAGACTCTGGTACCCGGCGTTACTCGGTGACTACGATCCTTGACACAATCATACTTGTATAAACGACCCAACCACCGCTAGGTTCCCCCCCCCCCCTCTCAAAGTTGACTTAAACTGGGTGTGACTACTACCTGTATTTTTCCTAAACCAGTCCTCTCGCTAGGCAAAGCGGCAGCCGTTCACTCTAGACGCATTCAAACTTAAAAATACTATATATTAAAAAATTCTATCGTATATCGATTAAAAAGTCCATGTATACTTAGACATTGTGTTCAGGTTCTGTTGGCGATTATTTGTAGAGTACGTTAAAAATTTACAGCGTTGTGATTACGACAAAATTAATCTATGAAGCACTCCATTCGGAAGTCTTCCGACGTAATCGGTAGTCGTGCAAACGGTTCATTTATAAACGGGGGTTCGGCTGGTGCATGGAATCGCTTTTGGGCCCGTTTGGAGAACGGATTGTAGCAGCCAGTTATCGTAGCCATTCCATGCACCCGCCAAGCCCCCTATTTATGAATTGGGGTGGGGGGTTACCTTGAGGTTACCTTGAGGTGCTTCCGGGGCTTAGCGTCCCCGCGGCCTGGTCGTCGACCAGGCCTCCTGGTTGCCGGACTGATCAACCAGGCTGTTGGACGCGGCTGCTCGCAGCCTGACGTATGAGTCGCAGCCTGGTTGATCAGGTCCCCTTTGGAGGGGGAAAGGTTTACACTACTCGCAACTTATAAAAGTCCAAACATTTCCGGAACAAGTGCATCACTGACTACTTTTGTTTGAAGCACAAAGCTGTAAATGCTTCGCCTAATATCACAAATCGCAAACAAAACCTAAACGCCTAACAAATGCCTAAATCTATAAAATATGCTAATGTGCAAGATATAAACTTATACATCAATTCTCATCTTTGAATGAAGTTAAAATTAATGAATGGGTCTTTAGTCGACCGCTGGCTAGACTGCCCAGCCTGAGGACAGGTTGGTATATAGGTAGTACCTGAAATAACTTTTACGACCCACCATTTAACATTGTATATTGTACTGCTTCTACCCACCTAATGATAGTGGTCAGGTTCGCAGCTCGGTAGTACCCGGGTAGAGGACTAGAAACTAAATTTTTTTTTATTCAAATTGATTTTATCGTTCATGGCGCCTATAACTGTATAGAGTACTGACTTAATGATTTTCTGTACTCGTATATAGACCTAACCTAGTAAATTGCTGTTTGAAGACGTCGTGCTGTCTAAACTGTTCACCCTGACATTAACCCCCATAACTCAATGCAGGGTGGACAGGGGTAAACCTCTTTAAATAAATGGGACATAGTGTATGCTAAAAATGGTCTTGGAAATGCTCTAATTGCATACGGATCTGCAACAAATTTGAAATGGGTTTCTGAAGGCCATCCACCACTTTAGACAATATAAAACTAATTTAAGCTTGTAAACGTAGTTATAACGCAACCCGTAAAAGCTTGGCAGGGAGAACTAGACCTCTACATATTAAGTCCTTGCTCACTACTTGTTTGTTTTTAAATTCTAAATAGCATGATTTATAGTAAGTAGCGAGTAAATGTTTGAAATTGTTAAGTTTAGGGGGCAACTAAAGCCTTTGGTTACTTTAACGTTCCAATTGGATAAACACTTGGATATTACTAGATTTTTATTCATTGGTATATTTCTAACTGGCTTCGGCAGCCCGTGGTGTCTGCGTGGCTGATGGGAGACGCACCAGCGGCCAAGAAGACTCTTGCTAAATACAGCTGGACGTCACCAGTTGTGGCAGTGAAGGTCTTGGACAGTATCTTGAGGGGCATATCACAGGTATGTAAACCTTCCTGCTGTGTGGTGTTGGCAACGTCTGCAGGGCACTGTAGTAGTAGAGGAATAACCTTGGCAATACTTGTTTGGATTTTACTGGCTTCTTAACTTTAACTATCACCTCTTAGGTCGTGTTTGTAAACAATCCGGTATCTGGCTTCCTTATCCTGGTGGGCCTTCTCCTGAGCGACGTCACCTACGGTCTGGGTGCTCTAGTGTGCGCCCTCACAGCTGTCGCCTTCGCAAAGGTGTGAGTTGTAAAAGTTTGCCAGCGAGGCAAAACATTTGCTCTAGTCATTAACTCTATTACATTGTGCAAGTGTCTTATATTTCTTAATCTGTAGCTCGTAGGCACACCAAATAGTGCCATTGAAGCCGGTCTGAGCAACTATGACGCAGTGTTGGTGGGTGTGGTGACTCCGGTCCTCTACCCCCTCTACTTCCACCAGCCCCTCTCCCTGCCTGTGTGGGGATACATGGTAGTCGCCAGTATCTTCAGGTGGGTGCCTAGCGATGGTGTGTATCTTTAACGTCCCATGCCGTAAACTTTGTGGTAAATTGTTACTAGTAAAAATGAGTAATGGCTTAAAAGCTACAGAATGAGGCTACCGACTATTGCCTGTTGTTACAACCCTACTACTCTACCAGCGGTGTAGCAAGAGCACTGTGATGGTCCTGTAAATAAAACTGCTTAAAAGTTCACGGACGATGCTGTTGGACACTTTAAATGCCTAATTTCTGAGATATTGGTAAATTCAGCTAAAATTGCTCAACATTAATTAAAAATTTTGCTCTACCATACTATTCTACTTTATTTTGAACTTGGAAGGGCGTAATTTACCTAATAAAGCTTATTAGGAAGCCTCCATAACGATTAGGTTCTTATCGGGAATTTTAAAAGATAAAATTGCCATGTTTGAAGTAGTCTTATTAGCATTGTCTTGACTAGATACGTACCTCTTGTTCTAGGCTTTTTTTATATAGTATGTTTGGAAGATCTGATCATGTTAAAGCTTCAGGTTTGACTTCAATATTAAAGGTTAATTTTTCTTACGTTAACTTATTATAAATTACTTAGTGTGTGCGCGTCTGGTGGCTTGGGGAAGCTGTTGGCTGTTCACCACCTTCCCGCCTTCACTCTGCCCTTCAACTTGGTTATAACACTCACCTTTATGAGCCTAAAGTCTGCCGGGTACGAGGCTGAAGCTCCTAGTGTGAACGCAACCCTGGAACACCTCGCTCAACCCAATTGGGAGCAGGTGAGATGTGTAGAACTTGGTTATATTTTGTGCTTCAGACTCTCTGGCCTGCACATTCATGGGAGACATTTCCCGTCACGTAGGGTGCAGTTGCACCTCCACAAATCTCTAGTATCATCTATTGATACTGCTGATGGCTCAAAAGGGCCACCACTTACGGGCTATTCATGCCCGTGCCACCTTTTGGGTGGCTTAATCTTCATCAATCAATCTCTGGCCTGCTGCAAATGTAAAGTGTAGGCTTCTGCAGAGCCTATACATGAAACTTAGATTAGTTCTAAAAGTTAACAATATTTAAATGCTCCCAGGTGTGGCTGGGGACGCTGTTGTCTGCTGGACAAGTATTCGGTGTCGAGGACGTGTTGTGTTCTACTCTGGTGATGATGGCGATGTTTATCTTTTCCCCTATTCTGACTGTTGCCAGTTACACTGGTGCCACTGTAGCAACTTTCACGGGCAAGTATAAACATGGCATGTGATGGCAAAACTGTTTAGCTAGGGTCGTGTAAATTTGGCCCTGGGATCTGGCTCAAACTGTATAGTTTTCTGCATAGGTAAGAGATGCTAGTAACATTCTATGCACTGCTAAACAGTTTGACCAGTTGCTTAAAACTGTAACCTGTTCAGTGTTTATGTAAGGAAGGATTCCTGGATAAACGCTGAAACTAATATATTATATTAAAATTCCACCCCTTTCTCCCCCACCCACACCACACACCCCCACGATCTCTAATTCTTAAGAGCGCGACTTAAATTTCGGCAATATTAAAAAGATATCATTAAAGTAAAACTAGTACAAAATATTAAAGACGCGGTGAGACCACTGCGACCTTCACAAACTAATCCCCCCCCCCCCCCCAACCACTCGCTAGTCGCATTAAACACTTGGGAGCCCATACGGTAGCATTATTCCCACCACAAGCTGAGCTAGTGAAGTTATAATGCTTCTTGGTTAAAACTGCTCTCTTGCGGGCTCGTGTATGTCTTATCGCTGCCACGCTAGGTGTGCTGGATGTTGCATTATTGCAGGGATACGGTCTCTTACAACTGCTGCATTATCTTGTCAATTACTTGTTGAGTGTTAAACTTGAGCAAGTGAGTGCTACATAGCCTTCACGGTTTGGTGCCGTCTATTGATATTTGCTTACTTGCGCAAGTGACAAACGGGAAATTTGGGTACAGGCTTAATATAAAGAATAACTTGAGGCCAGTCAGACTGTGAAGAATAGCACAATCATTAAAAAAAAAATCTCCTTGGTCTTTGAATTTGCATAATATTAGTGACTTTAAATGCAAGCTTTAAAACAAATCTGGGAATAGGAAACTTGGTGTTTCTAATGAAGCTAAACATTTTGGAGATGGAGAGTTTTAAAGTATGCTGTACAACTAGCAGCTACCGAAATGTAGTTGAATCTTCTACAGTAGCAGCAGAACACTCGGTTTAGGTAGACTAGCTATAGAGGCAACTACCGTTAGTAAAGAACGGTAACGGCAGTAATATGTACTAGTGGCTTTGTAACTAAACCTGTGTTCCCGTGTCCTCAGCTGTGATGGTGTCTTCAGCGCCATACGCACAAATGGAGGCAGGCGTGTGGGGCTACAACGGGTTCCTCTCGGCTGCTGCCGTCGCCTTCTTCATGGTACCAACCCCAAGAACACTTCTGCTGGCCGTCGTAAACTCTGTCTTCACCGTTTTCCTCCATGCTGCTCTGTCTGCTGCAGTAAGTTGCGCCTAGGCTTGTACCGAGTGGTTGACTATCGGGCATTTTGCTTAATGTTAAGAGGCAGCATGATGAGTAATCTTAACTGTTCGTTCTTTCCAACAGTTCACGCTTCCAGTGTTCTCCCTACCCTTCTGTGTGAGTTCGCTCGTCTTCCTGTCGATGGCAATGTCGGTGGGTCCTGCTTCACTGAGGGTCTCCAGTCCCTCCTTTCCAGAGCTACACCTTATCCTCAATAGCAAGGTAAGATGCTTGGTATAGTGATAGTCTTAAAGTGGTGCACTCCCTTGTATAACTTGTTTGGCCCATCCCATTTAGTCCCGAGCCTTGTGTAATGCTTATTTCTTGTACTTTCAGGAGTCTCGTATCAACAAGAGAAATGCAGAAGAAATTAAAATGACTATCACGACAATATCTTAACCCAGAATTGTTTGAACTGGATTATCTGGACGGTTTTTATTCTGTGAATAGGACGTTTGACAAACCTAAGTTGCCAACGAAAGTTTTGGGAGAAAAAATCTACAGCGACAACTATTGGGTGTTTTGAGCGGGAGACTAAACGCTTAGGCCTAGGCGGTATATCTGGTTGTCGGTGGGCATGACCTGGCAAAACGCTGATTACGAAGAAGTAAACGTACTGTGACCTGCAGACAGGATTGTCTGAAGCCTTTTTAAATGACGTACTACGGCTCTGGTAACGCTGACAGACTACTGCTCGGGTAGCGCTGTTGGCAATGATGGAGCCGTTTTTTTAAATTGCGTAGACTGATTTTTTTTTTTATGCATACTATAAAAAATACATTGTTATTACTAGATTAAACATATATAAATGGCCCTTTTTTTTTAAACCCTTGGCTTCAGTAAAAACTAAATTGATGACGGCCTTAAGGGTCCTTGGGGCCCCACCTCTCATTACTACGTATCTCATCATGATTTCCCTTGCACGCTTCTGCTCTGGAGCGCTAACTTTAAAGTCCTCTCGGCCTGAAGGTAGAAAGTGAAATTGCCTCTTAAACATGAGGAGAATCATCTGACCTAGCGGTGCTAGAGGAACCTGGGTACTCTTGGGTGTTGATCAAGAGATGTTTATTGACGCCTTGGACTTGGTGCAGCTGCAAACAGGAGGCTAGGTTGGAGACCAGAATCCTTGGTGAATCGAATACCTTCGGTATAGTTAGTCTTGTGTGCTCTTGTTCTCGTATTTCCGGGACGAGCGTGTGTCTTGCTTTCCGACCGCCCCTCGCTGTCTCTTGTCCCTCGATAGAATTCTTGGTGACTCGGATACTTTTGATATCGTTCGCCTTGTGCGATTTTGTTTTCGTATTGGCATCCTTGGTGATATATAGCGCCCTCCGATTATTCCGCACATTTGATGGTGCTACATAGCCTTCCCGGTTTGGCGCCTTCTTTTGATAATTGCTTGCTTGGTCTCGTACTTGGAACCTTGAATAGTGCTATTTAACTTCTTTTTGAATATCCCCCACATTTGGTGGCGCTCCATAATCTCGCCGACTTGGTGGTTCCTGTTGATAATTACTTATTTGATCGGAGACTGGGCAGCGGGGACATTGATCTCGGCCACAACGTAAGCCTATTATTATTCCCCCGTCTCCCCCCCCCCCCCTACACCCCCTGGTCCACATTACCCTCCGGCCCAAATTAGAATATGGCACGTTCATTGGGGTATAGAACTAATGGCACTAGTTCCATCCTGGCACTAAACTTTTTCAAAGTTGTGAAATTGTCTTTACAAACATTAGAACGGATGCCTATCTTTAAAACTAGGCGCAGACTTTCTATTGGTCTTCTTTTAAACTATTTCAGTGTTTTGGGCTACGGAGGCGGAGAATAGAGGGTAATATAAATATTGAGCGGTTACCATGGCGACCTCCTACGGTCATTATACAATGTTAAGAGGATCAGTCTCTCGTGAGCGCGTGAACACGCGACCCATCTAGACTCGCGCTTCTCCTCGAGTTGGGATAGTTTGACGATCCTGACCCAGGGTCAGGGTTTCTGGACCTGTAGGGCCACGAGGACGATGTAGGTAATGGAGTGATCACTTGTAAAGCTGCTGCCGCCCTCCTGGCCAGGGTCGAGGCCGGGGGTCGCCACACGTCTCCGGTAAGATGACCAGAGTATCGCCCACACGTCAGTCGCTGGCCAGGCTCGGAGTGGACTACTCTCCTCCTCGCTAACCTAAACTGCTGCGCGCTACAGACCAGTACTATCGGAGACGTGCATTAATCTGTAGCGCAGGAGCTGTAGCGCAAAAGTTAAATGTACAGTGAGTAGTGATCATACTGACGGTGATTGTTGTGTACCTGCAGGCGCAGATAGTGGTTATTCATACTTAACGAGTGTACATGAAGATGCCTCGTTCATAGAGGACGAGGACTGAGTATGTACAAGGTGATAATTCCTCCGTTCATAACGGATAAGAGGCCATGCATGGTAAAGATGCCGTCTATAGTTGTCCAGTTCTTTTAGAGAACATGCAACCAAAGTGAGTAAAATACCGATGGGTTCTTTCGGAGTCTTAATCTCTGGGAATTCTGGAATGTTAGGTTGTACAGTGTTTAAATCTCGGTCTGTGTAAGGAGTTTATATATAAACCTGTGCTCGTTGCTTAATTTAAATGCCTTGCTTCGATAATGGAGACGTCTAAATACTCGTTTGGTTCGTTAGTTTCCTAGTTTCCACCTGTTCCCCGTCAGTAGCTGTTTGAGCCTCTTGTTTATCACATGATCACGATATGCAAAATACAAGAACTTCTATCGTGTTACTGTGTTATCCTGGCCTTGTTTTCATCCATATATTTATTTTTTTCAGTAAAGTGTTTATCATAAGGGACAATACAAGCTATTTAATAATTTAAAATATTCGTAATAATTTAAAATATTCGTATCTAGTGCTTACCATTTGGCATTTCTTGTCCTATGACAAGTTAGGGTCGCGTTCTTCCAGGCGGCTCTATTACTCTTAATACACGGATTCCAAACAATTTGTTTGGAAGAGCACTTGATATATTTCGTAAAATCTCTGGGAACCCCTTCCTGGCTGACAGGTTCGACAGGGAACCCTTCCCGATAGGTTCGACAGGGCTGACAGGTTCTTCAAGGGTAAATTATAAAAGACGTGTAAAGCAGTAGAGCTAATAAAGAAAATATTAACTCCATATTTAAAAAAATAATCAAATTTTCACTTTCTATTTACTGTAAATAGTGTTTGGTCTATTTTCCCCAACAGATAATACACAACGGAGTCAGATAGTGTTCATCTCCTGTCCATGTAAACTATATCGTTTAGTAAAGTATCCATCCTTGGGCATTACTGCCATTGACTGCCTGTCACAGCCTCCTTCCTTGCTCCTCTTCGTTCCATTCTTCATTACTTGACCTCAGTATACCATCTGATCCCGATTACACTGATCCCGACCTCGGTGAATTCTAGTTCCCAATAGTTTCTTTACAGGGGTTATTTTTTTATTTTAATTTCCACAAATCCCGTTTTGTTTAACAGAATATATGCAGATCTGATGCAAGTTTTTGTTTTTTGGAGCTTAAGCTTTTCATGTGTTTTCCTGGTTGTCTTCAGGAAGAGATTCTTGTTCTTTGGTTACATCGTGTTTCCGGTTGCGCAAAGATTTCGGAATTAGAGGTATCTTAGTTGGTCGCTGGTGCAGGAAGTCTGGAGTCACTCGAGGAGGCCTGGTCGACGACCGGGCCGCGGGGACGCTAAGCCCCGAAATCATCTCAAGGTAACCTCACTCGGGAGGTTGAATGATGTGGCCATCAGATGCAGATGCCTGCACCACCTGCTCTCCTCGTTACCTAAAGAGTCAATACCATGCGAATATCAAACCCAGCAAAACTTTCAAAATGCTTCATTGTTTTATTAATTGGTCACCTTAATTAAAACCTTAATTGCTTTATTTTACTCTATTACAAAAAAGGTGGCAATTTGTACTTTTTCACCAGCTTTTTCAAATTCTCACGGAATATTGGACATTGGCTCCTTAAACCCGGGAATGACTGCTCTAATGAATTTATCACTGTAGATTAGACAAGACATTAGCATTATTCAGATAATATACACTGCAGTCGAGTAATATATATATATATAATATATATATATATATATATATAAAATACACACATACATAGTTTTTTTTTTTTTTGACAGGATAAAGACAATCTCTACTGCTCAGTAACTTGGAGGTGGCGGCGCGGCCTGAGAGCAGGAGGATGCAGCCCCACATCTTGGTGACGGGAGCACCAGACGATACCCCCTCCAGCAGTACCTTCAGCAAAAAGACGAGCGCCTCCGGTTCTTCAGAGAAGGCGAGCAACGGCTACCCCGGGAAGGTGGGTCACCTCAACGTCCCCAGCTGGAAGACGGCGAGACGCCCGTCTTTCCTTCCCAATGACACAGAGATGAACCTCCGGCCTAAGATGCGTAAGCTATCGACCTACAATGTTAGCACGAACGACACTATCAATACCGACTCCGTCGGGTCTAACACTAACGTGGTTGTCGAGGATCTGGTGGACAACGATCCTCCACCTTGCCTCGAGTGCATTACACAGTGGGTGCTGGGTGACGTCCAGTATATCACAGACTACTTGGACAGGTGGCCACTGTTTTCTTACGTCCTCCCTCTCAGAATGGTTAACGCCTTACTCCGGACACTTGGTGCGCCTATATTAGCAAACAACCCATTCAGTGGTGCCCTTGTTCTCCTGGCACTGTTGCTGGAGGCGCCGCTGGTGGCACTCTGGGGCCTTGGGGCGCTGCTTGTAGCTCTGGTGATGGCACTCGTTCTAAAGCAGCCTCAACACATCATCTCCAGCGGCCAAGTGACACAACACAGCCTGCTCCTGGGCATTCTGGTGGGGCACTCCGCCCAGCATCACCACGACCACACACTGGCTTCTGCTGTAGTAACTCTGGCACTCACCGCAGCACTCAGGTAAGGCACTCGTCCCAAACACTGCCAGGGAAGGGAGCAACCCTTGTAGAGAAAGCTAATCACATACACAGTATTTCCGACATTTTTAAGAAGCCACACCTCCATCACGATACTTCCTGCCTCTGTTATATGGGTGGTGTACGCTCGTCTCGGCCAGTGCTGCTGTGTCGCGTAGTACTGCTGTGTTACATAGTGTTGCTGTGTCACACAGTGCTGCTATGTGACATGAGACAAACGCCAGCATGGGACGGGCACTGGTAAAGGTCACAGCTGAACACAAAGAACCTGAATGGGCCACAAGACTCACAATAATGCATTGTCTCGGAATGAGAATTCTTAAGAACAGAACCCAATAGGATTCGAAATTGTTTACGTTAGTCTAATGAATGTTGGTAGGCGGGGGCCACTCAGGAGCTAGAGCTCAACCCCCGTAGCTAGGTGAGTATACAGTCTTTCTTCCATTCCCGTCAGCGTCGTTTTGGGCATCGCCGTGTCGACATGGTTCTCACAGACGAACCTGCCGGGGCTGACGGTGTCCTTCGTGGTGTTGGGCGCCACCTTGACCTGTGGTCTGGGCTACCAAGACTTCGCCAGCACCGCCCTCGTCGCCTCCACTGACCTCACCAACGCCTCCACATTCGCAAACACTGACCTGCAATGGTCCAGGGTAAGTCACCTTTCTTGCCCACAATTTGATCCGGATTTCCTGTTTTGTGTTCCGTGTTTTGAAGACTAAACCGATTGGTGTGTGTGTGTGTGCTACAGGTGTACCGTAACTCAGTGTAGCGTGTGTGTGTTGCAGGTGCTGGAGGGTGTGGCAAGGGGCGCTGGTCAGGTGTACGGGTGTACATCTGTGGTCTCCTCGCTTCTCGTTCTGGCCGCTATGATGGTCTTCTCGCCCCTTGCCTTTCTTCAGGGCCTCATGGGCGCCTTCCTAGGAGCGCTCTCAGGTCAGTGTCTTCCTAGCAGCTCTCTGAGGTCAGTGCCTTCCTAGCAGCGCTCTCAGGTCAGTGTCTCTCTAGCAGCTCTCTCAGGTCAGTGCCTCCCTAGCAGCTCTCTCAGGTCAGTGCCTCCCTAGCAGCTCTCTCAGGTCAGTGCCTTCCTAGCAGCTTTTTCAGGTCAGTGTCTTCCTAGCAGCTCTCTCAGGTCAGTTTCTTCCTAGCAGCTCTCTCAGGTCAGTGTCTGATATGCTCAAAGGCATATTTATGCAAAATAATTAAGAATATTTAGCTTTTTTCAACTAACTTTTTAATGCTATTTCGATTCCTAAGACAGAAATGTTAAAATTATGGGGAAATATTTCTATCCGAAATTTAAGTTCTTGTCAATATGTATAACACAAAATGTGTCTGTCCAAAGTCTTAGGCCAGATGCTTGGGGCTAGCCTCACTCAACTTTGCAGCTTGAAACATGTGAGGTATGCGAGTGTCATAGGCCAGGCAGAGTCGGCCCTAGTGCCATACTTTAAGAAATATCAGCATCTGTAACGAACCCTCTGCGATTTTCATCATGTCCGAAAACAAATCACGGGGGGGGGGGTTGTAGGTTTGTTGCTACTCCCGCCGTTTACTCTGGTGCATGGGGAGAAGGACACGGAGGATGGGGGGGGGGGGGTGGAGAGGAATATGGGATGAGGAGGGAGGGGTATGGGGACAGGGGGGAGGGGGAACAGGGAAGAGAGATGGAAAGGTAGGGCTATGTGTTGACCAGACCTGTCACCCTCACAGGTGTGTGTGTTGACCACACCCGTCACCCTCACAGGTGTGTTAGTGAGCCAGCCGCCTTATCTGGAGGTGTACGCGGGAGGATACGGCCGCCACAGCCTCCTGACGGCGCTCTCCCTCGGCGGGTACTACTTCGTCGTCAACTTCTACTCGACGCTGACGGCGGCCAGCGGGGCCGTCCTGTCAGCCCTGCTCTTCCGCGCCTTCAAGCAGGTTCTTGTCTGAGTCTTTGCTATATATAACATGTACCGACACCTAGTATTATTTCTTTAATTTCCCAATTGAAATTTTGAAGAATTGAAAACGTTGCCAGTGTAAAATGTCCACTTTCTGCTATTTTATATTATTTTCTTTACTCCGTTTTTCCCCTCACCTTCCAGTGTCTTTCTTCTCCCCTCCCAGTGCCTTCCGACTCCCAGCGTCGCTGTCTTTCCCTTACTTTTATATTCCTTCCCTCAGAGCTCGATGCCGGTGTTGACAGCACCTCATGTGATGGCGACGTTGGTACTGCTGCACGCCCGGGTCAGAGGAGGTCAACTGAAGCGGGTTGACCTCATCTACCTAACCTTTCCCGAGATGCATCGTCGGCTCTTTCGCCCTGGCAATGCTGTCGAGGACTGTGCCGTCACCTAAACTTCCGTCACTCCCGTCACGTCCCTGGTGGACAGAAAAGTCAGTGGAAACATGATCACCACCTGCAAAATTCTCAGTGGAATTGATAGAGTAGATAAAGACACACTATTTAGTACGGGTGATACACGAACAGGGAACAGGGAACTGTTGGAAACTCAGTAGGGAAATGAGCCGCAGAGACATTAGAATGAATATTTTCAGTGTCAGAGTAGTTAACAAATGGAATCATTAGGCAGTGATGTGGTGGAGGCTGACTCCATACACAGTTTCAAGTGTAGATATGATAGTCCAATAGGACTCAGCAACATGTACTTCCTGAGCCCTATTGAACCAGTTGATTGACAGTTGAGAGGAGGACCATCAAAGAGCCGGAGCTCAACCACCGCAGGCACAACTAGGTGAGTACATAGGGCCGTCTCATCTGGTACAGGTGTCGTCTGTGTCACCCAAGTGGCACTCTCAGCTGCCACCTGACACAGGAGGGGGTCCATCTCTGTTATACATGTGACCCCACTCCGGGTTAAGCTTCAAGTGAGCACTGGTTCTTGCTGAGAGACAGGGTGACACAGAAAATGTAATGGTTTACATACCTTTACAAGCACAGTGACGATAAAGCCGTGTCCTAGACCCACCAACAAACGGATATCATCAGCGGCGTATGCTAGGTTGGTCAACAAATAACTAGCTTTAGAAAACTAGTTAAGAAATTATTCGGGATCGTATGTACAACATGTTAGATCAACCTTGGAATGTGTGGCGCCAGCGTGGAATCCTTATCTAGACAAACGCAAAAGGAAATTCAAGAAAATACAGAATATGTCACCAGACTAATCCCAGAACTAAGAGGTATGAGCTACGAGGCAAGACCAAATGAATTAAACCTCACATCGCTGAAAGACAGGAGAGTTGAGGGAGGCATGATTACCACATACACAATTTTAAAACAAATTCAAAGAGCAAAGGAGAAATTATTTAGCATTAGTGGTACTCGAACAAGGGGGGACGCAGGTGGAAACTCGGTACCCAAATGAGCCACAGAGACAATATTTTTAGCAACAGGAGAGCGAACACATGCAATATACTGATATGCTACGGGCTCACCATAGCCCGTGCTACTTGGAACGTTTTGTTCCAGGTAGCGAATCTTAAACAACAACAACAACATAATGTTGAAGGAAGACTCCGTATATACACGGCTGTCTTGTCGGAAGCGCTCTGCGTATGAGAATTATTTGCGTATATAATATACAACCTCTATACCTACAACTGTACCATTGTAATATGTTCTTATGTATATTTTATGAAATTGATATATTATTATTGTTATATGGTAGAACCCAATAATATATATATTCTGTATATATAAATATTAAATATAAAATTCCTTCACCCAAGTGCGTTTTCCTTCCCGTTTAATGAAGGTAAAATAAATAAATAAATATATATATATATATATATATATATATATATATATATATATATATATATATATATATATATATATATATATATATATATATATATACATACATATATATAATGTGTGTGTGTGTGTAACTGAAAACTCACACCCCAGAAGTAACTCGAACCCATACTGCCAGGAGCACTCTGCAACTGGTGTACAGGACACCTTAACCACTCGACCATCACGACCGAACATAAAGATGATGGTAGCCGAGGCTAATTCCCCATCATCCCGCCGGCACTCTGATGGTAATCTTGGGCATAGTATTTTATCAAATCACCTCATTCTTTGGGGCACACGTGAGGACCCATAATTATGGGGACCATTCAGGCTTGTTCGCATTTGTGTTCCTCATGTGTGTGAGGCTCCTACTGATGATGTCGTTAACTTCACTGTGCCTCGAGTGCCTGGGGGGGGGGTAGAAATAGCCTAAGCTACTTTATCCCTTTGAGATGTATTTCTTTTCTTGTCTCAATAAACATACTTGAACTTGAACTTGCCTCGAGTGCCATCCCCCTGTGCTTTGGCAGAGTAGGCCATGGTGGCCTACTCCACTTCACCATACATATATATTACTTAGGCTTATATCGAGGTCCCCCCACGGTGGAACTATATATACTGACCCTCCCCAGGATGTAACCAATACTATAATAATATTTATTTACAAGTAGGTGCAATTTATATGTGAGATTACATAAAATTGGAATTTGTACATTCTTGCAAAGCCACTAATATTGTTGACTAGCTTCAGGGTACCTAGTTACTGCTAGGTGAATAGAGGTATTAGGTGAAAGGAAACGTGACCAACCATTTCTGTCTAGTTATTTGTATATACTATTATTTATTATTATTATTTATAAATTATTTTTTATAAATTATTATTTATTATTATGTATTATTATTATTTATAAATTATTATTATTATTATTTATTATTATTAATATTTATTATTATTATGTATTATTATTAGTTTTTATTATTATTAGTTTTTATTATTTATTATTATTATTAGTTTCTATTATTTATTATTAGTTATTATTATTATTAATTCAAATTAAATTTATTATTTATTATTATTAATATATATTATTAATTTTTATTATTTATTATTAGTGGTAACATTGATTTAATTTATTAAAATTTATTTTTTTATTATTTATTATTAGATTTAATTTATTAAAATTTATTATTATTATATATTATTATTTTTTATTATTTATTATTAGTGGTAACAATAGTGGTATTTATCGCTTGTATTATTATTTATTATTGCTCATTTTATTTTAGGAATTTAAGTTAACTGTAAAGATTTGGAAATTAGAGAATATTGTATTAGCCAGGTAGCCCCCAACTTGTCGACTGTAAACAAGGTTGGGAAGGAGTTGGTGGGTCCTGAAATTTTGGCTTGTCTGTCCTTTTACACTCCTTACTTGCCAGGTATTGTGTTTTTGTCCTCTGAGCAGTCTTAATTTATTGATAAATAATGTTTATGGCATTAAATTTAAGAGCGACACGAGGAAGGCATAAGGCTATCACTTACCAGGCTATCACTTTAGGCTACCAGGCTATCACTTTAGGCTACCAGGCTATCATAGGCTATCACTTACCAGGCTATCACTATCACTAAATCACTTACGTCCTCTAATTACCCAACACAAAGCCGCTATTAGAACAATATCCAACTCTGGCCCCAGACATCACTCGATACCCCTACTCAAATCTCTTAATATGTTAGATATTAAGTCACTGCACATTCTCTCATGTGTATTATACATATATAAAACGCTAAACTATAATGCCAATCCTGATCTTAAAAGCTTCATAGAAGGTTGTAACAGAACCCATGAGCACCACACCAGAAATAAATACAGTTTTGATATTCCTAGAGTACGTCTTAATCAAACTAGAAATGCTCTGCAAATCAAGGGGCCCAGAATGTGGAATGACCTTCCCAACCATGTTAAAGACTGTACCTCTCTCAACCAGTTTAAGATAAAAACTAAACACTACCTAATAAATTCCCTGTAATCTACCTCACTCCTCTATTGTCAACCCATATCTGTTATTTTCTTTTTTTTTTAATCAACACTGTTTGTCAACCTATTGTATTTGTGCTGCTTTTTCAGTCATGTTCCCCCTTTTTTTTTATCTTTATTTGTATTTGTTCTCAACACCTTTTATTCTTTATGCTCAATTAGTATTAAGTTCTAGATATTAATGTTTTTCTTGCCCGAAACGCATTGCGTAATAGTGGCTTTAGGCATTGTATGTACTAGCTCTATCTATATATCAATCCATTAATGTAACATCACTTGTATGTATGTACCTTACCTGAATAAACATCTGAATCTGAATCTGGCTAGCAGCTCACAACCGTCGTTATTATTATTATTTTTATTATTATTATTATTATTTTTTATTTTTTTTTGCGGGGTTTTGAGTGCCCTGGTTACTACTGGTTCGTTCTCCATTCACAGTCGAGAATTCCGGGTTCGAGTCCCGGGCGGGACAGAAATGGTTGGGCGCATTTACTATCACATGCCCGAAACGCTTTGCGTAATAGTGGTTTTAGGCATTGTATGTACTAGCTCTACCTATAAGTCAACCAATCTTTGTAAAATTTTCTTGTATGTATGTACCTTACCTAAATAAACATTTTATTTTATTTACATAATGCCCCTGTTTGCCTAGCAGTAAGTACGTTCCCAGGAGTTGAACACAAATACGGTATGTTCACTCAAAGGATGAGTGGTGCTGCCCAGTAAACTCGGCCCTCAGGGCAAAATTAAAATTAATGAATTATTATTATCTTGTGTAGGTCTAAAGATTTTCTCTTCGAATGTACTCTTTACCATATAAATATTGCACATTGCATATAGTTAAGCCTAAACGAGTTATCCCCGGTCTGTCTAATTACCTAAAGCTATCCAGAGCGTCCTAGCATTTTAAAAGTAATGAAGAAATATGACATATCTACTCACTATAGTGTTGGTGCTGAATGTAAAACATGAAAAAACATATTTTTTCTCCTGAAAAAATAAAATTTTATAGTGAAATTGGGTCCATCTATTTACCCAAAGTCAAAGCATTGTCACTTGGATCGTTGACTTCCTGTGGCGTTCACTGCCACTTAGTTTCGTCTAATTTCGTAATCAAATTGTATTATTTCAAAGTAAAAATAAGATTTTTCATGTTATACATCCAGCACCAATATTATAGTTAATAAATATGTCATATTTCTTCATTACTTACACAATACAGTACTAGGAATCTTTGGGTAGCTTTGGGTAATTAGACAGACCCATTATCATAGTGCTACAGAGTTTTTGGCCTTAAAAATCAGGGGAGTCAGCCAATTTGTTCTATCTCAGGTGAGATTAGACTTGTCTAGGTAATTGATTAATGCCCTCTTCACTCATTGCTTGGATTCTGGTTTATCGGGAGAGTAATTTATTGTCTGGGTAGTGACAACCCTTGGTCACACTGCAAAAAATCCATGTGATCCAGTCTAATCTAAACAAAGGAAAAACATCTGTTTTTAGGGTTTGAATGGTTTCTTGCTTGTCTTCCCCAGATCTCCCAACAATAAACCACTTGACCAGTTTACCCATCTATGAATTCCTAGGACATAGGTTTTGACACCAGAGGTTGCCAGCAATGTAAGAAAGACAATCTGGATTAGGTGTACAGGTATTCAACACCGCAGGAAACTGTGTACTTCCTTTAGTGGTATGGAAGGAAAGTTAAAATAAAGGCTATATATTTCCTGTTGCTAGGGACACAAAGCCTGTACTTGTGCTTATCAAGGTTGCAATCTGTGTTCGGTGTATATTCAGAGAGTTCCTAGCATTTTTGTTGTTTTGTTCACTGGTGCAGGATCTGTAGATTTTTCTATTCCGATGTCAGGAGACCAGTGACTGCCCGGAGACGAGCGACTTTACCCCTAGGCTAAGAACCCTACCTGGTACAGTAATGTAATTACAATGCAAAGAACTCTCAACCTAAGGTGCCTATTCATATAGACTTCATATCACAAAATGTACATAGGGTACATATCACAAAATGCATCTCTGTTTCTATATAAAGAGCATCAGCATCCAAATAGATTACTGCTGCTACCAAACAGAAACATCTATATTGGGAGCCAAACTCGTTAGTTGAGGTATCATACAAAACACCACTATGAGTATCATATGTTGAAACTGTTGGAGACTACCTAACCAACTATCAGTATTCATAGCTGAACTGCATGCTTTATACCAAGCCCTAACATTAATAACTACATTGCCAGTTAACAAGCAAACAATCTATATTGCCTCTAAAGCACAATGCAAGCCATCTCATACAGAGCCAAAGCCGACAGAAAACTTGCCTACTATTATATAGAGTGCTGAAGCAGAATCATTTGGAAGGATTCAATATATTCATGTAGTGGGTACCACTACACTGGAATGGCCTAATTGCATATTGAAAGTGCTGATGATCTAAACAAATCAGAGTATCAGGGAACCAACAAGAAATCACGTCAGTCAACTACCTATCACTCAAAAGGATAACTGCTCTGTTTATGAGTATTTTCACAATGCTTTGTAAATTGCCTGCTAGAAGAGTTTGAAAGTTCTGTCTGTTCTCGTTTTACAGCAATATAGACTAGTAATGTGCACCTTTTTCATATTTTAAATTTTTATTATGTTGAAAAATAAATGAGGAGTGTTGGAAAAATATGAGAAATGTTGAAATGTTCATAAACATTCATTTATTCAGTTTTGTAATGCATTACCCATTATTAAAACATACAGTGGTACCTCGGAATACGAGTGTCCCTGTATACGAGTTTTTCGGAATATGAGCAGGATTTGCTTGGAAAATTTGCCTCGGAAGACGAGGGTGTTGATACGCGTACAGGCCGACTAGCACATGGTGGCACGGCGATCGCACCTCAGTTTACCAGTGCCTCGTGCCCAGTGACTATCCTGCCTGAATTCTTCACAGGGATTTACAGTTTTTTGTCAGTTTTTTGGCCACTTGAGCATAAAAGTTGTTTTTATATATCTCGCCATGGGTCTCAAGAAAGCCAGTGGTAAGGTTCAACCTAAGAAAATAGCTGTGAGTAGAGGCAGTAGAGGATGTCCTTTCTTCATTAAGAAAATGTGTGAAGCATGGCAAGAACTGCAAAGTTTTGTTGAAAAAACTCACCCAGATAAAGCTGTAGCAGGCCGTTGCATTGACCTTTTAAATGTCAATGTGATGTCTTACTACAGACAAGTGTTAAAATGTAGGGAAAAACAAGTGTCTTTAGACATTCTTAGTAAGACAAGCAAGTCCTAGTGGTATGCAGGCAAAACGTGCCGGAGTGTGCACACCAGTGAAGTCCTCACTGCCTGATGTTTTAATGAAAGGGGATTCCCCTTCCAAACAGTAACACCTCTCCTCCTCACCATCTTCCATACGCCAACAGCAGTCATCAGCAAGGGTAAGTAATAACGTGAACATAGTTTTGTAGGTTTATTTAATTAGGTATAAAAAAGGTACAAGGTATAAAATAATAAAATATGAATTAGGTATAAAATTTAGTTTGAAGTGAGGTTTTTGGATAGTCAGGAACGGATTAATTCATTTCCCATTATTTCTTACGGGGAAATTAGCTTCGGATTACGAATTTTTGGAATACGAGCTATCTCCAGGAACGGATTAAACTCTTAAACCGAGGTACCACTGTATTTTGTTTTGCATCTACTGTATATTCTAGCAAATTCATTTGACGGCAATTTGACAGCAATTTTATAGATACAGTATAACGCAAAAACTAACCGAGACAACGTAAAAAGTGTATAAACATTTTAGGAGTCGCTGAGCTAGAACTGGGAGTGCACAGAATGTTAAAGTTGGGTACACTTCAGCAGGTCGCAATGTTAGTGTTAATACGGAAAATAGACAATTCAACTTTATTTTAACATCTACTCATAGTGAGTCATTTTCTCAGCATATTTCCAACATTTTTTGTTTTTGCATTACCAAATGGCAATATGGCAACCTTAAGTCTTAAAATGTAGTAGCCTAAGACTTAGTTATATATTTTGAAATACTGTACTGTACATTCGGTCCTGGTAGTACAGTCGGGTTTGTTCTCGAGACACAATTGACAACCTGTTTTCACACCAGGCTGTTTAAAGCAGCGGCCATCCTACCCAGACGCATTCATCAATTTTAGCATACTGTGTATTAAAAATTGGTTTGGTCTCGTACAAATTAATATTCTCATACATAAAAATTGTATGTATAGTTTGGCATAGGTTAGGCTAGGTGTTTAGGTTCTGTTGGTAATTATTTGTATTTATAAGTTTGTGGGTGAGGCATTTATCGAATTGTGGTTCGAACAGAGGACATGAGTGAAGCACTTGTTCTGGAAGTGTTCGGACGTCATCAGTTGAGTCGTGTGTAAACCGCTTTTTCATTCATAGACAGGGGGTTTGGCGGCTGGATTAAAGAGCTTGGATCTTTGTATTCGAGAACGGGTTGCAATTGAGAATTCCGGGTTCAAATCCCGGGCGGGATTGAAATGGTGAGGCACATTTCATTGCACCAAATGTGACTGTTCACTGTTCTTATGGCAAATTGTTGGGATATTGCCAACAAATTGTACAGTTTTATGATGACTAAGCTTTTCACTATATAATTACTTTAAATTTCCTGTAATGCCTGTTTCATTCCATGTTTGAAGTGCATGTGAAGCAACTGACTTTGAAGTTTATTAATTAATGTATATTTATCATTACAACAAACACAGACTGGCTGGTTTCTTTTATTCTTATTTTATGCTGTGTTTTGTTGTCAATGTACGTATACACTGTAGTTAAAAAAAAAATCCAAAATGAACTGTCAACAAATGCATTTTTTTAAGGGTCATTTGTGCCAGATAACAAGCTCCATGATATCAAGTATTTTATTAATGTATGGTATAATTGAAAAGTAATCAAGTCAAACATCTTTGAAAAGCACATATATCAACTAGAATTAAATAGTCATTACAGTACTTCTTTTTGTTATGATCTAAATTATCTGTTATATTAATTTGCATATTGTTTAGTGAAATTCAGCATTATCCATAATGTGGAAATACCTGGTTTCAGGACGCTTAAAGTTATGACGTATCTAAGTGGAAGTGTAGGAAATGCTATATCTCTACTTAAGCAAAAGACCATCTCATCCTTGGAGCTCTGTGATGCAGCCTTGAGGCGTCAAGAAATTGTGGCACGATTGAATCCTTTCATCACCAGTACTCCAGAATTTGCTAGAGAATCATCAGCTCTTTCCCAGAAGAGGTAAGAAAAACAGTTTAAAAATTGTCATCATTGATATTAAAGCAGTGCCATATTCATTATCAGATTTATAAATTGTAAAGTAGATGGAATACTGTAATATAGGAATGGTTAAGGTAGGAAAATAAAAAGATATTCATTGTTGGTCCAGCACTTATTAGTGGGTAAAAAAGTATTTTTGTATGGTCATTTATGGTTTTATCAGTTGTTAATGATTTTTACTCACTAAGCATGTCTTTGGAAGATGCACAAAGATTCAGAGGCCAACCCTTACCTGCCAGGACCAGAACCAGAGGTTTAATACTCTACAAGGTGAAGGGGAGCTCATGGGGAGAGGGAGGATCGGAGATCAATATAAAACTAAGAAATAATCCACTAGTAAACATACACAACAAAGCAAATAATTGCTTGTCGACAATTATATACCCTGAAGTAACATGGGTATACATTGCTAGAGGGTAAACATCTTAACCTGATGCACGTGGCACCCACCAAGTGGCAGCCCAGGACACCCAGAGCTACTCACTCACTCTGCTGGTCACAACATGAGAAACACAGGACCTATAATAGAGCTCAACGAAGGGGGTGTTTGTTGGTTATTCCTGAAGCATTTGTTCTGCTAAAGGCCATTATTTTGTTAGTTTCCTTCATCTTTCATGATTGTGACGCTGTCATACCACCCACATTGTGTGTGCCTAAGATTTGCATTTCTCTTTGTATGCCAGGGTTATATTCTATGGTAGTTGTCTTCACTTTCCCTTGCCCTGCCAGAGATACCTGCATTGATTTGAACTTCTTGGGACACCTCACTTCTGGGTACTGCATGGGACATATTTTCTATTGATAGGGTGTGTAATAGTTAACTGTGTATGTGTGTGTCACACTTGTGCTTGGCACTGCTCTGTGTGCCTGTTGGAGCTTTGCACTTTCACCAAGGGGCAAAAGCTTGATCTGTGTAAGTGTTCGTTATTGTCCATTTCTGCATATGCCTTCCCTCACTCAGTGTTTCCAATTGGGGTTTGAGGTTTGTTCAACTGAGACCTTTCCCTTTCCATTGGTTTCTATACTGTACTTGACTTCAATTTGGCAGTTTCCACCATCTTTCCACCTGTTGATGTAGGGCTGCCCTTTTCCCACCCCAGTGAGAAAAGACCCACCCTGAGGGTCTTAGGACTGTGTTGTAGGCTCCATCTTTGGGGCAATGGCTTTTGGACCCCGCTTTCTCTTCATAGTCCTGATTATTTTGGGCTTCGTGCTACCTTGCTGGCTGTGACTCCCTTGTTTACCCTTGCCTCATTTTTTCAGGTGTGGTAGTCCTTGCTGCCATGAGTGTCATTGTTCTTGATCTTTGTTGCTTTCTGCAGGCCTCCGCCCCCCTTCCTTTGTGCCTTCAGCTATCTTCTCGGTTTCTGTTTTCCAGGCATTTTTCTCCAATTGGCCCATCTTCTGTTATGGCGTCATTTCTCATCCTCAGTGTAGGGTTCCTGCTTTCGTGTGCGCTTGTTCTCTGAGGCTTTCTACCATGGCTGTGATTTTATATAGTTTCTTGTGCGCCCTCTTTTGCCCTTGCTGGGCTCTGGGGGTTTTCCTTTTTTTGAGGTAGAGTGGGATACCAGGATTGTTTGGCCTTTCTGCTATGTGGAGGGTGGCTATGCAAGGCCCTAGTGTGGGGAGGGGGGAATGATTGATTGTTGCCACCGAAAGCAGCTAGTTTATTGTGCACCTTATAATCATCCTGTAAGCAGTAGCACAAAAAGGATTACAGAGGGCACAGGTCTTTATCAGACCTCAATGGAGATTATTACATTAACAATTATATCTATCCTGCACACCTTAATTTTCTGAATTTACCTGAGGGCCACTAACACTCTAGTGGCCTCGACAAGAACAGGAAGCCGACAGCGTGCCAAAGTACCCATATAATTATAATGTGTTATTTACACAAATGGTTCCATTTCAGTAGCTATGTATCAACAATTAATCATTATACATTAATGGTAGGTCTTTTTGCTAATACATAACTGTTTTAACTATGGTGGTATTACAGGGTCATAGGAAAGCTGCTGTTAATTATTGTTAGTCTTCACACTACACTGCTTGGTCCTTAATTTTGTATGTCATTTATCTACTGGAAGCAAAAAATTGATATGGTGCAAGAGTTTTAGATATTTTACCCTTGGTAATAAGATGGTTTGCCATTTCATGCAGAATAAGTTTAGATTTAACACTTAAATGATTCAATTTTATCACAGTCTAAAGTGTAATGCTCTAGTGAGTGTCCCTGTCTTTACACTGTCCACACACTTTACACTTTATTTCATCTAGATCCCCATAGGAACAATCAGAGAACACTGTATGAACATCAGAGGTTCATGGTTGTTCAACATACTCCCAGCGAGTATAAGAAATATTGCCGGAACGACCATGGACACCTTCAAGAGAAAACTAGATAGTTTTCTTCAAGAAGTGCCAAACCAACTGGACGGTGGTAAATATATGGTCCTGCAGGTCATTCCAAGCAACAGCCTGTTGGACCAAGCTTCCACAAGTCTAGCCTGGCCCTGGGCTGGGCTTGGGGAGAAGAACTCCCAGAACCCCATCCAGGTACAATCAAGGTATACAAGCCGAACTGCCAGAGATACTTGCAGCCGAGTCTTATTCAAGCTGTGACAAGGTCTGTTAGTCTGCTGATTTTGTTACTTGTCCCATACACATGTTTTGTTTGACACATTTCATTGTGATGAACAATGGATCTGCTAGTTCCAGTTTGCTCTGTTCTGCATTCTTCATGTGTATGTCTTTCCTGGTTTTGGCCTTCCTGTTTGGGTCGAGTTTAGTGTTGAAGTAATCCAGCTCTTGGATGTGGTCTAGACTTCTGTCACTGACATATTTAACATATCGATAGTTGGAGCATCTACAGACTTGATCTTGGTTTCATTTTATAGATAAATTAGAGTTTCTAAAGGTTAATATATTTATTTCTAGAGCTTTAACATTTGCATGATTCCTAAGGCAAGAATCCTGCATGTACAGTAGTTTTCTTCCTTCTATGCATAAACTGTCTTACATTCTTCCATATTCTCAGGTATGACAGAGGGGAGCATCACAGTCCATTGGACGGGATTCCGATAGCAGTCAAAGACAATTTCTGTACTTTAGGCATTCCAACAACCTGTGGCTCGGTTATGTTGAAGAACTATGTGCCCATTTATTCCGCCACCGTGGTAAAGAGACTACAGAAGGCTGGTGCAGTTATTATTGGTAAAACTAACCTGGATGAGTTTGGGATGGGATCGGGAACAATAGACAGCTCCTTTGGACCGTCTAAAAACGTTTATCGATCTGGAATCGAGTACAATTTTCTCCACTCAAGCAGGTAAAATAGCATTTAAATGAGTTTTTCATGAATTCATAGTTTTGTTATTGGCCAAGATAAGGTACTAGATAAATTACAGTACAGTATCTCACAAGAGCAATTATAAGTTGAGAGAGAATGCACGTATTATCATTCATATTTAGTAATTAATAATTGGTCATGCATTGCTTAAAATTGAACTTTTTGAATGAGGTGATTGACAGTAGAGAAAAGATCAGAATATGAATAAAATAGAAGAAGAAAGAGGAATTGCTGAGTAAGAGAGACTGTGAATGGAGGAATATGCTTCTCCATTTACTCAATTAAATTCACTCGGTTAAATTGTCTTTGTTGTGAGGTTTATCCCATAAACTAGTGATGGATGAAGTACTTTTTAAATAATTGTTGTGCATCTATAAGAATCTGTATGTATTATTTTCACAATTTAATTTTCTAGGTTGTGTACACAATCATTTGTATGACTATTTTATATATATATATAATATATATTATATATATATATATATATATAATATATATATAATCTATCTATCTATACCAACAGAAGCTGTGATAGCACAGTTCCACAGGTGCCGTCAACACCACTTACTAATGGAGATTGGTATATAACAGGAGGCAGCTCTGGGGGCAGTGCTTTAGCAGTAGCATCTGGTACAGCTTTTTTGTAAGTCTTTGTGTATTTATCTGCTGTAATTGTCAAGGATTTCTGTTGTTTTGCAATAGGACATCAGTATTTCTTGTCTTTACATTTTGCTAAGAACCATAGATATCGAGACAACATTTGATATAAACTTACAAATTGTGCAAGATGGATTCATTGTGTTTCCTCAGACTGCTCTAGCTAATTTTAACAATAAACTACTGTACCTAGAAATGATTTATAGATGATGATAATACTTTATAAGATATACAAAAGATCATGTTATACCGGTTACTTAATAGGTACGGTAATTTATGTAGTATATGAAGCCACTAGGTATGCATATAATTTATTTTAGTCAACATGTAATGGTATAATAATTCTTAAAGTAGTGTCACAGTTTACCTGTAATTAAATATGACTGCAAGATTGTTATGCATTTAACAGGGCATTAGGGTCTGATACAGGAGGATCTGTGCGTAACCCATCATCATACTGTGGAATTGTTGGCTTGAAACCTTCCTATGGGGTAGTGCCACGGTTTGGGCTTGTCAGTTTGGTAAACTCGTTGGACGTGCCTGGGCTATTTGGACGCTATGTTGACGATGTTGCGACTATGCTGAGCATTGTGTCTGGATTGGATCCTCAGGTAGATATATAATATTTAGTTACATGTTCACAGTGAATATTAATTTGTAATAATCCTTATCTTAATTTTGAAAACTTGTCTTTAGTGATTTTCTGCAGAATACTGTACAATACAGTATTTATTTTATAATTATTCCACTGAGGTTCTCCCTAAAGGGAAGGTCCCAGGGGACAAGATTATGACAGGGTATTGTCATCTGCTTCATTGCAACAGGAATCTTTTGAAATATACCTGTTAGTTATACTGGTGACACAGTAGTCACTGGATAAAATCAGCGTTGAATGTAATGAAATGCCAAGCTCAAGGGTGAACCTCATTGGTTCCCTGAAGCTTTAATGCTGATATAGTGCTAAACTATTGGTTGCTATCAGTCATGGAGTTCTTTTAGGCCTTTTGGGGACCACAAACCAGAACATGTCTCCTCCTAATGAGGGGGTGCCAGGTTCAATAATGTGCCACTGCTCTCTGTGCCTCATTAGAGGGGGACCATGTTCTGGCTTGTGGTCCCCTGTAGGTCTAAAAGAATTGCATGATTGATAGCACCCAGTAGTTTGGCACTATATTGTGGCCAAGTGGCACTTGGCAACTACCAAATCGATGCCATTACATTACAGTCGATTGATGAAGAAAAGGAACTGGAAGTCAAAATCCACCAGTCACTAAAAGTTGAACAACAGGTAGGAGCAGCAGTCCAGAAAAGCTAATCAAATCCTTGGAGTAATCAAGCGTATTTTTGACTAAGGAAAGCGTATCTTTGACTAAGGAACAGAAGGTAGTGATTCAACTGTATAAATGTCTGGTGCACCCCTCCCCCTATTTGGACTACTGTATCCAGGCATGGAGACTTCACTTACAGAAGGAAATAGCTGCTCTGGAGAAAGGGCAACACTGGGCAACAAAAGTCATTCCAGAGCTAGGTCATCTCTCATATCAGGAATGGTTGATGGCCACAGGCCTAACAACACTGCAAACCAGGCACAACAGGGCAAATCTTATTGAAACTTTTAAAATACTGAACAAGTTGGAGGATGTTGATCCTGACAATTTCTTTAAAAAGGTCAGATGTATGCAACACAAACAAGGATCAATTGTTTCATGTTTAACAAACCTCTACGTAGGACTCGGAATAGGAGATGTTTTTTGACGCACAGGGTTATAAACTCATGAAATCGCCTACCTGCCAAAGCCTCAAACACCAAAACTCTGTTAGGTTTTAAAATCCACCTGGAGAGGATCATCAAGGCAAATGGAAGGGGGGGGGGGAACCTTTGACAAGCTGCCAGCTTCCTGTCCTCGTCGAGGCTACCAATGTTAGTGACCCTCGGATAAATCGGATAAAAATATCGGCATTGTAGTGTAGCAAGTATATTATGTCTGTAATATATTTGCTCCATATTCTCATTAGCTTATGTGCAGATAATAAGATGGGTCTGTTAATTCTACTTAGTATACTAATTACAATTAATACCTCTTCCTAAGTGTACAGTTAATAACTTTTCCCAAACCTGCTAGAGGATGGTCAGGTCAGGTGTGAACCGGTAATATAAGCAGTCATTAGCAAATCATCATCAGTCTAACTCCAAGAGTGGTTCAGTACAGACGCTTGAGAGATACCATGTACTGTACAGTATCTTCAACATTCACCAACAACAATGTAACACTCGACATGTCCAGTTCCTACCCTCACAAGATGCTTCAGCCGCGACACAGAGCAGACAGCAAGACTCCAGCCACATCAAGTTCCCAAGCTCGTCTCGCACTCAGCTCCTCAACTCCACCCGCATTCAGAGTGTCACGCTCTACACACACACACACACCGCATCCGAGGTGCTCTCAGTCCCCGGCCTTGTTCGGCTCTCTGTCCCTGGCCTCACTCAGCTCTCTGCCCCTCTGGGCTTCGTCTCAACTACTACAACACTTCACTATATTACCAACAAATCAACTGTTGAAACCAATACTATACTAAATAAATATAAAAAAACATTAAACTCTGTGTCTAATCAGTGCATCAACTAAACAACAACTGGGAGGCACAAGGGCTGCCCCAAGAAAAGTTTGATCCACCCCAAAATAACTACAGAAGATTTACTCATTCAAAGCCTTTCCAAGCCCTATTCGGGCTTGCAACGACTGCCAAGTAACACTATTACAGACAGCCAGTTTGGCCACTATTCCTGACTGCCATCAGATGGCAGCACTCGTATCAATACCGCATTTCCTGCCTAAAGCCCCATTATAATTTTCCTGACTAATCCCTGTGATGATTAAGTAGGCTTCAGACTGGATTAATTTAAAAGGCTTGTTTCATCTTTAGAAACTTTGGTTTCAATGTACAGTGGACTTGTGTCTGAAAAGATCTCTATTGTATGGATGGAGACTACCTTGTCCTCACCATCATGTTCTTGTCCACTTAAAAAATTTTCAGTGATCTGGCATTAAGGAACATACAAATGTCTTGCTCAGAAAGGAGCTTTACATAATCACTCAAATCTGTTTTTTTGTTTTTCTTTAGGATTCAACAAGTGTACCAAGTGACCTGCAGAATTTGAAGCTTCCAGAGAGTCCAAGTTTAGATGGATTGATTGTTGGCATCCCAAGAGAGTATCACTGGCCAGGGATGAGTATGGAGGTAGTCGAGGCATGGACAAAAGTGGCCGATTTGATGGAGAATTGTGGAGCCCAAGTGAGCTTTAGTATAATTACTTTATAATCTTGTACATATTTTTATTGAAGTTTTCATTAGATGGTTGGTTATTATTCTCTTTCAGTTGTGCTTTATTTACCAGTATAAGAGAATAGTGTTTATGTGGAGCAATAGTGTCTTGCTTAAGTGTACATATATACTTGAGCAAGTGTACATGTACTCTTGAGTCATACACTAACTCTACTTAAATGGTAACCATTATTGTTACCACCTCACAATTAGTTGCAATAATTACAACCACTCCAAACTCTACCACCATTGCTACCCAAGTCATCACCACCCAACTGGAAGTCACCATTATCACTACCTTGTCATAAGTCAATACTGTACCACAATTAATCCTTAGACTGCAGGTATCTCATGTTCCATAATGCCTAGTGTACAAAAAATTCAGTGTTGAATGTAATGAAACACCATTTTCTGGGGAGAGCACCTTCGGCTCCCTGGAGCTATCCAAGCTGCTATGTATATCACTAGACTTTCGCATCATTCGGTGTGTATGGAGTGATCACACACGATGGATGCGACCCCTGGGTCCCTTCTCGCCTTGTGCGAGTTTGAGGGTTGCTCTGTCCCCCATGTCTCAGGGCGATGCTCATTGTTTTTGCCTCTGTCATGCTGTCTGTTGGGTCGGTGACACCTTCGACCCTGAGTCCTGCGAGCATTTTTGCTTGTTTGTGACTCAATTCACCCAATCCACTGATGATATTATTCGGGTGCAGGTGGCTCAGGCATTGCATGCTAGGTATAGGTTGTTGCAACGTGCTAGGTTGGTTGTTTCCCCGGAAGCCCTGAGGCTGCCCCGCCTTGCTCATCGGGACCCGGACTTGGGGGGTGTTTGTGGCTTCGGCCTTGATTCCGTCTGTGCCCCCTCGTTCTTCCCCTGCTGTGGTTCATTTTGTTCCCCCCTTCCCCTTGCTTCTGGCTCCAAAGGATCTGAGGGCTTCGGAGTCAGGGTGGGGTTTAGAAGTCCTGAGGTGCTGGCGGCCATTGCGGCTTACGTCCATTGCGGCTTACGTCCTGCGCGACCCAGATTATGCCTCTATAATGGATCTGTCTTCCTTCAGGTTTGGGTCTTCGTCTCCATACTGGGTTCGTTATGTGGTTCTGGAGTCGTCCTGGCTTGAGGACTGCACATTGTTGTCGTTGGATGCTAGGAGTGCTCTCTGTCGTACCCGCACGCTTGAGTTGCGTGAGGCGTTGACAGTGGTCTAGGTTTGCCTGGGGAGAGAATATGTCCCTGGTAGGCCTAGAACTCCACACACACTGACTGATGCCAATGTCTAATGATGTACATATCAGCCTGGATAGCTCCGGGGAGCCAAAGGGGCTCTCCCCAGAAAATGGTGTTTTATTACACTCAGCACTGCATTTTTTGTACACTAGACATTATGGCACATGAGATACCTGCAGTCTAAGGATTAATTGTGGTACAGTATTGACTTACGGCAAGGTAGTAATAATGGTGACTTCCAGTTGGGTGATGATGACTTGGGTAGCAATGGTGGTAATTTGGTGTGGTTGTAATTATTGCAGCTAACTGTTAGGTGGTAACAGTAATGGTTACCATTTAAGTAGAGCTAACTAGTGAGGGGGGTTGTGGTTGAGCCCGCATAAAGAGTTTTCATGAACTTTGCGTGTACAGTATTGTGAGATGTACTCACATTTTGCCATTTATTTGGCTGAACAAGGGTTATACCTGGAGCATACCTGGGAGGAATCTGGGAGTTCTTCTACTGACTTACCTGTCAGTTGCAGCAGTTTGGTTGTAGCAAACTGCTGTAAATCAGTAAATGTATAGAGTTGTGGTAACTCCAGATTACTTTTTCAGGAGTTATACCTGGCATAATTAATACTATGTTAGTTTCTGTGCCAAGAGCATTAACTTTCCATGTTGCAACTCTTGATTCCTTTACAGCACAGTGTGTCAAATATCTGATCTGTTCACAGGCAGTTTTGCAAATATCTGATTCACTAAGTCACTTCTTGCTGTAAAGGCCTATGTTTATCTATCACAATACAACTTGTAAATCAATATACAATACTAAAGTTAATTTAGCTGATCTAACTCTTATTGACTTGTGTATCTTTGTGGATAGTTTAATGAAGCTTCATTATCGCTTTGGTTAACTTATCACTGCAGTGTTGGTTAGGTCTCTGTGTTTATAATGTTGTCTTCATCTTGTTAATTATCCACATGTCTATCAGTATTCATCTCTTGTTACAGGTTCAAGAGGTATCGATGCCACACATGAAATACTCCATCATCTGCTACTCCATCTTAAATCCTTGCGAAGTGGCTTCTAATTTTACGAGATACACGGGAGTTGGATATGGACATCGAGTGCAATCGACTCACTCAATGGAAGCTGTGTATGCTTTCTCTCGGTCAGCTGGTTTGAATGAGGTTGTTAAAGGCCGAATCCTTGCTGGAAACTACTTTCTCTTAAAGGAGAATAAAAACAAATATTTCAAGCAAGCTTTAAAGGTATGCAGACGTGTTCTTCATATAATATGCTGATTACAGGTGCAGTTTTAGAAATTACTAGATTGTTTGCCCCTGTCCCTCTGCAGGATGTTGGTGTGTTGCAGCTTCATGTGCAGCTTCCTTCCCTTTCGCCTGCGTTGGTTGCGGAGGCCTTGCACACAAGTGGCCTGTTGGGTTTGGCCCTGCATTTCTTCTCCCTGCTCAAGCTGTGTTCCGACTAGCTTGAGGTGGATGTGGGGGTGCTTGGGGCCGCCTCTGGGTTTGGTGCATTGCCTTCGGCGGTGCGTGTGTGGTCTGATTTGTTGAAGCTGTTCGCGCTAATCGTTCAAGATGCTGTTTCGTGGTTTTTTGCTTCCCGCCTTGCGTGTCGGCGGGTGGTACTCGCTTCTTCTTCTCTGAAATCTGCTTGGGCTCTGGCTCTTTGGCTGTCTTCACCTTTTTGCCCACCTGCAGGCGGCTTCATCTAGTTGCCTTCCTATGTCGGACATGTTAGTCTTCCTGGGGGGCTTGTCGGGGGCCTCCCCGGAAGGGTCGTGTCAGGGCTCGGGGTTCTTTCTGTCCTGGTAGGTCAGTGGTGCCTGATCTGGCGCAGCTGCTTAGGTGCTCATAAGGTGCGTCGGCCCCATTGATGAGGAGGCTCGCGCTGTTTGCTCCCGCCTGGTCCCACAATTTGTGGGCCTTTCGGGTCATTTTGTACAGCCTGCGATGGTATTGGATGGCCCCTCCTCCTTTGGGGGGTTCGGGGCTAGCTGGGCAGGCCTCTTCTCCTGTGCTCTGTCAGGTCGTCTCGGAGTGGGTTTGCTTGAGCGTGGTCAAAATGACCTCGTCCCTCAGGTGGGTTTCTCACCTGTTTCCAGTTCCGAAACGGGACTGCGCGGACCTCAAGTTCAATCTGGACTTGTCCTGTCTGAACCCATGGGTTTATTGCTCTTCCTTCTGGATGCCTACTCTGTCTCAGGTCTGTCTTCTGTTGGAGCTGGATGCTTGGATGGTGCCAATATGCATCCTGGACCTCCAGGATGCGTATTGGCACATCCTGATTCATCTGAGGTTCAGGGATTGATTCAGTTTTGTAGTGGGGCGGCAGGGTTACCACTTTCGTTGCCTTCCCTTCGGTTTGCATCTGGCGCCTTGAGTTTTCACACACCTTACTAGGGTCATGGTGGCCCGCCTGTGTCTGTTAGGTGTTTAGGTTCTGGCCTACCTCGACAACTGGCTGGGGTGGGCTCCCAGCCTGTCCACATGTCTGCTCGCCAGGGATCTGGTTCTTTCCCAGCTCACCGGGTTCAGGTTCCTGGTGAAAGTCCCAACTGGTTCCCTTTCAGGTTTGGTCTTGGCTGGGTCTTGTGTGGGACACTTGGACCTCTTCTTTGTCTCTCCCTCCAGCGGCTCTGGTTCGGCTGCGTTCCCGCCTTCGTCTCATCACAGTCGACTTGATAATTGTCCAGGACAGACAGAAACGTCGTCTCTTCAATTTCTAGTGTGTGGTTTGGCCAACACCTAGTACAGTATTGTTTTCTCTGATGTTAAACTCCACTACGTGATTTTTACCTCCTCCTCATAGATGTAATTTATTGTTTCATGCACAGACATTAAGTTGCAATAAGACGACTTCACATGATATTAGTTGAGGATGAACTGAAATGTTGTCACCTCCTTTATTTTTATACATGTGGATTGGGTGTCTTATACTGTTTCATATAAAAATGATGCTTGACATAAAAGATTATGAAATAAAAGTACTGTACATAAATTTTGCACAGGTGCGTCGTCTTATTGCACAGGATTTTGGCCAAGTGTGGTCCAGTGGCGTTCAGCTTCTTCTGACTCCAGTAACATTGTCTGCTGCTATCAGGTACACTTATTTCTTCTTTAGTGTTATATTTTTATGTACAGTAATTTTACAGCTACTATAAAAAAATATCTTTGTATAAAATAACATGTTGAAACCTTGCCTGCTCGCAGGCTTAGTGGATGAACTTCATTGGCAGTATAGTAGTACAGTATTTATATAAAAATGCTTCAAATTAGTAGTTCAGGTGTGACGTTCATTGTGAGAGGGTTTGAGTGGGTTGTCACACAAGACGGATGGCCATAATTATATGCGAGTAGAGTTTACAAGATGAGGGTGTAGGCTACTGTAGCATGGTAGATATTATATATAGTATATGTAAATCTAAGATTGTTATACATAAATTTTAAGAATTGTGTGTGAATAGACAAAGCTATAGGGATACATTTCATAAAACTTCATGCATTTGTTGCAGATACTCCAAATTCCAAAATCTAGACAACCGTACTCAAACAGCAATTCAGGACATCTGTACTCAAGCAGCTAACATGGCAGGTGTGCCAGCTGTTAGCATACCTGTTTCATTAAATAGTGAAGGTTTGCCATTGTCACTTCAGCTGATGGCTCCGTGGGGTAAAGATGCAGACATGTTGTCTGCAGCAAAGTGGATTGAACAACAAGTAAATTTTCCAAGGTTAAATATTCTAGAATAAATGTAAATATTGTACACTAATAATATCACTCGTTTCTTTGTCCTAGAGTAACTTTCATAATGTAAACTAAATGCTTTATAAATGCTGCATTTGATGCTTATTTTTTTTTGTCCCAATATAGATGGGAATGTGAATGATTAAGAGAGAAAGATCTCGGCTAAGAATCTCAATGCAGTATTCAACAGTAAGTGTGCTTTCTGTATTTGTTTTCTTCGACATGACTATGGTATTTCATTATCTTAAAATTCCCTAAATTGTTTTGCTTAACTACGTATTGTAATTGAAAATTGTTGAGGGCAGCATTATATGAAGCAAAGCAGATCATATTAAGATAGCATGTACAGTATTGTATTGTAAAAGGATCTCGATATCCAGTCTGGTCAAGGTTCATTCATAATTCAATGAGCAAGGTTTCAGGGTGCATCTAGTCATACACACACCACGAGTTGATAGTACTATTGCCTCACATGTGGGGGTCTGCGGTTCAAGACCCATGCAGTCCAGGTGAATGGGATAGTCATACACCAGTTTGTTAAACCTGAATTGGTTGGCAAGTACTGCATACAATTAAATGAAAGGTATACATTACCTTAACAAGGGAGAGGGGCCCCGAGATATTAACAACCAATATCTCGGGGCCCCCTCTGAATTGTTAACCACAAATACAGGGTATGAATGAGAATCTACTCGATTCTGTATCCAGCTTCCACTGATTTCCGCTTGCCTAATTACAACCACCAATTTAAATATACTGTCCTTTCCATATTCAGCCATCTTGTCATGGTGGTTGGGCTTCAGTGCTTTACTCCAGTACATTTACGATTATTCCAGATATACAATATACCAATCAAACAAGGCATAGTGCCTGCTCCAGTGAAATTGGACTATACCAACTGGTTGAGGCCATGATGTCATGGATCTGTCATGAGTGAGGCCACTGCAACTCAGTCATTGCTTCTGGTCACTCCTTCCTTGCCCATTGTTCAGTGCCTGACTGCACTCTAATGTATAATTTGGAGTGTGTATATTTACTCGATTGTGTACATTCCGTTTTCATTGCATTCCCTACCTCTATACTACACGTTGTGTCTTAGTATGTGCTTATGGGTTATACTAGTGTTGGTGCTAGGTTGGACTGTGTACTTGTTCAGTTCCCTGCGATTGGACAGCCCCGCTGTTTAGTTGTAGAACTTAAGTTTATCTTCTTGTATGTCCCTACCAGTTTGTGTTGCAACGTCTGCTGGTGGCTGTAGGTTCCTGTCACCCAATCTTGCCCCCTTCTGTTCCTTTTTGTTGGGACAGGGAGGAAAATGAAATGGTACCTATAAGTATGTAATGAAGACGGCAGTTAGAGTGCGTGTCCCCGTCCACACACTATACCCTTTTACTTCATCTAGATCCCTATAGAAGCCGAACTGCCATATGCACTTGTAGCCACGTCTTAGAGCTGTGACAACGTTTGTTAGTGTCTGGACCTATCCTGTTCCTAAAAAATATGAAAAATCTTACGGCAAGTAATATTCTTATCAATGTTTGCTATTTTAAACTTTAAAAGGAGTCCGACCCAGGGACTGCAATACAAGATGAATTATACAATCTCCAGAAGTGGTAACTAAACTAACCCTGACAAATGCAAGGTTATGATATGTATATTAAATCCTTGTTCCAATGCCTAACTGTATGTAAGGAAGTCAAATTTTTACTTTTCTACTCTCATCCCTTGCCTGCTGTGACAGTGCTCCAGCAAACTACACCAATGTGGCATTACCACCCGTGTGTTGACATGGAGACCCGTATATACCCTATTGTTTCACAAGGCTGTTGAGCCTATCAAGTGGTTGTTGCCCTAAGGGAAGGGGGCACACTTTTGGCAATTTGTTGCAACCAGCCACCGGGATCTGACGTATACCTCGCCTCTCCTGCTGGCATGCCGTGTTGCACAGCTACCGGCAAACTACTATAGGCAAGGGGCATTACCCTAGGTGGTCAGCCCCATTCATCCTAAACATACTTTGATAAGATGGAGGGCCTCCTTAAGTAATGGGCATTGCCGGGTAAAGCACTAGCAAGCACCAAGTCAAGTCAAGGGTTTAAGTAATTTAGTATCAGATTGGAAGTTCTGTAGAATGCTTTGGGTAGGTGTAAAAAGAATTTTAAGGGAGCTAGCATTTATTTAGTAAAATAATTATACAGTCAAGTACTCTGGTTTCCAGTGTTCACTTCATCTTGCCTCTGTACACAGCGTTATACATTGTAGAGGGAACGAGACTAAGGGCGTCCTCGTCGTCCTGGGCCTCCAGCCACCCCAGCCCGGAGTAGGAGATCATGAGGGTGCCCGGATTACCATACACGAACGGGAAGGACGATGGGCACAACGAAGGTGTAGTTTTTATCTGTTAACAAAAAGTTAAAAAACAGTGTCTTGCTCATCACTTGCTTAGCAAAACCTATGGGGTTCAGTTCCTGAACCGATTATGTGTAACCCTTTCCACATAATCTATTCAGGAACTGAACCCCATATTTTAGCCAACCTTTCCCAGTTATCTTAAATGATGCTACATATCTAGAAAGGAAGCACCAAGCCAGGAAGGCGAATTACTGTTAGCCTTTTCCACCACTGCCCGCAGGATGGGTATGGGGGTGCATAATTAAGATTACAAGCAGGTAGCCATGAACTACAACCAAGAATCTTGAGCCTTACCTTCCTGCCAAACACAAATTTTCCACCCTTCATATAATAGATCAGGAGATCCCTCCGCCTCTGCATGAAGAGTCCGACCTCACCAAGTGGGGTGAGGGACAGCCGGCCATGAACAACCCCATCGATTTCTAGTTTCTGTTTGGGGAAGAGAAAAGAAAAAAGCGTTAATGTAATTAATGACTACACAGTAGTGAACTAATTTCTCCAACTCTTTATATTTTTGATACCTCAAAAATGATATCTTCAAACAAACCCTTACCTGGAGCATTTTGACTTCAAGGTTATGTTCAGACTTTACGCTAAACACGAGTACTGATGAATTGCAGAACCTGTTTGGTAAGGTTGTGACGGTAACAACTGCCCGACTCTCCCAGGACACGGCATCAACATCTGAAGCCCCAGCAACTGCTAGTGTCCTAACCTGAGAGTTAAACAAAATTTAATAGGGAGGATTTGGGGGAAGGGGAGAATTGGAAAGGGGGGGGGGGCTGCGGGAGAGGGCGATTGAGAGGGAGGGGCGGAGGTAAGGGAATAGAGATGTTTCAGCGCCAATTTAGAACTACATTTAGATTCAGACCCAGTTTACTTAGGGAAATGACATGCAAACTAGTCCAAACTTACCATGCAACATTCCAAGAATATTAAATGTATGAATTTAGTTTCATTATCGTGTGCTTTATATCAAATAATTTAATGTAAAGATGTATGTAACTTGGTAGTTTCGGAACACGTACGAACTACCCAGCATAAATAAAGCATCTGCCAGTAGAGACATGAAGTCTTGTCGCGGTGGAGAGTATAGGCGAATAAATTACACGAGGCCCGGCCCACCCCACCCCCCCACCCCCCCCCCCAACTCACCAGTTGCATTTTGTCAGTCTTTTCATCATGTCTGAATAGCTTGAGGTAACCTGGCTCGAAGTCGCTCCCTTCCTCTGCCACCACCAGGTAGGTGTCGTGCCCCTGACTCAGCCATGCTCCCTGCAAATGAACACATTATGAACCACCTTCAAGTGTCTCTCACTATCTGGTAAAGTTAAAGTATAACCAAGACTTGCCTTAACAGCCCTGGTAGTATGGAGGTAGTTCAAGAGCCTGAACCCAGAGGACGGGAGCCCACACACGACAGTAGAGCTGGCGACGTAGTCCAGCACGGCCAGGCACCGTCTGTTGTCCTTCAGCCTGAAGCTCTGGGGAAAATGGGGTGGAAAGAGCCGATTCAGCAACCTTAAAACCATGGAACAATCTTGGTGGAAACCCTTCCACCCCTTATCCTTCTCGTCCCATTCCCCTCCCAGATTCCGTCGCTATGCAGTAGTTAATTTTGACCAAATTTAGTCAAGTTTACAATCGCCCTTAAAGATCCCGTATCAGAAGTCTTTACGATTCCACCAAACCATTTTACGTTAGCTTCATAATATAACTAATAAAAGAATCCTTACCACTAGGTCTTTACACTGAACAATGCCAAAAGCAGCTTCAAGTCCAATTTGCCCAGCTAGTGAGTGGATGTGTCCGTAGCTGCTCTGGACCCCACTCTCTAGGGGTATCTGCAAGGACAGCGGAGGTTCGAAACCTTTCTTGGTATCAATTTAAAGTAAAAAGTCAAACTATGCCCAGTGAATGTGAAAAAATTTAAATACCATATTAAAGTCTAAAGTCTTGTTGAGCTGTGACGTCATGTTCATTAGGCTGCCCCCACAGGTAGCGAGCAGACCACTACCCAGACCTGCAACACTCACAGGATCCAACACCCTCACTGCACGATCTGAACGCATGCCACAACATTGTAAGAAAAATTAAAATTTTGCACATTGTATCAATTGTGAAAAAATATCCCACTAGTTCGAAAAAAATTATATGACCGTCATTAGCGAAATATTAGCATACGCAGATTTTTGAATAGTGCTTTATAGGTGACCTTTCATAATATATCTTTTATACATTCCAAAATATAACCGATCACAACAGTACTCACAAAGTCTGGGGAAGTTAGAAGCAATGCGGTATGTAGCGACCAAATTATTTTTGTCCAGGCCAACCAGAGTGTCATACGCCTTTGGCTGCAGGTAGTCTCCTTGTAACCTGTGGAGAACAAGCAGGTGCTAGTTTAGCTCTAACGAGAAATGTAAGTGCCAGACCTCAATAGCTATAACAAGTCAGCCTTCAGAAATTTTACGCAAGAATATTTAAACTTGTTTGTATAGTCTGAACTTACGTGACCGCCAAGAACCTGTAGACAGACTCCAAAGAACTCTCTTCGTAATACCAAATTTCTGCATCTTCGTCTGAAAAAACAGTAAAGATTTTGTAAAGTTGCCAAGATATAAATTATATCATAGAAGAACTTAAATTGCCACCATAATTACCTGCCAGAGCAGCCTTCGTTTTGTGAGCAGTGTTCAGAGCGACGCCGAGGTGATCACCCATGCTAACGAGGTAGTCCCCGTTAATGACCCTCCCGAGGTCGCTTATGTTGTAAGCATTGATAAGGTCGTTCACCAAGGTCACGGTGTTAAAATAACAAGTGTCCACGAAGGTAATTGGCGCTTTAACGATACTTGGGGCGTTTATCTTTACCTGAAGATTAACGTAGAGGGAGACTTAGGATTAAGAGGCACATTTCCCTACGAAAACTGCAACAAACCAGACTTAAAGACTTAACAAGCACCTGTAAGCCTTCAAGTACATCTTTCCTACACTTAGCAAATAAATTGCCATTACTGTCCTACAGATTCATTCAAGAAACTAAACGTCAATTCAGGCAAATTGTCCGAACTGAACCTCAAACAAATCTATCTTGTCAGTCTTTATACATTATCAACACTGAATCGAGATTTATGTAGAGTCTTACCGTCAAGTTCTTGAGCCTACCAAGATCCATTTTGTTAAATCTATTGTCTAGAATTATCACGGAACCGGCTTCGAGTGTAACGCCAGATGGTCCTGGGTTAAGCTTCAGGCTTCCAGTCATCTCCTGGTCGCCAGTCCTCAGCAGCAGCGTGTCCTGCCTCACCAGGACGCCATCAACAGTACCGGACACTCTGCAAGAAAGTAGTTTAGTAATAGCGAAAATCTCCAACAAATTTTTTTCCAAGCTTTACCACTCCACACTGACAAGAGTACGTACCTTAAATCCAAGCCATTATATGTTAGTCCTTTGAAGGTGGTAACGCCAGGAATCTTGTACGTCGCCCCACTCAAGGTTCCGATGGCAAGTCTCCCGAGTTCAGACACGTCCACACCCTGGGAAGGGTGTAAATTTACCACGTTACTGCACAGTTCACTAAGCAAGTATGTGTATGAACGTCACCAAATTGCAAATCTGGGATCTCTTTACGAACCTGAATCGTTGCTTCTTCCACTACAGTCAAGTTTCCTCTGACAATAAGATTTTGAAGGAAGGTTTTCCTTCCTGTGATTACAGCAGTCTTTCCGTACTGGACAAAATCGGTGCCGATTCTCAGCCCATTAAGAGTACCATTCAAGATTATATCACCTGTAGGACAAATTTATTAATTTTTATTTCTGCTTAAACCTATTCTAAAAACCCACGAAGCACAGTACTTACTCTTTGCTTCCAGTTTGGCAATTTTCAGTCTACCAGTTATTTCTTGGTACCCGTCTTTCATGAAAACGTGAAGAAGATCAGTCTGGGGAAAAAGAGAAGCATGCCAACACGTTTAAATCTAAACTGAAAATAATGGTTTAACAAGTTTATTTCAAATAGGTGTCGAGAACTTACTACGCCAATATTGTCTGGTGGGTTGTACACCACGTCTGTAATTACTGCCTCTGCTGTTAATGTGTCCATAGTGAACTCGCCATTAACCATTTGTCCCCGGCATTCTTTTTTCAACATCTGGTCCCACACGACTCCCAGGTCGTGGCCATTTATTTTTCCCTGAAAGAATGATCAGCAACAATGACATTGCTCAGAACTTAAATCTTTAAAGAATATATAATGATTGGGTTTAAATCTGGTGCCAACATAAGTATCTAGGTTTTAATATGTTAGCGTAGTTACATGCCATTTACATGACTTTCCTGTAATCAAGTGGGGCATAGAACAAAGCTATTAAAAGGTCACTTTAAAGGTCTCGAGTAAACTACTTTAAGGGATAATCTGAACCAAATTTTATATCCAAGTTTAAACAAGTATCTACTTGCCATAACATCCAGCACGAGATTAACATGGGCGCCATGGTTCACAGAGGCGAAGGACACTACTGAAGCAATCACATTGGGAACATCAGTAAGCCAGAACACATCCCTTAGTGTGGACACATCTTCGCCGTTCAGAGAATCGGTCAGTGTAAGGGTTCCTCCAAAGTGGACATCACCTGCAGTAAAGATTAGTTTAAATTCTGCACAGTTGTGAGGGGGGGGTGATGCCCCCCCCTCTCTCTCCAACCCGTCCTTTACCGTTTTATCCAACAGTCTACCCCACAGACGCATTCAATTTTTTTATATACTGTTCATTCAAGATTGGAATTCTTAAATATAAATTAATATTTTAATATATTAGCACATATGCATATGTTATGTTATGTTTTTAAGTGCTGTTGGCGATTATTTTTATATTGAAGCATTTATAGTGTTGTGGTTAGAACAAAATTCTCTAGTGAAACCACTTGTGCCGGGTGTTTTCGAACGAATCAGTAAAGTCTTGTGTAAACCGTTTTTTCCATTCATAAACAGGGGGTTTGGCGGATGCATGGAATCTTTGGTTCTTTGTTTGGAGGACGGGCTGCCCTCAAGAGCATTTTAATGTATCGATGGTTAGCGATTGTCGACGCTAGTAAACACTGCTTAACACCTAGTCACGTGATATTTATGGTTAATATAACTATTTACTATATTGTTCCACAAATTCACTCTTCAGCTGACGCATCGAGGTGTACGCAATCTACCTGTTGCAGCCTGCAACACCCTACATGGATGGGATTATTGCAGACAGTACACAAGAAGCGTGGGCGCCGGTGTTCCGAGGCAGTTCCCCTGGATGATGTGGACAGTGTGGGTGATGTGGTCTCTGGATTCTTCAGACGGCGAGGTCTGGTCTGGTGGGGCCTGTCTCTAAGCGATCGCGGCGGGCTCAGAGTCTCTCTCCTTCGTGGTGTGCCTTGGAAGGTGGTGGTTGGGGAGGGGAAGTATGGTGCTCCGGCGTTCCTCACCGGAGGTGAGGGAGCTGTGCGGGACTCTCTTCCTGTGCCCCCACCCCCTGCGTCTCCTGCTGTTGGGTCCCGGCAGTGGGGGATTGCCCCCGATCGGTACCGCGTTATGGCACCGAGGAAGGATGTGCGCCGGTGGGAAAGGAAAGGGGGGGGGGGGTCCTCGGCTCTTGTGCCTAGCGGCAGCGACAATGCCACGCCTGCGGCCCCTGTGGTTTCCCCTCCTGCGTTGCCCCGGTCTGGGGAAGAGCCTTGTCCTGCCTGCAGGGACCGTGACCGGTGAGAGTCAAGTGCTGGGCCTTTCTCGGGATCCCCGGGTGCTTCCATCCCATGGTGCTCTTTCACTATCTGGGTGCCGCGGGTGAAGGAGTTTGTTTATGAGTTGCCAGACTGGATGCCTCCGCCGAGGGCGCCGCCTAGTGACCAGGTGCCCGCTGACAACTTGCTTCTTTGGAGACACTTACTGCTTGCGCTTTCCAGTGCAAGAGTTCCCAGTCCTAGTAACATTGTAGTGAATGTTTACCACTCGATAATTTCGATTGAGAATAATTAGATAAACCTCAGGAAAAAATATTCATAGACGTCATGGACACAACGTACGCCCTCCGGAGCGGTAAGTCTCCTAACGTCCACCTCTGGTCTCGTCGCCGCGCCTCTATCTACAGCTGCTCGCGACCAGTAATTTTTACCCTTATTCTCGGCATACACGCGACTAACGTCTGTCCTGGTGCAGTCATCGGGAGGACAACCCCCTTCATGCAAACTGCGCCTACTATCAAGAAGAATGTAGTGATTTTGCTGCGACAGCTTTTCAAGAGACGTTTGCACATTACAATTATGGCGGGTTTGAACAAATGACTTTCAAGACTAGTTACAATTAGATCAGACACTACTAAAAAAAAAAAAAACTTACTAGTTCGAAAACTCTGCCAGACAGTCCCATAATTGGGCAACAACTAGAGCTTACCACCGATGGTCCACTGCTTCAAGTATATGGTGGTGCCGGGCTTGCCTACCCTCACACACAGCCTTCCAACATCTATAGCCAGAGGGGCATCCTCCGGAGAGTTCTTCACCACAATGTTCTGTGACACTGAGAACGCTCCGGTGTAGTGGACAGGCGACCTGAACACCTTCCTCCCAGTCACCTGTTGACACCAGTGAAAATTAGCAATGTTTATAGTAGAGTCCATGCGTAATTTTCAAAGCAAATGCTCTCTGCAAATTTTTAAGAGCATACAATTTATACCTTTTGACCGAGTCCATCAGATCTTAAAGCTTCTTTATTCAAGTTCCAGCCTTGTATTTTGCCATCCAAGATAACCTCTCCAACCGAGATCATTCTACCTGTGAGGTACACATCACGTTAAATTAACTTTTCAAAAAGTCACTTCATGTAGATTCTAAACAAAAGCTCTGATTAAACTCACCAAACGAGACCATTTGTAGAGTGGTAGGCTCGTCAATCTTGGCAGTGTGCCTCACTAGACGGTCCAGGTTGGCACCCTTAATTAGACGTCCCGAAAAAGTAACTTGAGAAGCTTCCAAACTCTGCATGACATTCACTCCCGTCAAGGACTGGCTGCCAGTCTTCATCACCCACGAAGACTTGTAGGTCTCGGCTGACACGCCGTCAAAGCTGGCTGTAAGTCACGCATAAGTGTCACCACCTTAACCGTTGGGGCAGAACTAATTATCCTTAGGATATATAAAACAGTAAAGCAAGCATCAAGAGCTTGGTTACAATGTTAAGACTGGTTAAATGGCCTAAGAAACATACCAGCTTCCCTTTCAGGAAAGGTGATCTAGTGCAATTGCCTTTTACCACAACTGCACAAATCTCAAGTTCTCCTAAATCAACTCTTCTGAAGTAATGAAAATTTACACACTTCATTTAACAAATTTTATGTAGAGTAGAGCCGTTAGTCTTAAGAACCACGACGCAACAATAACTTATCTACGGAAACATTGACTACATCAGATATTGTTGCAGGGCACATTTGAACTTTGCTGCAATACATTTCAAAGAATTTTAGAAGCATTTTAGAAGCAAACATTTTAGAAATGTTTCAAAGCAATTTCTTAGAAATCTGCCACTTTAAACTTACAAAGGATCAACTTTGAAATAAAACCAGTTACAACCTGTTTACTGCGTTGAGTTTAGTGAACAAACTAGAGCTTACTGGCGAATGTTAAGTTGTGAACAGTGACTGGGCCAGTAAAGGTGAGAGTCCCGGTGATGAGAGCCAGAGTCCCGTCCTTGTGTACTAAACTCTTCTCGAAGGCAGCGAGGTCCGTGCCACTGACAGTGGACGCCGCTAGTACATTAATGTTCCTGCCCACCAGGTGCTGTAGTCCGCCTGACAAAAACAAAAATCTTCAAAATTAGGCGTTAAATTTATCTTAATATAAATATTTCAAAAGCCATTACCAAGGGATTAGAATATTAACTGTGCCTGTGGTAGTGGCAAGAGTTCACGATAACCAGCAAGTCCATTTAAATAAATATAATATAATATTTATAGATAGAGCTAGTACATACAATACCTAAAGTCACTAATAGGCATAGCGTTTCGGGTAAGGTGTATAAAAAAGGGGGGAGGAACATTACAAAAATCAGCAATTGTACAAGTTGGTCAACAAACGGCATTGTTTAGAATAGCAAGACATGGGTTGACATTTAGGGGGGGGGGGCTCCAAGATAGGTTACATGGTGTTAATTCTAGTTTTTTTTCTCGTGATAATGCTTCATAAATAGCTAGCTTTACTGCTTAAATATATCTGAATACAAGGTTCGTAGAAGAGTCTTTGATGCACAATTCGGGTACATAATATTTAGCAGTTGTAGCTTACAACGTCTACCCACTGGCAAAGCCTACTGAATAGGGAACTAGATCAGGAAATCGTTACATTCTTCAGCCAGCTGGTGGAAGAGCAGGGGTACAAGAGCTCGAGCCTACAAGCTCATACATGAACACGGACAAGTACGGCACTAAGAGGGTTAAAATGTTAAAACCTTGGTGCAAAGATTAGGGTCATTATCAGACATCAACGAGATTTCACACATTGAGCTACACCACGAGTAACCTACCAAAAGGCAGAGTAAAATGTTTATCCTTAAGCTTTAACAAGCTACCTATTTGCGTTTCAGTAATTAATTTCACCGACAAATAATTTTACTTTTGTCATTAATAGGAACAATTAGTTTTTAATGTTCCTAGAGATTACGAGAAAATGGTCTTTACTTTTAACTTTCAATTCTTAAAATAGTGTACATTTACTTTTAATAAACTTTACTAAAGTGGCCAGAGCTTTACGAAGTAAAAGTTGCCTTACAATTTTATTCCACTTACCAGATTTTCGTAGCGAGTTACTGAAGAAGAGTTCATCAAACACCACGCCGTCCACAGTGCCAAGTGGTGCCAGCTTCACCACACCCGCAACCACATTAGACAACAATTTGACTGTTGTAAAGGTCTTTACACCTGCAAAAGTAAACAATTACATGCAACTGACAAAACTTCCCATCTGTAACTGTAGTAATTAGTTCGTGCTACTGTAAATTTGCTAAATGGTTAAATGTTAAAACTTGCGGTACTAGCCTGTCTTGCAGGTCTTATTGTGAGCGTTAAGCCTACATTAAAATTTCAGCATTTCTTGCCAGAAAGTACAAAAATCAATAATTTATTATAACTAAGCTTTTACTAACACTTTCCACGGACATTAAAAAACTTTGCCTTTTAGGTTTAACAAAATTAAGATTTGTCAAGGAAAAATTACAAGGTAATTTAGGATCAAAATAACCTTAGCAACAAAAAACCTTTGGCATGTACCTACCGCTTATTACAGTAGTCGAATTTAAGACTACAGTGTCGGCGAGATCTACCTCGTTAAGGAGAACTTGTCCTCTAACCGTCAGGTCGGTCACTACCGGACTATACAAGTGCACATCTTTAACAATGGTTTGGGACCCATCTTTCAAGACTAGTTGTGTGACAAGTCCACCCAACTTTACGCCATTAACAGTCTTCACGTTAATATTTCCGTGCACTCTCTGGAAGGAAACCAACAGTTAGTGCCGAAATTTAGATACGAATTTGTATTTTCTACACACACCGTCAATGTACTGCCTGAAAAATTACGCACGCAGATTTGCAAGTTATCGCTGGTCAATGCAGTCAGCGTCTAAAGTCTTAATTCGAACTAGTTTTTACCAGCGTATACAGTGCTTGCTTTACATGGGGTTAACATGCGAGATAGTCGTCCATGGTCGTACCTGTGCCAGCTTTGTTCAGGCTAATTTGCCATTAATTATGACAACCCACATGAAACTTGTGCCTACTGTGCTATTTTAATAGAAGAAAAAAAAAATCAATATCCAACATTTAATAAATGCTTTAAACTTTACTACGCAAACTTACAATATCAGACGTAAAAGTGACGTTCTTGGTAAATACTTGAGAGGTTCTTCTCCGGAGATAATCTTCTGGTCTTTTACCGTTCAATTGTCTTGTCACATTAAAGTCTCCTACAACCTGCAAAACAAAACGGATCGCAATAGCTTCTACTTTAAGTCAACAATATACATTTAAAGGATGGGGGGGGGGGGGTAGAAATGGCCTAAGCTACTCTATCCCTTCGAGAGATTTGTCTCAAACATATTTGAACTTTAAACATTTAAAAAAACAAACATTCTTACCTTCACAGCATTCTCAAATATGAAGGTGCGGGGGATGCTACGCGTCTCCACGAGGACAGCATTGTTCAGGATATCATATATATTGACACCGTCCACTATGCCACCAGTCACATTAAGCGTGTCCAGGAACTGTACCGAGCCGAGAACCCGCCTCCCAGCTGCGGAAAGAATCTTTTAAAATCTCTATTCATTTCATTTAAGTGCATTATAATGTACAACACACATTATGCGACTTACAATTTACTCCCTCTACAAATTCTGCAACCAACATCTTTTGGAAGTCTTGTAGTCTATAACCGGCCACTGTCAGAGCAACTGTAGAGTGGCCAAGTAAAGTTATGCTGATGAACGACTTTGTGCCAGATATTGTCTGGTCACCATTCAGGAGCAACAAGTCCAACTTTCCATTTATTACCTGAAAGTAATTTGCAAGAGTCAAGTTATATTCCGTCTGAAGAGTTTAGCAAATACTACATTAAACCTATACAGCTAGTACTATAAGATTTTTTTTAACTAAAAATCTTGTCAACATTGGAAAACTATAATTATCAAACAAACCTTCACATTGCCAAGAGCAGTTTTGACCAAAACGTTATCTGCCACAATGGTCTCAAAGGAGGTGGGAAGATTTATGGTCTCTCCTCTGTTTCTGAGGTACAAGTCTCGAGGAACAGCGACGCCATTAATACGGCCCCAGACATCCAGGCCTCGTTGTACAGTCAGCCCTCCGAGGGTGTGAGCACCTAGTATCCAGGAGCGTATTAATGTGTAGGAAAGTACGCAAAAGCTTACAGCAAATCAATACCAAGTCAGTGAACCACAACCATTTTCCTGTAGCTTTACTAAGCACTACACAGTTATAAATATTTATCTTTTTGTAGTGCCTAAACTTAGCGCCTCGATACATGGATGAAGGCTTTGAAAAAAGAAGATTGTTACCCGTTATTTCTTGTGTTTCCTTCTGGTTGTGGAAGAGTGCTCTAGCTGCCACGACTCTCGGGTCCACCGGCACTGTGACGTTCCCAATTCCAATAAACTTGGCCACAAGATCACCGTCCACAAGCAGGGGACCTGTCAGAAGTCGAACATTACCGATCTAAGGCTTCATGACCATTACTACCCGATATTGTCATGATTACTTACCAGTTATATGTTGATTTGTATTATTTAAAACTAGCTTCTTGACGAAGCTAGAGAAGTTTTCTCCATTAACGGTGATGCTCTGTATGTTAGATGTAGAGAGTGACGCCATAGTTACGTCAGAGTTGATCCTCTGGTCTGTCACCGTTAGCAACAGGTTCCTCGCGTCAATACCAACAGAATCGACTGAAATAATAAAGACTAATCCATCATCTGCATAGATCAAGTTTGTATTTTTGTTTAGCCAATTAAAACCCTAAATTAAAAAGTACATAAAAAGTGAAGTTCAAGTCTAGAAAACTGCCTAAAATTTAAGTTTTTTCGGACGTTTACACCAAGCAACCAGTTCGTAGAAACAAAGTTTTGTCGAAACCTCAAAACTGATACATTGTCTCACCTGTTCCAGATACTATCAAGTTGTTCGCCTTTATAACCTCAAAAGTCTTTTCTCCAACTATATTGAAGTCACCACCAAGTGTGACTACGTCAGAGACGGCCGTCAGTGGGAACTCCGGCCCACCGAGGAAGGCAACACTGGCCGCAGCTCCGCTCGACAACACCACCTCTCCAAAACTCAAGTTGGTAAGTTTAACATCCTGGGTCAACCTCATGGCGCCCTCGAATGAAGAATCCATACCGTTGATCTGCAATACCAAAATGCAATCATACCTAGGAGGCGAGGGAGAAGTCAAGGCCTTTAAAATTTTCATAAACATTCGCCAAAAGGCGGTATACCAAGCACTACCAAATTAAAACATTAAAACCAAGATTACCAGAATTAATGTTTACATACAGTTTTCACAGTCAGGTCGTCCACTGTACAGTCCATACCATTTTCAGTCTTGCATTTGAATTCGACATTAGAGAAGTGAAGGTCATCTGCAACACATTAACAGTGTTAATGATGCTTACCGTAAAATCTCCCCCACGCCATAACCAAACAAACTAGAGACTTACCCAAATCTGGACCAACAACTTTCTTCGATACAGTAATCCTGGTTCTAGCTTTAGCCACCCTCATCAAGGCTTTATCCACGTCTTCTACGCGATTCGAAAGACTTGCAAAGCTAGAGTCAACCTTGTAATTCTCGCCCTTTACATAAATCTGGAAATTCAGTGAAGTTTTAAATTTACGGCCATAGGTGAAGCGCTATTGAAAGCAATAGATGAACCTCGAGCAATTTCATATGGGGGGAAAAAAAAAATAGTCAAAAACTATGAACATTATTCTGTTAATTTGGCTGCATTTTCACCCCAGGAACTTTACAAAATACTTACATCTCTCACGCTAGAGAAGTAGCGGCCCGCCGGCAGCAGGAGGTCTCCGTGGATGGTGATGGGTCGCAAGAAGGTGTAGGGGCGGTCAGTCTTGGGGGCCCCGCGTGCACGCCCAGCCAGGGCCCCAAGGCCGTCCTCCAGGACACCCTTATAGGAGCCACACCAAGCAGTCGTCTCGTTGTGGTACACCTGTCAGTGTAAACTAACAGTTAGCCTACACCGAGTGGCTTACTCAAATTTCAAATAGATTCACGTAAAGCTAATATAATGACGTTTATGATTAAAAATTGAAAGTGTTAATACTAACGGCTAGTGGCTTCCTATGTTCAAACTTGAGGTAGAACACCTGAGGGCGACCCGTACCCGTGTAGGGGTTCACAACAGAGAGGAGAACATTGTTCAAGGTCCTCGGTGCCCAGTTGATCCAAGCTCTCTCTACACCCTGATAAGCAAGATAGAAGTTAGAATAATGTTGTATTTTAAGCCGTCTAGGCACACTAACTATTGTCAGATTAAACCACGAATCTGAGAATACTCGTCATAGGATACTCTATGTTGCTGAACACATCACTGACCGCCAATGCAAGAAAAAGATTCAGTTCACACTAGCGTAAAGTTCAGATATAGTTGGCATCTTATGACTAGGATGGTCTTCAATAGTGAAAACGATAATGTTGTAAATAGATCAAGCGAGCTGTCTCTAGGCTCTATTGAGCCTGGAGACAGTCGAGGCCGTATTGCTGCCAGACGTGCTAGTCATTAACTTGCAACACTAGCCAGTAATCAACATGGCAATAATATATAAATTAGTGAATTACACAGCCAGAAGAACACATACATGTGACAATTTAAGAAATTAGTGGTCAAATGAGTCTTAAACAGTGCACGATCATTTGGGCTTCTCTGATAAGTGCAGATGCAATTTGCTATCGAACTAGACGGGTAGCGGTCGACTGTTAATCCGGCCTCAAACAAAAAAAGTCAAAGTCTATTCCACACACCCGCCAAACCCATTTTTTATGAATGAAACGGTTTACACACAACTGATTACGTCCGCATACGTCTAACAAGTGCATCGCTGACTGTTTTATGCTGTCAAGCCTTTACTCACGTATTACAAATTATCGTCAACAGAACTTTCCGAAAAACCAATGCCTAAACGTGCACAATGCCATTATACAACTAATATTTTCTAAGAGAAAATTCCAAATTTGAATGAACAGCACGTTAGAATTTACGAATGATTCTTTGGGGGGTCGCCCACTGGATGGAATGAACTTTGAGGACGGGTTGCGACACAAAGGTTGCCTGGGATAAGAACTTTCGTACTTCAAGTATTTATTACCGATCTACTTTAGTTGCATACAGGAAGAATGGCTATTAAACTTATTCCATTGTTAGTGCACGAGTAAAGAAAACTCTTGTGGGAGTTACGGGATATCCCAAATGTACTGTACTTTTTTTTCCCCACCCTCCTTGACAGTTTCGCTCGAGGATCTTCCCCCCCCCCCCATCTCTGGGGAGATTCCGAGCATGAAGTTTACAACTAACACCAGGGGTTTTGTTGGGGAGGGGGGGTGGCAGAAAGGGTTCTGCAATTAATAAACCATGAAGTATAAGACTAGTTATTCATAGTGGGGAGGAGCCTATCATACTCTCGAGCAAATCAATTTCAGAGGGCCCTTTCCCTGGGGCACGACTCTTCCCCCAGATGGAGGGTTCGCTAGATCACACGTTTGAAATTAATAAAGTAGCCCTGGAGCACAATATAGTGGTAGGTTTATATTTAGTAAACTACAAGCATCATAGCTCCACGACACCATAGTGAGAAGTTATAACCCCCCTCCCCCCCCCTTTTGTTTACTTACAGCAGTAGAGACCTTGAAGGGGCTACGGACGAACCTCCAGCCATTGTACTGGTAGAAGAACACTCCAGCCTGACTGTTGACCACAGCCAACACAAATTCACCATTTGGTCCCTGAAGTGAGAAGTAATATTTATGAACTAAATGCTTTAAAAGAAATGGTACATTTCAGACAGTACGAGAATTTTAACTAGATAATGCTTGCACCGTCATTTACCCAATCGCTCAAGTTTGCGAGTACAAGTTTGAGGCTTAATCTTTACCGTATTCACCCGGTTCTATTCTATAACGGGACAGCACTTTAAGACTTGCAAGTACTCCATGCCTTGGTTATTTAAACCAACCGACTCAAAAGTTTAGAGCCACCATTAAAACCAAGAAATTTTATTTTTCCTATCTAGACGCGCTTCACTGTGTCTTAAAGTTTAGTCATCCAAGTTATCCCATTTCTCAGGTCTTCACTTCAACTCAAATTGAGTCAATCCGCCTATGATACGAACTATTAATGGAGCCGAATTAACCCCCCCCCTTCCGTTGCTCTGTCTGCTTTCTTTCAACCTATTCTATGGAATCCTTTGCTCAGGTCTAGTTTCAAATGTATATTTTTTTTACCGATTATTCCATGCACACAGATAAACAGGCTTCAAATAAACTGACAGTGTTGATATTTAGAACAAACACCAAGTTCCCATGGGAACTAAGGGCTTGGACAGTCAAGGTTGACCAGCTACAGGTGGTAATTTTTATAATAGGAATTCACTCCTTAAATACTATTCGATTTTACCCCCTCCATTTTTTTTTAACCTGGCCACCCTCCACTTTCAGTGGTATCAAGCCATCCTTAATTACCAGCCAGATCTACTAGTACTTTCCAAGTGAAAGTTATTCCTGGTACTAACTGCAGCTAGATATACACCCCAAATAGTAAGCCATCTATTTTAACGCCTTGGGGCTCCATCCCACTAGTCACAAGTGAAGCCCTAGGCTACACCAACCTGGTACACCACCCACTCCCGGGCGCCGAACGTCTTTATGCACTGGAAGGGTACGAACTTGCCATCGTCGTACTTGTAGATAACAGAGTCCACCTCAAAGTTCTTGTTGCCAGCTGTCGAGAATACATACAGGACCTTTAGGCTCTTTTGCTGCATTTGTCTAGAGAATTTAAATTCATTTTGGTAATCATACTACAAGTTGTCTTCGAATCACCAATCCGGTAAATTTGAATAGTTTGTGGAAGTCAAACATGTTCTACACTGCCCGCAAAACACTTTTGCTTCAAAGTACCAATTTAACGCAACTAAAAACCATTTACCTTTGTCATATTTAAATTCATTGGCTACAACAAGGAAGTATTCTGCATTGGGTCCAGAGATAAAGTTGAAGGCCTTCCAGTCAGTGGCAGCACTTGTGCGAATACGCTGGAAAGGCTTCCAGGTAGCTCTGCGCACATCATACACGAAAATGTCGCTCTCAATCTCCACGTTACCTGAGAAGGTTTATAGCGATTATTATGGCAGATATTAACAGGAGTAGTAAAATCAATAACAGCTGCAGCTTGGTAACAAAGCAAGTCCCTTAATACCGTACCCAGGTCGTCAGCGTAGTTAGCAACCGCGACAAACTGGCGAGACTCAATCCTGAAAGCCTCGACTCCACGAGCGGTCATGCTGCCGAAGGAGGCGCTGTCTAGCTTGTCGTAGGTGGTGTACACTTTACCAGCCAGAGTGGTTACCTGACAGGCCGGAAGAAAATAACTCTTCAAACACGACACCTTACCATCACGCACCGTGAAAACATACCAAAACGCACCAAGTTTATGGACTCACTATAGACCTTGCTACGTGGACTTTTTTTTTTTAGCCAGTAGCCAAATCTACTACAAGCATGCAGAATAAAAAATAAAACTGACGAGCCGTACCTGTAGTCTGAATACTACGCTGGAAATGTCTCCGGTCTGTTTGATTTCATCATAAGAATTGGCAAAGGCCAAGTATGTATAACCTCCAAGCTCCCTGGAAAAATAAAATTTGAATTTTATGAAAATACTTGCCTCTAGCAAGATTTATCCCCACTAACTTATTCTGGAAAACATTTAGTTGCAGAGATGGTGTCCAATGCACGTTTTTATAATCACAGCAAGATGAGTAGGTACCAATTATCAGGGCCAACTAAAAACTGTTCATTAACTTTTAAAGCCTTAGGGTCTTTACATTATAGAAAGTCACGGGGGGGGGCCAACTTTCCAGTTAACCATGGCTAACTTAAAGAGCACTTTACCCATCTAGCGACAAACATCTTTTCAAGAAACCAGATTGTCCGATTTAAAAATTAAGCTACAAATCTAACAAATTTCTAAACATTCACCGTGACCCATCTTACCATATTGCGACGTCTTGAGCACCATGTGTGCCCAGACTTCTGTGGAAGGTGACCACGAGCCCTCCGGCCCACGTCAGCCTGTACACACCACACCCGACCTGTCGACAACACACCAGATGTATGCAACAGAATTTGCCCGTTTTAGTAACTATTTGTCATACCCAAGATAGAGACCGAAAAGGTACTTGGATCCTCAATACTAGTATTGAAGAAAATTAATGCAAATTTCGCTACGTTTCTATGCAATCACGTGCTCATAACTTTCGGAGCTTCCCCCCCAGATGGTCTAGCCTCATTCCTGTGTTTCACTATAGCCAATCTTTACTCTCGTGTCCACTATATTACTTTAATTGTCCTAAAGTTCCCAAGGAAGCTTTTTAATTAACATTTTACAGCTGTTGCTGCAAGAAGTCATGAAGTTAAGAAGGCCAGAATCCCCTCGCCAAAAGAACTATTCGACAACATTAACCTTAAGATTTGTCGGCCTTTTATAAATTTTCCGTGTCAGGGTTGTTACTGCACAAATCAAGCCAAATGTTTGAACTACAACTATATTGTCAGATTCCAGCAGCCTTCCACAACCAATTACCTAAATCTTCCATTAAAACAGTAGTGCCATAACTATTTTCTGCCAGATTACTTCAAAAGTCAGATTAATAAGTAGTCTTGTCCATCAAGAACAGCAAGACTAAACATTTTTTAGCATCATTATGTTAAGCTAAATTTCATCTATATAGCCACTTATAGAAGTCTGTTAGACTTTCCAGGGAAAGTTTAAGAAACCTTTTTTCAAGCAATTTTTTTTTTTTTTAAGTAGCATACTAGCCTGCATTTTAGTGTAGTAAGTAATGGGGTATCTGAAAGCTTGTATGGGGGGGGGGGGTATAATGGGTCATGGCCTCCAGAGCCGAATTTCTACCAAACCCGGATAAATTTAAAAAAGAATATTAAGCAATAACTGCCAAGTTAAATAAGAATTGAAGCCAAATTAAATTAAACCTCCCAAACTAATAAAGAACATTAAAACCGAGTGCATGGAGCTTACTTTCGTCTTGTCCGCAGCCCTATCTCTCTGGGACTCCACGCACACGAACTCTACGAACTTTTCCAGTAGCAGAACAGGCACGCATTTCGTGGCCCCCATCGTGTCTATGGAAGTAGTCTGCAGATCACCTCCCTAAAAAGAAAAAAAAGTTTAGAAATTATTTGCCTTTCACAGAACATGCAAATTAAACTTTGACTAGCAACACTTGCCTTTTGAAAACCATAGACGTGCAAGCGTCCAGGGTTGTTCCTAGTGAAGCTTTCAGTAATGAACCAAAAGAGGAAGTCTTGGTTTTCAAATGCTACCATCGATATAGGAGTCGCAGGGGCTGCAAATGCCTGCAGGATGGGGTTCACATTCTCGTCAAGATCCAACAGTCTGTAGTAACCTGCAAGAGATTATAGGGAATTTGTGTATGCGCACATTATAAACCAATAATTTAAATTTAACAGTAATTAAATAAAGTCTACGACTACGTCAGAGAAGTATTCAAGGTTCTAAATAAAAAATAAGAGTATGACTATTACCAAATGGCAAGACCAAAAATATAAAATTTTATATAGGCTATCTAGGCCTAACCTACTCACCCCCCCTTCCCCCTGGATCTTTGGGAAGGGTTATTATGGGTCTTGTTATATAGCCGGGTTCGTTCTCTACGCACAGTCAAAGTCCAGGTTAGATTCCCGGGCGAGACAAATGATTGGACGAATTTCATTTCACTTGGCAGCGGGTATGTACTCTAGCGTTAGAGAGCGCGGGGTTGGGGGGGGGGGGGATGGTTGCATGCTGAGCGAGGTCAGTATTTGACCTAGGGGGGGGGGGGGGTGTTTGATTTCTTAAACCCAAAACCGGTATGAATACACTGGCTTCGTCCCTCTACAATGAATTTTATTATATTATGAATTCTAAGGGTTTCCATTTAGATACGCTATAGATACGGTTTTTAGCAATTTTTTTTAGCAAAACAATTTACAATCTGCACAAGTTCAGAAATTGCATTTGACCGTTACTTTAAATTCGGTACAATTTTTATTACAAAAACAAACTACAAAATGTTGCGATATACAAGATGATCAAGTTGTGCAAATTATGATCTTTTTCTCCATCCAAGCCTTAACATGTCACGTATTTTGAAGCGCCCCCCCCCCCACACACACACACACACTTTCCTACTACTGTACAGCAAATTTATTTAAGGAGTTACATGCCCAGAATCCATCACTCCTTTCACGAACGTACAGATGGGGCCCCCCCCCCCCTCTTCCACGGTGCTCCCGTTTTCAACAAGTCGTACGGCATCCACGGGTCCCTTACATCGGTGCAGAGATTTCGCCCTCCCTCTTAACCCAGGCCAGATAACCCAGCTGCCGACTGTGCCACTCTAGGGAGGACCCCGCCGGTCTCTAGGGCTTCAAGATACCCTAGAGGATCTAACAACGCCTAGAGGGTCCCCCCCCCCCCCCCTTCCGAGGACCCTGCGCGTCGTTCACAATGTTGTAATTTCACGTGCAAGACAAGTAGGGGAAAAATCCGAATACCTAAATGTAGTCAAATGGAACATACCCTTTTCATCTCTGGTAAGAAGTGTCTCGACAGCGTGGTCACGCCTGGGCCTCCTGTGCACCTGCAACAGTGACTTCATCTCTTCCTTCAACCTGTGGAGGCTGTCTTCCCTGAACCTTTTCATACGTGCATCTGTACACCAAGATAAACGTGTAGATTATGCAGTGTTAAAAGTCAAGCCATATAATTCATAATCTATACATCTCTTCCCCTCATACTTGCCTACATCACGCTTGCCAAAGCCCGTCAGAGAGCCGAGGCTAGTGCTGATACCAGACCACAGTCTCTGAAGCACACCAGCGTCTATCACCTTCGTAGCCTCATCGCCGAGGTCTCCAGACGCCTGGCCGTTAGGGAGCCTGGCTCTGGCTGGTACACTCCCAACCTACACGAGGGAGGGAAATAGCTACAGAACTTGCAACCTTCAGTATCTTTTAAAAGAAAGTTTAAAAAAAAATATTGAAAAATTTGAAGCAGTTTACGTCTACTGTTAAAATCTAAACTATTATTAGTATGTATTAAACCAGTTTAACACCAACATTTCCACCGTTAAACAGAAGCATTGAACCGTTACTTACAGACCCTGCTGCCAGCAACAGTAGCCCCAGGAGCAACGCGCTCCTTACGGACGGAGCCAGCATGTCTAAGCAGTGCTCCGTTGCCTTTTCTGCAAGGAACCATTGTCGGGTTACTACAATGACAGTTAACGTGGCGAGATTAGTGCCAGAAAGGGGGGAATTCTGTCTACTTCCGGCCCAGTTTCAGCATCCACACCATGTTTAAATCAAATGCATCTCTTGAGAGTACAAAGGAGTTCTTAGCATCATCAGCTTCCAGGAGATTAGTTCACCTACCACCTGCGCGCTAGTCTACACGAAGTAAGACTTGTTAAGCGGCGGGGCGATTACGACAAAACTATTGTCAAATAGACTTAAAAGGAGATCATAAATATCAGTCTGCCCCCAAATACGACCTTTGAAGTACCGGATCAAAAATAAATCTTATTTAACAGTATTCCTTTATAGTTAAAAAAATTCATACAAATTTAATTTCTAAACGGAATACAACCGTTTCTCAAACACGAAGTGATTGAAGCCTTCATTATTCTTAGTCGTTCAAGAACTTAAAATATATATTAAACGACTAACCTTCCGTTGGTAATGTAAATAAGAAATAACAACCTCACCTCTGTTCTCAACCTCGCTGTGTCAGAGGAGTGACTACTCAAAGTGGTTCCCACAGCTAAGAACAAAGCTTCGAAACAATGCCCCCCCCCCTCCTTCCTAGGAGGAAGATAGTAAACTTAACTTGAACAATTTGTAACACTAACTGGCTACTCTATGCTGGTGAACACACGAACGAACGCACACTCGTCCTGTTCGCAACTCTCCGTCGTCAGGTGGCAGCACTGTCAAGAGTGACTGATCGAGCCGTTAACATGTCCTCACCACGTTAAACTCCTGATACAAACAGTGCTGCTTTTTGTCATAGGGATTCCAACCATCCTATAGCCTGGTCTTTTGCTACAGAAATACAAAATTCAAGAATAATGCAACTCAAAGTGAAAAATGACAACATTTAAGATAGTTAAACATTTAAAAGATAGTTTGAATGACTTGTTTGATATTACTCGCATAAGTGAATGAAAAATTATGTCAATTGAAGAGGATATAATGTTTCTTCAAGCTGAAAGAGACAAAAGTAGATAGGGTTACATAGGTGCTCTTGATACAAAAAAAAACACTTACAAGAGAACATATCATACTGACAAAGAAAGGAGACAATTTAACAACAACAAAGTCTTAAGGAACTATAAAAGGTCAGAAGTGTATATACATTAAACTAGGTAACTAGCTTATCAACTTGCTTGGGTAAATGAACTTTCGGGTTCAGTTCCCGAAGCAGGCTAGAATAACTGTGAAAACACTGGACTGGGTAAGGGAGTATCCGAAGGACAGAAAGCAAAGAGTCACAGTCAGAGAGGAGGCTTCAAGCTGGAGCAATGTAACAAGTGCATCCTTGTGTCCCAGGACAGCACCCGTCCCAGGACAGCACCCGTCCCAGGACACAAGGCTCTGTCCTGGGACCGCTGTTGTTCCTAATTTATGTGAACGACCTGCCCGAGGGAATGAGCTCAGACATGTCAGTGTTTCCAGATGATGCAAAGCTGGTGAGGAACGTGAAAACAGATGAGGACTGTACGAAGTTGCAGGAGGACCTTGACCAACTCCTGGAGTGGTCAGACAAATGGTTGCTGGAATTCAGTGTCACCAAGCGTAAAGTAATGAAGATGGGAAAGGGAGAGAGAAGAGATCAGAAGGCGTCTACACCATAAGGAAAAGGCAGCTACAGGGATCAGAAAAGAGAAGGATCTGGTAGGAGACATAATTCCGACACACCGGAGGCACACATAAACAGAATAACATCGGCAGCATATGGGACGCTGACAAATACAATAACATTGTTTAGGACCTACCTCAGGACTCTTTCAACATCTGTTAGACTAATACTGGAATATGCGTCACCGACATGGAATCCGCACTATGTGAAGCAAAAGGCATAATTGACAACGTACAAAGGTTTGCAACAAGAGTGGTGCCAGAGCTAAGAGGGTTACCCTACAAGATAGGCTATGGAAACTAAATCTCACAACCCTCGAGGATAGAAGGAACAGAAGGGATATGATCACAACATACAAGATACTGAGGGGAATAGATAAGATGGACAAGGATAGCCACTTCAGATTGAGAGCAAGCAAGACAAAGAGGTCACAGATGGAGGCTGTAAACGCAAATGAGCCTGTGGGACATAAGCAAGTTCTCGTACCCTGTACAGGTAGTTGACAAGTGAAATGGTCTAAAAGAAGAAGTGGAAACCACCTCCATCCACAACTTTAACGGCCCATAACGACAAAGAATTTGAAAATCAAAGCTAAATTGAAAAGCAACAGGTACAAGGCGGGACATAAAGAACTAGACCTCACTTACCCTTATAGGTAAGTACTGATAGGCAAATAGTCTCGATACCCGAGCAGGCTGGTGAGGATCACAACGCCATCTGTTGCCTAGATTCAGAACTTCAAGAGAAGCCAATCTGAATATTATGATGGTGTTGGGGGGGGGGGGGAAGAGTTCCTCCTCTGCAGACGAAACGTCTAACCAGGACTCCAATGGTAGTTGTTGACTGTCCAGGTAATGTGGGCTTCATAGGTATTCCTTCTTCTGTCTGGTTGAGCTGAGGACCGCGAGGTGAAGTGAGTAGACTGTTATTCAGACAGTGTTGGGGCTTCCGTTAATGACTTTGTGAACATCATCTGAAGCTTAATTGTAATTATTTTATGGTATCTGATAAGAACCTAATTGGATTGAATTCTGGTCTTTGCGACTCCTTTGTTTTGTTTTTAATGTGTCTTGGCGGAACTTTAGTTGAACTTGCCACAGACTATATGAAATTGATGAGAATTCACGCGAGACTTGTAATTTAACACTTAAGAAAATTAAGGCTTGTGGATGACTACTTTTACGACACTTAAATTGCTTAACCATTTCTTTAGTGAAGGTAGCAGTTCCGAAATTTATACTAGAGTAGAATGTTTAGAATTGAACATTCAACATCCCTGTTGAATGTTCAAGAAACGTGCCATAGGGAAGGGGGCTCTAGCCTGCTGGCCCCACTTCCTAACGCAGATGTAGAACATTTGGAATTTGAGTTATCAGACCACGGCTATTTGGAGAGTTGGTCAAGCGCGGTAAACCCGTTAGCACTTGATGGCACAATGGTTTGCCCCTCGTTATCTGCACTGCAGTCTCCTGCATCTCTTAGAATAATATACAATCCAAGGGTGATCACTTGCCTTGCTTTCGGAGCGTTCCTCCAGGTTGCTCGTCTGTCGATAGAATCTTTTGGTGTTCCTCGCTTTGTCTCTAGTTTCATTAGTGATGAATGGTGCCTTCCGGGTACCCAGCAAGTCTTGTACCCTTTTATAAGTCTGAATAATTTTGATAGTTCTTAAATATTTGTATTAACATTACAAAAGATTGCGAATATAGACTGATGGTGCAAATTGATCTTAGAGGCTCGACTCTACATTTGTAATTAAAATCGGTTATAGAAGGAATAGAGGTAAAAATAAATTCTTAGGTGTGGCGATCTGCAAGGTAAAATGTGAAACTTCAGTCTAATCTTGCCTGCTGTTTTAATGATTAATTTTTACTCGCCATAACCTCTCGTGAGCGCTGGTGGGGAGGGTTAGTCACCTATTATGCTCTAGGAACAGAAACCCCCATAGTTAATTTAGCCAAGCAAGACTTGTGAAGCTAGTTACCAATTTGTGTACATGCGCACAAAATTTGTTCCTCTTTATTAACTCTTGCAATTAACGTGTCCAAGGTCGACACGTTAATTAGCGAGAGCAAAGATTGTGGTAAAAACAAAGCCCAGTTATTAATACGCGCTCAACACTCTCAAGAATCTTTGTCGCCATCTGCTGTGGCAACAACTGCACTTCAAACACTACAGGACTGGTGCAAGGCGCCATCATTGTAAATGTCGGTGGGAGCCCACTCGGACAAGAGCCTCAAATCGGCTTGAGGCTTTCTTCTTGTTGATACTCTGGTTCTTTAATCCACTTCTAGGGTGGAGGAAGTAGGGACATAATTTGGATTGTGAACTTTCATACAACAGGAACATGCTCTTATCGTGGATTAGCTGCCATCATGCATAGAGTACACGTACAGATTTTAATAGAAATACTGGCCTTGGAGGAAAAAAGGCTAGGAAGGCTTCTGTGCAGGGGTTTGGGTGGGTTAGCCTAAGCATCGGGACAACAATTAAAGCCTTTGTTTGATGGAATGGAGTATCCCTAGTGATGGCTTCTCGTGGTTTAATTGTGCGGTGGCATCTGATCCTCGTAGCTTTGTTTTGCATCTTTCAGCTCTCAAAGCCTGATCTCGGGCACTAAAGCGGATGCCGCATATTAGATCAGATTTAATGAGGTACAGAATTTTTGGCAGTCAAATGCATCGTGATGCATTTGATGGCACTTAAATGCAATTGTCGTAATTAAATGCATAATCTGCTGGAAAGATGCATTTGCACTAACCAGGGTGGTGACCTGCTACAGCTTTGAGCACGGAGCCTCTGCACTCGCGCTCCGATCTGACTAAAACATGGCCGTACAGTGGCATCTGAAGACGAAGGTATTTGAATTTAGTTGCATAGATCAGAGCGGCTATACAGCGGCATCTTCTGAAAAAACCCACCCCCATCTGTCTGACAATTCTGGGTCTTTAAGTCTCCTTACTCTCGTAGATGGTACTCTCCAGGCAGGTACCCCTAATAAAGCGCCTGCAGCAGGTGGAAATTTTGCTTAAATATTCGTAACGCGGAAAGTCTCTTAAGACTTTGCTCAGTGTCTGAAAGTGTTCTATTTTACTACTCTTAATGGCAAACCTTTTTAAAGTGTGAAGGTGGGTGCAAGAATTCTAACGTTTATCTGAGATACTGATGCACGTCTTGTAAGTTTGTCGTACTGGTATCTTGATATATTTAAGCTTCTTACTGCAGTCACGAACGGTAGAAATCCTGGCTTTGTAACTTTTTTTAATTGATTCAAATTCATAACTGCTACTTTTGAAGGTAACTGGTTTGTAGTCTCTACAAATCTAAAAAGTTTTCAAAGTTCGTGGATGAAATTGGTAAATTTATAATTTCTGATCCTACTTTTTTTCAGATAACCAAATCCAGTATTCTACGGTAGAATGGTCGCGTCATGGGGCGCTGTGGCCCTGGTGGCCCTCGTGCTCCTGGCCACGGTGAGTACCACTGGCACACTGCCGGTCTCGGTAAATAACGTGTGACTCGTATAGGTTTTTAATGTTCTGTTCATCCTCGGCTTTTATAAGAAACAATTTACACGGGGACCTGACAGCTGAGTGGACAGAGCTTCGTAATCAGTCCTGAGGTTCCGGATTCGATCCCGATGGAGGCGGAGACGAATGGGCAAAGTTTTTTACCCGCATGCCCCTGTTACCTAGCAGTAAATAGGTACCTGGGAGTTAGTGGGAGTTAGACAGCTGCTACGGGTTGCTTCCTGGGGGATGGGGGTGTAACAAAAAAAGGAGGCCTGGTCGAGGACCGGGCCGCGGACGCTAAGCCCCGAAATTATCTAAAAGATAACCTCAAGATAACAAGATGCACAAACTTCAGACTTGTGGCATTTATTTTAAACTTAAAAATTAATATTTGCAGGCGGGCGGTGTTCCGGCTCCTGCGCGGCCGGCGGGACTGGAAGACCATCTGGATGTTGGTTATGTAGAGATCAATATGACCGTCCCAGAACACGACTACTACTATGCTGGAGAGACTGAGGCTGGAGACCAGGTCAGGGAGATGCTCCAGGGTGGCCCGTCGACCCTGGGTTCCTGGCGCACGCTGGCGGAGGGTAAAGGTAAACCACTGGATCATTAGACAGTCTACATTGTGGCAGTTGATGCGTTTTGCTATTTTAAGTGAAAGTAATTGCAATAAATTGACACTTCTAAATTTTAGTCTAGCATTTTAGCTTCTGCTACAAGTTCTATTAACGATGAATAGATTGTAGAAGGCTGTTTAAGATGAATTACTAAATGTACTGGAACATCTTGAATACTCTCAAAGCCTTTTTCTTTCTAGACAACCTTATCGGAGAATTCCTGTTAGCGGCGGCAACAGGCTGGCATGACAGCATGAGGTCGGTAATTAGAAGCCACAGCAGAGCGCGTACAGCTCGCCACCTCCCCAGCACGCTGCAAGGAGACGCGAAAGGTTCGTCCTGCTAGACTTGATTTTTGTGTAATATTGGTGTGAAATCATTGACATGAACAATGGTTGAGGGGAAAGTGGCGTGCATCAGATGTGCGTCGGTCCGAGATTGTTTAGTGTTACTTAAATTCTAGTGAATGTATAAGTAGCTTTCGTCTTTTGGTAAAATTTCTTAGTGAAGCTTGCTTTGATCAGAGTCGGCTAGTTTGTGCACCCCAGACTCTTTTGTGCACTACTGCTCAAGAGATCTTTATCAGACCCCGACGGAGATTACAGTATCAATTGCATCTATCCTGCACAACTTGTATTGTCGGCTACAGATAGCTAAATTTCAATAGATATGCATTTAATTATACATTAATGTAAAGTCTTTTCGCTAATATATAATTGTCTTGATCTATGGATAGTCATAATAGCTGCTGTTACTAGTCTTCGCAATACACTTCTTGCTTCTTAACCTAGGCTTTTTATGTACTAAAAGCGAAATATGGATACGGTGCAAAGATTTCGGTTATTTTAGAATTGGTTAAAACTGTAGCAACTACATAATGCGCGAGTTTAGAATGAGTTTCAACCCTATAGAATAACTCTAATCTCTTCCCCCCCCCCCCCCTCCTCTCTCTCTCTCTCTCTGCGCTTTAATAACAATTGAAGCAGGGGGGGGGGGGTGTTGAATATGTGTATTCTTCTAGATTTGGAAAAATCCCTAATTGCATAATTTGAACCTTAAAGGTCACTTTTAAGATGTCTACTATCTGAAGGGTACTGGAGACTGAGTGGGCTTTCCGAGGACGTGGATATGAAGCTGAAGACCTTCGCGCCGCCTTCGGGAGCCATCTCCATGGTGGTGGTGGAGCACGCTGGACTGGTCTTCTGGCTCGTCACCCAGGCCTTCACCCTCCACGACCCTGGCACCCTGCACCTTTACATGCTTAACGTGGTGGGTGAGGGCTGCCTTTGTCGCCGCTGCCGTGTAGGGAAGGACTCTTCCAGTGAATGTTTTGGAAAGATTTTAAAAACTATTGCTATAATAATAGGGCGATAATTGGGTGCAAAATTTAGCTTAAACAAAAGCTTAAGAGGGTATCTAAAGATATTAGTTGTGCAACGGATAAACTGTTATGTAAAGTTAAATTTAATTATAGAAGAGCACACAATGATTCTCGATCTATTTTCAATCTTAGAGGTTCCACCTGAAATGGTAAGTTTGGTGCTAGATTGGTACTATTGAAATTTACAGAAGGTTTATAAATGACAAAGTATTGTCCGAGGCAAAATTTTTAGTTATTGGAAAACCCTGGTTGGTTGCTCTAAACTAGAGCACTAATTTTGTATTTTGGTTTTTATTTACGGAACAGTAAGACTACATGTAAACTCTTACGTAACAAAAATGGAAGAACTAGTAATGTGGCAGATATTAATGTTGGTGGCCCATGTAATATTGGTCTGTAAGCAGTACAGCAAATTCTGTGCCTCGGATAGTAACTTGGGTTTCATATTGGCTTGGCAATGTGAAAGGGCTAGTAGCAAAGCTGTTTACTTGCTACAGACACATTATAGTTTCATTGTACAAAATATTTTTCAAATTTTAGCTTATAAATAAATGCCTAAAATATTATAATAGAACAAATTGTAGCTTCTAAAACTATTTTAAATATAGGAAAGGTTGCCCAGAGTTAGAGATGCAAAGATATTGGCACTAACTTGAGCAGTGTAAGAGTCTTGTAACGCTGTAGATTTATTAAAGAGATAATAAGCACGTCTTTAGGCTAAAATTGTAGATTTTTTGAATTCTAAAGTCTTAAAAAAAGAATCCTTTTCTACAGGAGACGGAGAAACTGGAGTCTGTGTCGGTGCCGGCGCTGGGGGCCAACAAGTGCTCTCCTGTAGTGATGGAGGCGACCTTCATGGAGGTGGTGTGTGTGGAGGTGCTGGCTGACCGCTTCCCAGACACTAAAAGGGTATGGTGTTGCACTTGTCTTGTGTATAGTTGAGGTAGGTTCCCCTCCCCCCCCCCCCCTCTAATTTAGGTACCCAGGATTCCTTCAATTCTGCTAAAACTGAACATTATTCGTTAAAGATGTCTAAAAGACCTGACATTGCACCTTTTTGGAGACGTGTCAAAAGTAGAAATGCTAACCATACCCCCCCCCCCACACACACTTGAGGAACCCTACCTCTTATTTCTAGTAAGGTGCTAGGAAAAATGCATCAAAACACCTTATAACATGTAAACAAAGTACTTGTGACTCTAAGATCTAGTAACCTTAGCCGTTCTCTCCCGGTACAGATGGGGTCCAGTGTGTACCGGGTCACTTGGGCCACTGGTCTCCAGATGGGGTTCAAGCGGAGTCTTTTGACCCACGGTGCCCAGGACATGGCACTCTGGTAAGTGCCTCCTCCCTTGGCGGGGGGCTGGCACCATGCTACTCTAAAGTAAACTGAATAATATTTATGGGCTAAACTGGTACTAGTAGTTAAATTGAAACGCTGATCTAACCATTTAGTGATGTAATTCAGTTGTTTGGGGAGATTGTGTGCGCTAACAAAATGTCTAAAGTTTTTTAATCTTTAAACCAGACTACTTTTATTTTTTTTATACTGGTGTAATTTTATCGTTTGCAGGAAGGTAGGCAGAGACACCCTGATGGCATTTGCCAACTCTTACAACCATTTGACCGCGACAGGAGAGATTGACAGCTACGTCTATAAGGTCAAGGTTGGTAGTACGTGAGAAACTGCTATAGTAAGACTCTACCCGAACTGTAACTTTAAATACACTAAATCGGTGTTGGGCGTTATAAATTGGCAAACTAAAGCAGACACTTCAGAAAATGCAAATAAGTTCTATGCAAAACTATTAGACGCACAGTACAGGCATTAAAAATCCCAAATACCAGTAGACTATAGCCTATAGTGGTGCACCTCTTAATATTTTTAGGGCAGATCACTCTCATTCCATACAGAAAGACTATTCTCTCTCTACTGTAAACTAGGCTGTCTGTCAGGCAGTGTCTTCTGGATTAGCTGACCGTTGCTAACAGGTGTCTGGTGTGCAGGTGACAGCTGTGTCGAGGAGCGAGGTGTACTGCAGCTACGACCGCCTCGACAGCGCTTCCTTCCCCACCAAGAACGCCATGGGGGTGGAGGCCTTTACGATACAGTCGAGGCACTTCCTAGCAGTTGCTAATCATCACGATGACAGAGGTTTGTGTAGGGCGTAGGTTCCTCTGCCCTCACCCCTGTGGCTAAACTTCCAGTTTGTCTAGTTACAAAAGGTTAGAGAGAGAGGGGGGGAGGGTGAAGGAAACTTTTGTGGGCATTCTACACAGATTAACAAGAGTAATGCAAATGCCAGACAATCGATCTCTTTGTAATATGAATATTTATTCAGATTATTTATGTAAACATTCATCATGGTAATCCCTCTTATTCTAGCTAAACTTTTCGGTATGGTGGAGTCTTTAAAGATCTTAAAGGTACGAACGTTTTTGTTTAATGTTTGAAATGGAAAAATAGTATTAGGCTCTTAACGTCATTAATTTATTGCCTCGTCCGAAAATGACTTTATTAAAGCTATCGATCTGGAAATTCGGTCTGGTGAAGTACTTGCCAAACTTCATAATTTTTCTATTAACACTCATCCTTCTTGGGCTTTTCTCGCGTATAGGTTAGTCTTCATAAGATTTTCACACCCACGAGCACATCTTGGGTTTAAAAACTAAATTGCTCTTCTACTACTTAATCCAACTAGTTTAGACAGTATGATGCAACTTTTAACTTGAAGCTTTATGGAACCGGTATATAATGGCTGCTTCGATAATGCGACCACTTCCTGCTTGGCCTACTTTAACAAATCTTAAAGTTCTTTGACTTGTATAGAGTTTATCGGTAAAGATAAACTTTGTTCTTTACTTGTAGCAGGAAGAATTAAACCTTCCATCTGTGTAAATGTTTTAGGTGTTGCAGCTTTGTGATACTTGGTGCTTTTTTTAGACGGAGAGTAATTTGGATATTTAGTGGTTCAGACCATTAAATATGGTCTGCACCACTTGGGACACTTCCGGTTGGTCGCTGATGGCTACCAAAGAGGGGTTTTCATACCTTGTCAATGATCACACCAGAACATTATACTGGTACACTAATTTTTTTTCACTGACGGTTACATTTCCAAATAACGTCACTCTGTACCTCTTGGTTAAAAGTTAAATGGCTCTCTGGCAGGTAACGTGGATATAGACAGCGAAATATTTGTATTCGAAGAGGACCGACTGCAGCTTCGGTCGGTCCAGCGGATCAGGACCCGAGGCGCCCGGGACTGGACTGCCTTCAGCTTCAGCAGCGGATCGGACGCAGAGTATTTCATCGCTGTAGCTAATGAATATACTCTAGACAACGGTGAGTTGCCAACCTTTTAACATTTAAAATGTTCACTGAAGCTAAATATTTAGTTAAAATTGTCAGTTTCTAGAATTGTCCCCCGACCTGAATTATTGCTCTCCAGATGGTAACCTGGACTACGTGGTGGACTCTGTGATCTACCGCTATGAGAGGGAGAAGTTTGTTCCTTTCCAGTGCATCCAGACGTATGGTGCCCAAGAGTGGGTAGCTTATCAGGTTAGATAAAGAAATATTTTTAGAGCGTCTATTAACAAGTTTTCACCACATAATGCAACAGTCTAACGACTAGTGTCAGAGATTGTAAAGTAGAATATCCTACTTTAGCTTTGCAGTGTATAGCTTGAAATATTGGTCGTGCAGTATGCTCCTCGTAACGTCCCTAGACTTCTAAGATCCAATACTATCTGCAAAGTCCAGAGGAGAGTTTAAGAGGTCCTGCAACTAGACCCAACACTGTGGTCCATCACGGTTCTTTTTACCGTACATGTATAGATTCGTGCATTTGTATCCTTAATTGCATTACTGGTAAATGTTGTCCCTGCACGGCATTAACACACGCACACGCTTCAGGGTCCCGATGGCGAGTTCCTGCTGGCCGTGGTGAACAGTCGGGCAGGCGTGGCCTTCTACCAGTACAATGGCTGGACCTTCACTCGCACAGACTTCCACGTGTCCGGCGCTGTACGTACCCAGTAATTGTCTAAAACGTGGTGGTAAATAGATTGTAACAAGTGACCTGCATGCTAGTTTTAATAAGTAATGCTGAAACTGCTTTTTGACTACCCTGGTACAGGGAGCAAAGATGGTGTCGGTGGCGAGGCTGCCCACTACCCTGAAGGAGGTGGTGTTGACGGTGACCAACCCCAGTGACCCGACCAATCGTCCACTGGTGCTGTACACACGCTGGCAGTACCACAACCCCCTAGCGGTCAGTACCACCATTCCCCCCCCCCCCCCTCCCACCCTAGCAGTTGGTACCATCACTTGGTACCTTCTACCAGTACCTAGCATAGCCTGGCCACCTCCCACCCCTCACTTCTGTTTTAACCCTGCGCTGCGACAGTGTTTTCAGGGGTGGGGGGGGACTACCCCCCCCCCTCCCCACCCAAGTGCGACTTTACGTAATTGGGTAAATTAAAATATTTTAATTTTGAGTGAAAGTTCGGGAAATTGGTTATTTTTGCTTTTAAACTGATTGCCGAGATACCTTCCCCTCCCCCAATGGGAAATTTGCAGTAGATTCCATACACACACACACACACACACTCTCTCTCTCTCTCTTGTACATTAGGAAAGTGCAAATACCAAATTGTCAGTTTGGGCGTTCCATGCCCGCCCTTTAATATGTAAAAGATAATGATTAGTAGATTTCGACAGTATAGAGTGGCTGAAAATCTAGACTCAAACCTCTGAAAATAAATTACTAAGTTTTCGACCATTCTAGATGGTCCAGGACGGACCCACACGACTAGTCCCTTAATTTTGAGAAATGTGGGTATAGAGGGTCTAGTCCAGAACTTCAATTATAAATGGTTGTGATGTGGAAGAGTTATTGTAGTAATGCTAACGTCCCATTGATGGTTCCCCCTTACAGTGGGTCTCCTGCACGGGCCCGGCCTCTGTCTAGTTCCCACAACTGTTAATAGGTTTCATAATGACTCTTCCCTTGCTCCCCCCATTCCCAAGCTGCGTTCCCTTATGCCCATGCTTTTTAATTAACATGCATATATTCTCCCGCCGTTTACATTAGAACACGTGTCCTCTTTTTAGGTGTATCAGCGGGAAGCTCTAAAATGGTGCAGGAACCTCCAGGAGAGAGTCGAGGGGGACCACCTGCCCAGGGTGCTGGCGGAGGCAGGCAAGTGCACGCAGACGGAGGCCACCTACTCCTTCCAGAGAGCTGTGGTAATCACAGGCGACCTCTTTGTAAACTCTCGGGGCTACATCTCTAGAGTTGATCCTGTAAGTTGAGTCCCTTCTAACACCAATGATTTGCTGTCAGTTTAGCTGGAATTGGGGTAACCTTAAATTGGCTAAATTCTTGTGCCAGTTTGAGACGTTAATTAATCACTAAATTATGCTAAAGTTAAAATAAAATAGGTCTTAAGGCTGTATATAGGGTTCACAAGTTTCAGAATGGTGAAAAGTAAATGTCTTCAGATTCTTGTCGACTCTGATGGTATCTTGGTGACGGACGCGATCTCGGTCACCATCGCTGGCATGTACGACACCTCCGCCAGTGTGCAGCGCCTCCAGGCCGCGGCTCGCTTGCGGCTCAGTACCTCTATGAAGATACAACAGCCAAATCTCGGTAAAAGAGGCGTGGACTACGTTATGGGTCTAGTTATGGGGGTTAAAGTTGTCGGTTCATATTGTGGTAAAGTGAAAGACTTGAGGCAGCTTTGACAAGTGTCATTACTTGCTCAAAATGGTATGTTTTGTTTATTTACTTTGTCTTGGTAACTGGTAGGATCAGTGGCTTGTAGTAAAGTTCTTAACTACACGATGCTCTTAATATTCCAGATGGTCTGAAATTTTCCACTGTAAGAGTTGTGTGTGCCGGAGGAGGTCGACTTGGAAGGTGCTCGGTCACCAATCTCCTGTCGCAGAAGGTGGGTACGAATACAGCACAGAATACACGCTGTAAAACTTTCCAAGCAAAATTTAGTAGATGCTTTGTATGCGGAACTCTGAGTAACGGAGTGTTGTAAATCCTTGAAGGTTAAGAGTATTTAATTTACTTCTAAATCTTATTCCCTTCATTGACGTTAATGCATAATGCTTTTAATTTCTAATACTTGGACTAAGACGGGGCTAATTTCTCAGATAAATGGCGTGAATACCTCCTTAACTAACGCAGTGAAACTGGTAGAGAACAATGGTGTGCTCAACATGACCCTGGCCGACGTGGCACTGACCGGGCAGGGCGTGGTGACCCTCCTGAGTGGCCCTGGGCTGGCCCCCACCCACACCTCCCAGCTCGTCACCCTCCACAACGCTCACAACATCGTCGGAGAAAAGACCTTCGGCTTCATCAGGACTGCCAGCGTACTGGTGGCCGGCACAGGTTCGATACCAGGCTTGCTTGACTTATGAAAAGTTCTGCAATTATAGTCTTTAAGATGCATAATATGCGCGCTAGATGGTAAACGGTATACCAAATTTAAATTGTATACCTTTTATCTGGATAATATGGCATGGTTGTGTAAAGTTTATATTAAACGTTAAAGATTTCGGTGTTTTCTAGTGTTGCCATGAAAATTTTAATGACCATTACTGATACTGAAAGAATGTGCAAAACCGTTCTATGGGGAATATATATATAAAATTACATGTGCTAGTCTAGATGTAAATTTCATAATTGCAATATTTTTTTTCCACACGTGGGAGCAGTGGACGGGGTAGCTGTCAAGGCGGACACCGTGCTGCTGACGGTGGGAGAACAGCAGGTGAAGGCGACCGTGACAATGCAGGCTCTTGACGCGCCCTTCATCAACCTCCACCTCCTCAACGGCGTCTCCTTCAGCAACTTCTACAACGACCTGGTACTGAACGACGTCTCGCAGAACTGGACAGGTATTGGTCCTAGTTACGTCTAGAGATTTCACTTGCGGAACAGAAAGTGTTAAAGGTTAAATCATTATAGTTATTGTGAAAAAAAATACAAAATCGTGTAGGCGATCGTGAGGCTTTAAAAGAGCCGTAACCAATTCTTCACGCACTGCCCCTCTCCCATGCAGTTTGGCCGTACCGTAACTTGGGCCACCTATAGAATTCGGCTAAATTCCGGGCTGTATAGTTTTAGTATGTAGTAGTCTATGGCATTTTTTTTGTGCCCAGAATACAGGTCTGAATCCTCCTACTGATCTCCATCTATTTAGCAGAATGATTCACAACGTGGCTGAAAATATAACCCTTCATAGGGGGAGGGGGGATTAAAAAGTTTAGATCTGTTCAAGAGCATTGTATTGAACTTTCTGGAAGAGTGGTTTGGTAAACACATTTGATAATTTCGTTAAAACGTAGAATGTTTTAAACATTTCAGGGTTGGTAACGATAGCGGGAAACCTGGTGGCGTCAACGTTGGTGAGCACCAAGCCACTATCTCCGTTGGACCCGGAGACTGTTAAACATGCTGCACTCCTGCACACTACCACCACCCCACAAACTGTAACAAGTGAGTTCGCTAAATTAAGCTCTTTAAAGAAAAAATTAGCAAAAAAAATTCAAAAGGGGGGTGGTGTAAATATAGGCTTAATAATAATTTGGTAAACACACATTTTGATCAGGTTCCCATACCTTGGGCGGTCTTCAAATTGGACGAGAATTAACGGTGGGTGGGCGAGTCAACGGTGCAAGGATACCTAAAGACCTTTACCTCATGACCGGAGCTCCAGAGGTCATTAATACCCCGGCTACGTTCGTATCTGTCGCTGCCAACTCCATACTTATAAACAACAACCTCAATCATATTAAGGTAAATAGTTTTATTGGATATACTTGGCAATAGCGGAACTTTTACCATCTTTACACAAGCAAATTCCTCGTACCATCAGTTCCTCCCTCTTGTGTAGATACAAACTTTACAGAACCACGTTATACGTATTTAGTTAGATAATTTAAGATGCCTATTTTAGACAAAGCGGGACTTTCTTGGTTCCTTGTGGAGAATTCACTTCACGAGCGTAATGAACGTAGGTAGAATGTAAGTTTAATACTTGCTTGAGCTAATGATGTTTTTGGGTTCAGGTGGTGAATGGGACGCTGATGGTGTTGCTGGTAAGAGGGGAGCAAGTTGTGAGCAGTACAAAGGTCTTTGCAGACCTCACCCTGCAGCAGCACTCGACTGTGCGCCTCCAGGTTGCGGGTTACAACCTCAGTGACTTTGCCTTCAACTTCCAGCAGGAAGTAATACTTGGTCTTAATGGTGTGTAATGTTGGTGTACCGATGGTGGTATCGCATGTTGTTGGAAAACTAAGGTTCATGCTTAACTACTGAGCTTTAACAGTTTTACGTTTACAATTAACCCATTCTGCGATAGCTTTAAGGCATTTCTCAAACGTCCAGTTAATGCCAGTGGCATTTTTTTCCGTCAGCTGGCAAGAAAGTGGACGGGTCTTTGACGTTCCACGATTCGCTCTTCGTTGAGGATGACCACTTGAATGGGGCGAGTGTGGGAAGGATTCGCAATTCTGGCCTCCTCCTCAATGCCAGCTACATAAACATGCCTCTGGTCTTCCTTGGACCTGTACAGGTAAGCCTTGGTTGCCAGGCTCAACGGTGAAGTGGGAGAGGGGGTGGTGTCGTTTGCTTGCTTGTATTGTGGTAAACTAGTTTAGGCCAATGGCTGACTTTAATAAAGTATTTATCACCAGCTTTACAAAGTACATGTAATATAGGTAAACCTTCTAGTTTATTGCCAGCTGAGTGGAGACCTGATGGTAGAGAACACGCTCAATGGTATTGGCGTGAATGATTACGTGCTGACTCACGCTAACTACACATTCACACATGCGATCTCCTTTAAGAATGGTTTGGTATGTTGAATCTTATTGCCACGTTACTGTTAATGACTAAATTCTTCCCTTGAACACATATTGAAAGATAAAAAAAATTGCGGAATTACATGCCTGGATAGGCTTCTCGATCCCAATTACTTTATTTATAGAAAGTAGAGGGCGATGTGACAACACTGAAATTGGATCCGTATGATGTGAAACTTCTGGCGTCGCAGATAGTGCTAAAAAACAGGATCAATCAGACTATCATGCAGGATATACACATTATGCAAGCTGTTATGACTGATGTGATGGTGCCAGGCTCTGTCAGTGTCTCTGGGGTGGCACTCTCTGACCTGGTCACTCTAACTGGCACCACTGAAATAACAGGTATGTTTGTCCTCGCTTTATGAATAATGAAAATGCGTTATGAAATTACTTTAAATTTCCATAATCTTAATGCAGGGAAAACTTTAATATGGATAACTCTTGCCATTCTTTACTAACCATAAGTGTTCCTAAACATTTTACTTTGTTGTAATGTTCCGTGTGGAGCAGGACAGAAGACCTTCACTAACCTGAAGGTTCTGACTGAAACACAAATGGGAGCTGTGAACGTGGGTCTCACTGGCACTGTCGATGGTGTTGTCTTCCACGAGCTCTTCGTCACGGACTCTCTCAAAACAAGCGGCAAGTATTCTTGGTCTTTCTGTAGTAAAAATCTTGCACACTTACCTTGTGCGTGTCAAGTTTGCTTAAACTGATTGTTGTATTAATGGATAGTTTCTTGACCCCCCACCCATTCAAGTTTCCAAAGTAGGTAAAGGATGTTTTATTTATTTTCAGTAGTATTCGGGTCGGTCCAATTGATATGGGTAGTGAAATCTAATGTACAATGGAACCAGACCACGATGGCATTTTGGGGAATTACATGTTATAGTTCAGTATGCGTCGCTTACAAAAACTTCGACTTGAAAAATCTCAACACGACCCTCGCTACATGGCAGTTGCTGTAGTGTTTGTACCTATTCATAATTGCTTGATCGACGACTTTAAATTCCATGTTAGACTGTCATGGGCTAAATGTAACTTGCCTACATATGTCTGCCTTGGAAACATTTAGCGAATCTTGGTTTAAATGGTTCTAGAGAATTTCTTTTTCTATAAATGCCTCTTCCCAACCCCCTCCCGCCTCTTTCTGCAACTCGTCCTCATGCCATGTTACTTACCCTAGGGGTCGTCAGCAAGATGCATTAATTTTTACACATTCTGCATTAAATAACTTAATGCACTGAAGATGTTAAGGTGATGGCAGCTGTGCTGGCTCCGTTGGTTTTGATCCTATTAGATGGTGACATTGACGGGAACGTCTGAACTTTGAATTATTAAATTGCAAAAAGTGACGTGACTACGGAACTTTGTCATGTAAGCTTTCTTTTGCAGCCTCTGGACTACAAACCCTGACTGGCAGGTACATCCACGCTCTTGCAGCAGTCTCTGCTACTGGAACGGACTTGGGCATCTTCGAAAGAACTGTTGTGTACACAGACTCCACTGAATATATTGCTGGGTCTCTCCTGTTTAACGGTGATGTCTCGGTTCAAGCTCTTACATTTGGCAGTAAGTGTTTGTAATGTAGGCAATCTTATTTTTCTTTAATTTCGTTAGACACTAATTTACAAGGCTAGCCGAATAATTGACAATTTAAAAACGCCTAAACAATTTTGAAGGCATAGCAGCTTCTGGTGCGTTCTGCTTATTAAACAAATATTTTTAAAGCTTGCGAGTTTGGCACATACTTTTAGTTGAACAATACTGATAAGATGAGTTTGCTTTATTTTCCAGTAATTTCCCCAGATTACAGTACTTTTGTTGGTACAAAGTGTTAATAGCCAGATTGTCCGTGTTTACATCTACGGATATATAAACTGTAGTTAATGATGATCGATTATATTGTAAAGGTGGACAGCCACACCATCACTTTCTGATGGCTCGTGATTCTTAGGGGACTTCGATGGCGTGTCTGTAGAAGACTACAGCTCTGGCTGGCTCCTGAAGGACGGGGCTCAGACCCTGACGGGCAGCAACACCCTGCAGGACGTCAGAGCGGCTGCAGTCTCCTTCGACGGAGTTTACTTACAAACGGTAGACTGGAATCGTCTGTTACAAAAGACTGCCAAGGTGGACGAGGCGACGACCATTACCAGAGCATCATTTGGTAAGCGCCGTGGGAACCTTGTCTGTGAAATTACAACAGCCACAAGATTCATGTAGCAGCCGGCTAATGTACTGAATTGTCAGACGTAGAGATTTCTCAGCTTGTCCCTCATGGCCCCTTTAATTTTTAAAGGTTGATTAGTTTTAAGACTTTGGCACTTTATGCATTCTTAACATTTCAGACTTGATCACTGCCAGGGAGATAGTGTTGGATGGGGCAATCCAGGGCTGGGACCTCAGTGTGGATGCTCTCACCACTTCTGCAAAAGCACAGATGGTAACTTGGGCATTACAATATATGTTTTAATTGAAAGTGATATTAATACAAAACTCTTTAAATTTGGGAATTGGCTGACTGTGCATCTCTAAAATGCAACTCTTGCAGATAACTGGCAAGAAAGTATTCCTTTCGATGGTGTTCTATTCCGGTAAATTCGAAATGGCGAAGGGAATGATGGTTCAGGCCACGAGATATGACAGCCCGGTCCACGTTGACTTGAGCACTCTGCTAGACTCTCTAGTCATGAAAGATTCGGTCGTCCATATAGATAAACTTATTGTCCAAGGTAAGCCAAATCTGTGTTCTCCTTGGGTTATGAAAATATTGGTTACTAGCACTGCTTGAAGATTTTTATTTAAAATAGTTTGCCCATCCATCCATTCCTTCCCCAGTCCAAATCATTATCCTGATCCCTTCCAGTGCCATGTAGTTGTAATGGCTTAAGGCCCCCCCGCCCTCCATAAATTTATTAAATTGCAGTAGTTATGTTTTAAGTCTCATACCTCTACGTTTCGACTGGTCTTTAGACGGCGGGGCCCGCCGTCTAGAGTGCGCTTCTAAAGTTTCTCCTCGCTTTTGCCTTTCTAGAATGTGCCTGTGTCGCTTTTGTTCCCGTTCATACCTACCCACTAAATGCAGGTAGCATGCGAACACGTGGGCCAGTTGGCATCCTCCTTGGCCTCCTCGCTGGGACGAGAATGCATTATCTGCTGTTTTAATGGTATTGCAGTCTCCAGTACGGGCTGTCCTGATAAAATTGGGTTGCCAATATGGATTTGGGTTTAGAGCCAGGTTCGGCTCGGGTTCGTACTTGACTCACAATCCGGAACAATGGTTTTGAATTATAGGCAGGGCCCAAAAAATTTATTGTATAAAAGCAAATGCATACAATGAGAAATCAGTCCAAACACATAAACAAGCGCGCAAAACCGGGTAAAGTCACTCCAAATCAGATAATGGGTCGCCAGCATTGGTAATCAAGATTCTTTCAGAGGAAACTGCCTCGGATGAATCTTCCATATAGCTCAAAATTCCAGAGCGTGAGAGAATCTACCCTGGACATAAGGACAACACACAAACGCTGTAGAGAAATCCACGGCCATCCTCTGCCCATCACGTGGCTGCACAAAGCCGAACTTCACAATAGCCTGTGGGCCAGCATTCTTTTGCAGAAACTGCACAAAGTCATTGCCCCACACATCCTCAGACTTCTTTGGGGGCAACACACCCCTCCCCCTTCTGGGGAGGCGCACAGGAGCAAGCGTGGGCCCCCCCCCTCCCCTTACACCAGCAGCCACCTTCACAGCACGTATATCTGCCAGCCCACCACCAGACATGTCAGAAGCCACAGGCACCCCCTCGTCGACCGAAGACGTGGCACTAGCATATTCCTCCATGTCTGCCCAGGCGAGGCCTCCAGGTAGAGGATCATCTAACCTAATCCTAGAGTGCTTAGGTTCAGGCCACAAACTCTCCACCTCGATGATGGCAGATTCACCGGAGGCACAAGGAAGTTAGTCCCGGAGACCTTGTAACATCAGACGGCTCGCTGCCACCACACCCCGTTGAAGATAGACACTGCCACTACAGAAGTAGTCTGTCAGCCCGGGGAAGATTAAAGGCCACACTTGACTGTTGCGATGCACGCATCGAGACAAGGAGGGGGACTGGAGAACCTGGGGACGAATGGGGCACAGCACTGGCAGGAGCGGCCATCGTCGAAGGAATGGCTGCAAGTCACTCTGGGAGAGCACCCACACCCTAGCATGATCCACCTCCCTAAAAATATTGTTCCGTGGTGCCAGCACGGGACGTAGCATCCAGATTCCCTGAGAAGTCGCACCGGAAACTGGTATGGGGCTGGCCTGCATAAAAGCGCCGAACATGGTACCCCCATCAGCATCACGGAAGACTGTCGGCTGTACGTAGCATAGTCAACGTGCACGTCCCATTCGGCATGCCCTTCAGCCGACGAGTAGAGATCACATAATACAAATGTTAAAGACGCCACCAAACTTCCTAAAGTAATACTGTAACAAGTTTTCTGGTAATTCAAAGGGCGCACGATGAACACTCGTGTAGGACGTATGTAGACTTCGATCAGAAACGGTTACTGTCCCCGCAGCCCCTGGTAATGGAAAGGTCGGAACTCCTGATAAAATCCCAGAAGACGTCTATAAAAGCAAATTTTAAGACTGCCCGGTGGTTAGAAATGATCTGAAACTCCCCACATCGGCCACTGCAATTTGCATGCATCAAACGGTGCCGCGTCCACAAGCGAGTAATCCATCACCTCCAGAGAATTCAAGGCAGGCAGAGACAGACCGCTTCACAGGTGGCAAGAGCACCCCCCCCCCCCCTCCCCCGACGGTTGAACGTAGAATCTAATGGGGCAACTATAGGTTGGTTTTGCACTACTTTGGTACACTTTACACAAGTATTCCATGAATAATAATTGGGTATTCTTGTTACAGGTAACGTGAACTTTGATAAGGATGTGAGAATCTCTGGTAATCTTAATGATGAGGAAGTAAAGACCTTGAGAGAGAAGTTCTGGCTAAGCGACCTTCCAGCCAATATAACTGCTGTGGCCTCGTTTCACCATGTTGTTCTAGGTCCCAAAGTTGACCTGCAGCTAAAAGTAAGACCCCTATTCAGTCTACCTTGCAAAATTTCTGGCAAATGTTAGTTTCTTCCGTAACCTTATAACGAGACATCGTCCTATTTCAGGGCTTGATGAATGGAGTAGACCTCCAGATACTGTGGGATACTGTTCTGAGGAAGGAGTGCGAGGGCTGGCAAGAGGTATCTGGCTCTTTCACCTTCGACACCCTCAACGTCGCTAATCTTGTTGCCTTCAGAGTCGACTCGGCAGACGACTGGCTCTCTGTAAGTACAGCAACAATTTAGGTGGAACAAAAATTGCTAGTTTTATGCCCGATTTTGCTTCTTTTTTGTCTAAATTAGTGCTACCTACCGTTTTTTAGCTAAAGTACTGCAGCTGACTACCATATAGGTTGGTCTGGCGCAGATATATTGCTCTACAGTAAAGGAAGGACTTGTTACACTAAAAAATAAACTGCTACATCCTATATTATTGGCAGATAAGACTTCACACTAAACTATTACGTATTATGAGTCTTATGAGTCGGCCTAATGTGTTCTTGGAGACGTGTTAGAACTTCTATGCTCTTATAATGCATTTAACTTTGAAATGAAACTAAAATTCAGTTAAATATCTACTCTTAAAGACTAGTGCTAAGGAAACAAATGCATGACCTGTTTGGCATCGGTCTGTCATGTTTAACGCATAAGACTTGTTTGGTTTATCGTTGACGTTACATTTACCCCTTCAACCCATCTTCAAAAATCCATTCAATCCAGCAGTCGACCCCAAACACGCATTAGTAAATTTTTAAAATGTTGTTCATTCAAAATGTGAATTTCCTCCAAATATAAAAATTAACATACTGTGCATATTTAGACTTAGGTTAGGTGTTTAGGTTCTGTTAGCGATTATTTGTAGAACTTTGGTTCGGAAAAAGTAGTCGGCTAAGCACTTGCGAGAGGAACATTCAGAGGTTCATTAGTGTAAAGTTTTAATTCATAAATTGCAAGTTTGGAGGGTGCATGGAATGAACTTTGACTAATGTTTGAGGACAAGCTGCACGCCTACCGAAGAATGGTTCGGTTCGTATACGGTCTTACCGCTTCTAGTTTCCATCGTCTGTGCGCGCGTCCACTAGGTATTTGCCGAAGGTTAGTCCTATTTTAAGTTTTCAAAAGCCGACAGGGTCTCTTTCACAGCGCGAGCTGCACAACCTGCTGCTGGTGGACGGGGATCAGATGATCACAGGAAAAGTAACCACTCCCCAGCTGACGGCACAAGGTGAGTTATTCTCCGCGGGGGAGGCAAAGGAATCTTTTGTGGGGATGGGGGCAGTTGAACCAGCATGCCTATAGCGGGATAGTAGCTTTAAAAATTGGCTAATTTTTATTGCTTGATTTGATGCTTTGGTAAAACATGGCGACAGGCTGAAATGCAATGAAATGTGGCTGTCCTTGGTCTAGTCTGTAAACTACAACGGCTCTTTTCTCTAGCTTCCCTTCGGCTGAATGGCACCGTGAACGGGTTGCGGATGGACAGAGACTTTGTACTAGTGAACAGTCGGGCTGTTATCAGCGGGTGGAAACTGTTCCAGAAGGATGTCAGCGTTACTGGCAACCTCAATGTCCTCCCGTCTGCACTCGTTCAAGCAAGTAGTTGAAGCCCTAATAAGTGAACTGGTCGGGTTCAGTTAAAAAAGTGGGGTTGACGGTGCTCTGGCTATTATTATACAATGATTGCACCATTTTTTCTGTAATAGTAAAACTTCGGAAATTGAGAAATTAGTTTAAATTGGAAAATTGTATGACGAAAGTAATGGTTTCAAATTTTTGTAATGTTTGACTTACTCTGCAGGGAGTGGACGTGTCGCAGTTCTCAAAGACTATTCTGGTAAAATCAAACCTAACCGTCATACCAGGAGTTACAACTTTCAAAGGCGTCAGAATCTTACAGAAACTTGTGTGAGTAATTTCTTAGTGTACCATTGACAACCTTCCCAAAAAGTTTACCAAGGGTTGTACCCAGACAACTAATTGCATAACTTGCTAAATTTCTTGGTTCGTCTTAGAAATTTGTTAGCACGACAACATAATTAGAGCTGGTGTTTGGTGGCAGTGTGGGCGGGACTGTGGACAGCGTGAGGGTGAGCGGGACGAGGCTACTGACGAAGGGCGGGCAACAGACGATGCAGGGAACCTTGACTCTGCTAGCCTCTCCACCCAGCACCTTCGCCCTCGTTGTCAAAGGACCTTTAACCATTCAAGATAACCACTTTAATGATATAAACTTAGACAGACTGGGTTCCATGACGGTAAGAAAATAATTTTGAAATAGAAAATTGTGAAACTTTTCGTAAGAAGTTTCCCAGGAAAAGGAATTGTCCTGAATTGTAAATTACTGTTGCAGGTTTTGCGTGAAGGTTCAGTGGTAATAAGGAGCACTGTAGTGTTTCTGGAAGTAGTAACCGTAACAGAGGTGTTACTGGTGAACCACATAGTAAACGGATACAACATCACTGACCTGGCACTGTGCCTCCTTGGCCAACACGCTGTACAGAACATGGGCAACAAGCTGGCACTGGTCCTGCGGGCAGTGGAAGAAGTCAAGGATGTCCTGGCAGGCGAGTCTGCTGCTATACACGTGTATATACCTTGGAAAAGGGGGGGTGAAATCTATACAGAACTGGTAACTGTCACATTCCTGTGACAGTTACTTGGCTTTATGTAGTCTATATATCGGCCCTTCTATATCATTCATCAAACCCCCCCCCCCCCTCTCTCTTTCCTCCGAATTTAGAGTAGTGCTAAATATTAGTCTTAATCACTGGCGCAACCTTCCACCTCCCTCCCCGAGACTAAGTTCCCTTCAATCATTAGGTTGTTTATTCTTAATGACAGAGTTGACTTTCAGAGAGGCGAGAGGACGTGTGGTACTACAAGGAACAACAATTCTCAACGCGGTTATACAAGTTGCTTCCTATACAGTAAGTGGCAAAAAATGCCCAATTTACTAGTTTGTAAAGTTAATACAATTAGGATGTAGTAAAAATAGTTTTAGCGTTTGCTTAAAATGTAAATCTTGTAGATATAATTTAGATTTAAAATTTTCAAAACGGTGAAGTGAAGTAACAAATATTTAAATATTCGGGCTTGCAAGATTGGTGTAAAGTCCTTGAGGAACACTACGTAGCAACCTTAAGTGACCAGAGCTGCAAGCACTCTTGATCCAGCCTGCTTCTACACCATCAATAATGTAATGTTTATACAGGTTGACAGGTGACCTGGAGATGCACTCACAGACGACACTAGTCGGCCTAGACAGAGCAGGCGACCGCCTTCTCTTCTACAACATCACCAACCTCGCCCAGCTGTGTAAGTTGACCGTAAGCCTAGCTTTCTACATCCAGATATATCTGCACATCCCAGTATCTAATATTTAACTTAAATATTCCCAGTCGACCAAGTCATGATCTCTCCTTAGACTCTGCAGATGCATCACTTTTTTCTTAGATATTCCTTGGTTGTCCAGTAATTGGCTTTGAATCCAACTAAATCTACTTCACAAATCTAATGGCTTCCCAAATCTAGCTATACAGAATAGGCAGGCGATGAGTCACAACGTGGCTAAAGTATGTTGACCAGACTTCACACTAGGTGAAGGGACGACGTTTCGGTCCATCCTGGACCATTCTCACAATGGACTTGAGAATAGTCCAGGATGGATCGAAACGTTGTCGTCCCTTCACCTTCTAGTGTGTGGTCTGGTAAATATACAGAATAGACTTGGCTACCTTGACCTGGTCGACGACCGGGCCGCGGGGACGCTAAGCCTCGGAAGCACCTCGAGGTAATCTTGCCAAGAGTATCTGATTTCTCCAAACATCACTAGATATCGACAACTCTTGTTCTCTCCGCCCATACAGTATAGGAGGTTTGCGCAGCCCCTTCCGACCGTCCCCCGCGGTCATTTGTCCCTCGATAGAATTCTTTGACTCGCATACTTTTGATATCGTTCGCCTTATGAGTTTTTGTTCTCGTATTGGCATCCTTGGTGATATTTAGCGCCCTCTGATTACTCAGCACATTTGATGGTGCTACATAGCCTTCCCGGTTTGGTGCCTTCTTTTGATAATTACTTGCGCAGCCCCTTGCTCAATGTTTGACCCATTACCCTATTCCTTACCCTATATGTAACCGTTCACTAATTCCATCGACCCTAGCTAAGAAAATGCTTGGAATTGGGTAACTTGCACTAAAATGTCAAACTCCAGGAATGAGGTTATATATAACTTAATATCCTTGGAGGAACGCCTGCTGTCGAAGTGCATACAAAACTTTATACAAATAGTAAAGGTGTCTAGACTTCATCAATTTTTCCAGTTCCCGCCGTTGCCGTGGTGAAGCCGACGGCGGCCGCTGGCTTAGGGTGGGGCTTGGTGGCGGTGTGTGGGCTCCACGGCATGGACGCCGCGCCTCCAGGCACTCTCCTCACCTCCACTTATACGAAGGTATGGTTATCCAACTCTTAATGATTAGCATGCACGATAAATGACAAGGTAAATTATAGTTACTGTAAACTTTAATGGTTTTTAATTTTACAGTTCAAGTAATGGAGACGGTATCCTAACTGTCAACTTTCCAAATTTTAAAGTTCGGAAAAGGCTTTTTTCCAAGAGTCGCTAAATTTCAAATTGCCTGGAAAAAAACTTTATCAGAGGAAGGCGGGAAGACCTGTAGTATAATTAAATTGCTTTAAAAGTTTCATCCTGAAATTTTCTAATTTGACCAGCCCGTCGTCGTAAACAATTGCAAAAGTCCATTCCATACAACCCCCCCCCCTTTCCTTTTCCCCGTCAAACCCGATGTTTATCAATGGATAAAACGGTTTACACAAGACTGGCAACTCATGACGTCCGAATACTTCCGGAAAAAGTGCCTCACTGACGAATTTTGTTCTAACTAAAACGCTGTAAATGCTTCACCCGCTTACTACAAATAAGCGAACAGAACCCAAACACTTAACTAGTGCCTTAATATACATTTACTATATTGTACATATTAATATCTTATATAAAGAAAATTTGTTTTGAATAAACATGTTGAAACTTGAGTTTATTGGGTCGACCGCTAGATGGAATGGACTTTGTCAAAGCAATATGTCCTCAGACTATCGTCATCTCTGCAGATAAACGTAGAGAGGGGCGCTGGCTACGGTCACGTGTATCAACTAGAGGGTGGACAGCTGAGGCTGGAGGCTGCCTTCCAGACCAGTCGGTGTAGAGACCTTGTGGTGAGTGAAGAGCCAAGCTCTCTGCAAGTTTGCCAAAGCTTCTGGACCCCAGACTCTCTGGGCTAGCAGGCAACTTTGCAGGGTGACCTGGTGGGGAATAGGGAACCATCACTGACGTGTCGTGCTTCCCACCCTCATACTAATGGTAGTTAGTCCATACTTTAACCTTAAAGAATTAAACTTTTAATTGTAGACTTGCATTTAGTTGGGGAAAGGGGGGGGGTTCCCCACTTGAATGCTGCATGCATTTTTTAATTCGTAACTGCTTTTTTAGGCCTTCAGGGCAGGTAGGCAGACATGCCTGGCCGTGTTGGACTACGCAACAAACTCGTCGATAATATGCAAGCTGCCTGGAGCGTCCTTTAGTGTGGTAAATTCCCTGGCGACGACCAGGGCTGTAAAGGTGAGTCGCTGTAGTGTTGACTCGCTCCACTTGTGAACAGTAGAGCTCCCTCACCGTCCCTAACGACTCTAGCCTTCAGCCTTGATGAGGTGGAAGACTAGAATTTAGTGTAACTTCAGGATTCTGCTCTTAATTTCAATTTTTTTAAACCCATTACACTTTTCGTAAATGGCAGGAAGAATTACGGTGCCTGTAACAGAGGTACCATATAAGTGACGAGAATTGGTGACATTATCGTCAATGAGCTTGCTATTAATGACATGTCTTAACAGGTGCTTAAAATATTGTGGGCTTTACTTTGATCTGGCCTTCTGATTGTTAATGTAACATACTTCTTGTAGGGAGCCTGGTTGGCACTGTCGTCTGGGACCTTCCTGTTGGTGGTGGAGGCTGGAACACCCTCACAACCGGCACACATTAAAGTATACCAGTTTGATACCGTCAGTGGGAGTCTTGGCGTGGTAAGTACATAATGTAGGTTTGTGTGCATCCCTGATGCCCTTAGTGTGTGTAGTTTAGGCAACAGTCGCCACTTTAAAGATCATTTGGATAAAATGTGTAAATTTTATATATACAGGGCCTAGAGTATCAAACTTTGATGGAACTAAAGCATTAATGATATTGAGGAAATGAAATTGTTTGGATCAAAGATCACTAGGGTTTTTGCCGTTTAGTTAACATTACTATGCACTTCAGCAAGTTTGACGTGTGGGCCAAATATATATGCAGAATTTTTAACTTTTCAGATCCAGAGTTTGAACAGATCAGGAATGACTTCTGTGGCGGCCCTTGGTCGTGGAGCACAGGGCCTACTCTGCCTCACGGAGGCCCAGTCAGCTCTAGGCCCCGGCAGGGTGGTAATTCTCGAAGCAAAGCCCACTGCTACCTCCCTAGCCCTCTCTCTCCTGCAGGTGCGGACGGCAGTACTTTAAATCGGCCTTCAGCCAAATGTAGCTCGATAATGTCCGATTTCACTCTTCATATAACATTAAGAGCTCTGAAGCATTTTTAAAACTAACAATTTGGTAACTTGGCATCTAGCTCAGCATTTCGGTTTTTACTAACTTTTTTAGCAATACTTCTATTACATTTCTATAAACAAAATGGCAGTTGGCTTTCTAGTTCTCCGCTTAAACCTATAAATGTAATTGGTGTCCGACCCATGGAAAGGTGACACCATAAGGGTCTTGTCAAGGCTGTGACACGGATGTGGGAGCTGTTAGTGGTACTGTTGGAGCTATTGTTCCTTTGTGCAGACTGTGGTGGTGGAGGGCGCCGTGGACAGCAGCCTCGGGTTGATGCCGACGGGAGACGTGGCGCTTTACGTCCAGACCCAATACAACCTCCTCTTCTACCTCCTCAAGGGCACCACCTTCGTCTTCCATAGAGAGGCAAGTCCCTGAAAGTTGGCGAAAAAGTTTGATAATCTTGCAAATAGTTTAATTTACGAACCCTATCTGTAGCACTTTCAGAAATGCCTAAAACTGCTTAAACTTAAAAAAAGGTTAGGAAAAGTTACTCTAAATGGGGGACCTGAAGTAGGTTTAAACAATTTTTAATAGAGGCACACTTGCTTTTATTCCCCTCAGATTCGTACAACACCAGCTCTACATCCTTTCTCCTTTCCCTTCCTACACGAGGCCACCAACAGGGCCATGGTGGCCTACACTGGTGCTGGCCTCCTGGACGTCTACGACGACCTCCCCACTCTACAGCTGGCCAAGCCCACACTCTACACTACAATCTACAAGCCTCGCTCGACTTCAGCTTAACTTTTAAAAAATATGCTTGTAATGAGGCTTTTAATCAGATGAAGTCTGAATATTTAATAAAATGGTAAATAAGACTTAATTTGTCCTTTGTTAGAATCCTTGGTGAATCGGGCACCTATTGATATAGCTTGTCTAGTGTGCTTTTATCGTATTCCATAGCAAGTGACATTGTGATTTGTGAATATCCAACTACTTTGATGGCGCTACATAGTCTTCCCAGCTTGGTGCCATCGGATAATTCCTTGCCATGACCGCTTTGTGATCTTGTTGTATATACTGGACGAAACACACTCGCAACACACACACACACACACACACACACACACTACCATGTCGTAGCTCAGTCGATTAAGGCAGCGTCTGGGATGCTCTTGGACGCAAGTTCGAATCCTCGTCACGGCCCCTTGTAGATTTGTTCTCTTAAGATTAACTGTTTCCCTTGTACAATAATTTAGGGAGCCGGTCGGCCGAGCTGACAGCACGCTGGACTTGTGATCCTGTGGTCCTGGGGTCGATCCTAGGCGCCGGCGAGAAACAATGGGCAGAGTTTCTTTCACCCTATGCGCCTGTTACCTAGCAGTAAAATAGGTACCTGGGTGTTAGTCAGCTGTCACGGGCTGCTTCCTGGGGGTGGAGGCCTGGTCGAGGACCGGGCCGCGGGGACACAAAAGCCCCGAAATAATCTCAAGATAACCTCAAGATAAGATACCCCATGTGTTCTATAGTGGTAGACGGTTGGAACAAGTTGAGAAGGTGGTGGAGGCAAGACAGTCAGTAGTTTCAAAGCGTTATATGACAAAGAGTGCTGGGAAGACGGGACACCACGAGCGTAGCTCTCATCCTGTAACTACACTTAGGTAATTACACACACACACACACACACACACACATACACATATGAGGACGTGCATTCGTCTTTGCTTCCAGACTGTCCCTAGCGGTCATGTATCTTGGTAGAATCCTTGGTGAATCAGATATTTTTATCGATTGCCTTACGTGCTTTTGTTCTAGTATTGGCATCCTTGGTGGTATTTAGCGCCTTTTGAATGTCCCGCACTTTTGACGGTGATATGTAGCCTCCCCGGCTTGGTGCATTTTGATAATTACTTCATATGGCCTACAGAAGGCGCAATGGAAAGATAGTAACGTTGTCTTGAGAAAACTATCGTAATCTCCTTGTATATGTTTATTTCTGTTTGGCAATGTTTATTTTGTAATGCGTGTCTATATATGTATGAACACGTTGTACTGAACGTGGTGAAAACAGCTTGAGCTACCTCATCCCTTTGTGTGTATTTTACCTCGATAAACTTATTTCAATTCAATCGTAATCTTGATTGTATTGATCCTTCGTTCATTATTGAATGTTGGCGTTATAGATTATATTTAAGGATACTCGAGACCTTGTGAATATCCTGCACCATGGACAGTGCTAAAGCCTTAACGGCTTGGTGCATTTAGTATAAAGTGCTTAATAAGTGCTGAGGTTAAACAGAGACTTTGCCCGAGACTTGAGAGGATAATTATAGTAGAAACACGTGTTAACCTTACACTGGACACTGATACGGTAAGCATATTACGCTGTAATTTACACAAAATATATATAAATAGGCAAAATAACGTTAACATGCTTAGTAGTATGATGTGTATGCGTAGTGAGCGTAATAAGGACTCCTCGCTGGTGCCACCCGTATAAATAGCACGCTGGCGCCCCCATCACACTACCTGCCCTACTCTAATTTGGTCCCTAGTTGTGCCACTGGCACCGTCGCACTCGGTGCCTCCCTACGCACTGGACTCTCGGGTCACTAGTTTAAGGAGTTTCCTTTTATCATAGTGCCTCGGACTGCGGTGTTGATAGCTTGGTATAATCTATTGACTATCTTCGTGCTTCACTGATAACTAATGATTGGTCAATGACATTAGTGTGTCAGATGGAGCCGAGGGGCTGAACGAGCCAGCCATGCTGCCCCTCAGCTCCGCCATCAGGGACGGGCTGTCTGGGACGCTGCAGAAGGCGCCACGCTTCGGCGACGATGTAGCCACCAGGCTGGCGCGAGCGTTCGTAGCGTGTGACGAGGGCTTGCTGAGGGCATGCCTGGAGGAGGGCGTGGACCCCAACCTGACGCTGATCGGGGGACACACGCCCGTCACTCTCCTCCTCTCCACGACCACGTCGGACCGTTGGGAGAATCTGGTGAGGCTGCTACTGGAAGCTGGGGCGTCGCCGGACACCAGAGACCCACAGGGAACCCCCCTCGTATCGCTGCTGGTGATCGCCGGCAGTAGCGACCTGGTGAGCCTCGTGCTGGATAAAGGCGCAGATGTCAATATCTGTGGTTGTAGTGACGAGACGCCCTTGTTGAACGCTGTTCACTATCGGCAGCTTGAGTGCGCGCGCCTGCTGCTGAATCGAGGAGCAGACCCAAACACACCCTCCAACGATGGGAATTCTGCTCTAATGTGGGCTGCAGGGCGCAGCAACGGGATCGGCATGCAGAGATCCCTGGCCTGCGTTAACCTGCTGCTGAAACATGGCGCTCACGTGAATTTCAGAAACCGCAGAGGGTTCACCCCGCTCATGGCCTCTGCTGTCATCCGCGAGAGGGAAATGGTGCGGTCGCTGCTGGCCGCAGGCGCAGATCCGGACATGACGGATGACAGAGGGGAGACTGCGCTCATCAAGGCCGCAGATGCCGACGCTGAGGAAGTGATCGCAGAGTTGCTGGCGGCCAAGGCCAGCGTCAACACACAGAGCAGGAGCGGGTGTACTGCGCTCATGAGCGCAGTGTCCACGACGGTGCTGACGAGGCTGCTGCAGCACGGCGCCGACCCGAGGCTGGCGGCCAGGGACGGCAACACGCCGCTGCACCACCAGGTTATGGGGAGTCGTCCCGAGCTGGCACGCCTGCTCCTGGAGCACGGTGCCGACCTGGAAGCCAGGGACGGCCAGGGCAACACGCCTCTGCAAACTTCCGTTCGCTGCAAGAGCTACGCTGCCACACACCTGTTGCTTGACAAGGGCGCTATTGCTGCTGCAGTCAACGACATGGGCGTGTCGGCGCTGCACGACGCCCTACTGCCGTGGGACTACTTCAACACCCACGACGTATTCTCCGCCCTCAACACCCCGTCTCTCATGGCCGAGCTCCTGTACTACTTCCGTTCAGGAAGCGACATGACGCTGGCCGTCGTTGAGAGGCTCCTGGAGCGAGGTGCTGATCCGCACCTGGGAGGGGAGCAGGGGGTGACGCCCCTCATGCTAGCTGCCGCCTGCGGCCACGAGCGACTCTTGCGACTACTGCTGGAGGCTGGAGCATCGTCGGGCTGCCGGGACGCCCACGGCCGCACAGCCCTCGCCTACGCCTGCAAGTGGGGCCACACTCATCTGGTGGACGCCCTCCTCGCCCACAACAGCCCCGTCAACACTATAGATATCCACCACAACCTGCCTATCTACTACGCCGCTCACTACGCCCACACGCCCATAGTCATGACCCTCATGGTGGAATTTGCATTTTATGTGTATTATCACAGGCTCCAAGACAGAGGCCCTTAGTCACTCCGGGCGACTATTCTTGACGCAACTAATGTCCGGAATACTTCTCTCTAGCACATGAACGAATGGAATTCTTATGTTGAAAATTCTTATTGTTGCACCCCATCTGAGCGTTGAGACGGTGGCCTCAGGCAAGGATACCGTCAACGTCGCCGCCTGGCTCGGCGGTCTTGAGGGAGGAACAAGAGAGCATCGCTCAGCACGGTCGTGCTCGGGATCTCACCTAAGCTTTTAGGCAAGGCTGTGGTACGCTAGGTTTGCTAGGAGAGATCTATACGTTAGATTAGATAAGGAAAGACTGGTTTAGGTAGGCTAGGCGATACTGCGTTAGGTTGGTTTGGGGACGCTTAGGTCAGGATTCCCTCCCGTCTCACCCACCCCCCCAAAAAAATTTTGTTGTGCTTCTTGAATCAAGCTGCATTTTGCGGAGCTAAAGCTCAGAACGGCGAGACTGAATAGTAAATAGCCAACATAAAATGTATTAACAAAAACAAAAAAAAATGGGTGTAAATATGTTTATATAGATTTTTATGGAGGTGGAAGAAAATTATTACATACATATAAATATTGTATATACATACCAGCTTTTTATGCCTAATTTTACGTATAGAAAAATGCAGAAAACAGAGATGTAGATTTTGTTTAACAACATCATGCTATTCTAATATATTCCTACATTCTCGTGTTACATCTACATATCATTTTTTTATTTAATTAAATTTATGTAGGACCATTTTTTTAGGTTTATTAGCGTAAAATATATATTTTAATTGATTTTAGTGTTTCAATTTTGTGCGTTTATTAACACAGATTTCATTCCCAGGTGAGTGAGACTTCCGGTTGGATTATAGATTCATGCTTTATTTTGAATGTATGTTGTTGTTTTGATATAAGATTTTATTATGTGTAATGTTAGTGGAAATTTATATGAAAATAAATTATGGATAGTATTTGCCGTGTATATTATACCCATTATAGCAAACCTGCTTATTAAATGTTGTTGTATACCTTTATACTGAATGAGATGCAATATACTGTATCTCAAACAACATACCTTAATGTTGTTCCTCATAGAGTAAACCTTAATTTTGATTTTACAAGAAGCTTGTAAATTGGTAAGATTTTAAATTTGTAAGATTAAAAGCTTGTAAGATTTTACAAGAAGCCGGAAATGAGTTAAATCAAATCTACACTGATGGGTCATCTAACCCTGTCAATGTCAGGGCTGGTGCAGCATACACTGCAATTAGGAATAATGCCTTTCAATTCGAAAATGGAGAACAAGTACGTATTGAGAACTAAGCCTCTTCAACGCAAGTGGAGTTAATTGTCATCGTTATGGCGTTAAGATTCCTTGAACGAAACACTAATGATGCCGTGATCTGCGCTGATTCAAAAGCAGCGCTACAAAGTATTTAGTAAAAATAGTGCAGAAAATCTTGAGATAGTCGCTAAAATCAAGAGAGCTGTGAGAATACTAACCAATCAGGGAAGAGTCGTAAAATTTCTATGGATCCCCTCCCATGTTGGAATATGTGGGAATGAATGAGCAGATGTGCTGGCTGCTGAAGGCGTTGAAGGAGACCATATTGAATACTTCATACCCAAGACTCTTCTACAAATTAGAGGTATTGTCAGGCAACATCACCGTGACAAGGTTACTGAGGAAAGGAGGAGAGAAGAACAAATCAGTGAATCTGTACGATGGTACAACATGGTTGGAGCTGGCGATTCCAATCATTATATTGACATAATGTCTACTAGCGGGGGATACCCGGCGTTGCCCCTGGTGATTGGGGTCATATCTTCACTACACAGTATCTTTACTGTAAGCATTTTCACTACACTCAACCTTCAACACTTTATCTAGTTACACATTTTCCGCCCTTCACCACATTCCCCACCTTCCCTTCATCACTACCTGATGTTACTTCCAACCTCCTCGGCTGGACGTGTGCTGGGCGGGTCGCCCCGGCTGGAAGTCGTGCTAGGCGGGTCGCCCCGGCTGGAAGTCGTGCTGGGCGGGTCGCCCCGGCTGGAAGTCGTGCTAGGCGGGTCGCCCCGGCTGGAAGTCGTGCTAGGCGGGTCGCCCCGGCTGGAAGTCGTGCTAGGCGGGTCGCCCCGGCTGGAAGTCGTGCTGGGCGGGTCGCCCCGACTGGAAGTCGTGCTGGGCGGGTCGCCCCGGCTGGAAGTCGTGCTGGGCGGGTCGCCCCGGCTGGAGACTGGCACAGTCCTCATATGCCAGCTGCCACGGCTCGCCCTTCGTTCCACTCTCACCCATTACCAACCTGAACAGGCAAAAAAAAAATGCAATTATATTTCGTCATGGAATTCAGAAAGTCGTCAGTGATTGGTAAGAACCATATCTGGAATCACTATTCAGTTAGGCACACGTCAAAAATGTTTTGTCTGAAGCGTTCTGTGCTGCTTGAGGGTGAGGATCATATTGTCTGTCATTTTCCATGGCCATATGGATGGGGGTAAAATTTCAATCTGGAAGTACTCTAACCTCCTTCACGAGTGTAATTATATGAGAATGGTTGCTCAAGGAACGTGAGACGGGGCTAGTTGACACGAAGTGAGTTTTAGTCTGCCCATCTTTCTCTTGTTTGGTTTCTGTCATCTTAATGTAGAACTTCAATAAGTTTGTCGAGCAGGCGTTTCCTTTGCTAAATATGTGCTGGAATTTGGGGACTAAATTGAGGTACTGTAAATGTTCTACTAGTCTGCTTTGGATCAGTTTCTCTCGCAACCTGCAGGGGACACTTGTTAGTGATACAGGTTTAGTCGTAGATACAGGTCTGTGGTGTAACGTTCTTGTCTTGTCCCTTTCTTGTTGACTGGTACCACATTAGCCGTTTTCCAGTCGTATGGAAGTTTCGTTTCTTGAAATAAAATATTATGACAAGGGGGGGGGATTGCGAAATGCTTCAGCTGCCTGCTTTAGTATTTAAGATGATATTCTTCTACAGCTTTTATCATCTTAGGTTCCTGTAGTTGTTTTCTTGCCTCTTCTGGCCTGCCCGTTCGGTTTGGGTTCTCGGCTCTAGTGGCAGATTAGGCTCAAGCTTGAATACTTCCTGGGGGACATGTATTAAGTTCCTCGCATACCTCCTTATCATTCTCCGTAGCGTCTTTCCTCCCCTTTGTCAAGTGTCATCACCTGGTCGTCCAGTCATCGTGATTCTAATGTGACTATGGAATAGTTAAGGCCGAGACTTGGCCTTGTGGGCGGTGTCATTCCCGTACTGCTTCTCCGCTACGCTGCTGGTGTCTGTGATTTCCTTCTGTGTTCTCTGAATTTCTTAGATGTTGTCTTTATGTCTTCCTTCGCCTCCAGCCACTGTCGGTTGAACTATGAGCTAATGCTCGTCTTCTTCCTTTAACCCTTAGTGGTGGTAGGAATTTTTCTTGAGCTTCTTTAAGTTTATTCGTTACGTAGTCCATTGTTCCGGTGTTGATTTTCTTGTGATTGATAGATGAAGATTAAGCCACCCAAAAGGTGGCACGGGCATGAATAGCCCGTAAGTGGTAGTCCTCTTGAACCATTAACAGTATCAATAGATGATACTGGAGATCTGTGGAGGTGCGACTGCACCCTGCGTGACGGGAGATGTATCCCTTGTTTCTTGTGATTGATTGATGAGGATTAAGCCACCCAAAAGGTAGCACGGGCATGAATAGCCCGTAAGTGGTGGCCCTCTTGAGCCATTACCAGTATCAATAGATGATACTGGAGATTTGTAGAGGTGCGAGGGCACCCTGCGTGACGGGAGATGCCTCCCGTGTTCCCCATGGGCAGCGTTCCTTCCCTTCGTCCTATCCCAGCTCCTTGTCATCTATTTGTACTCGCCTAGTTGTGCTTGCGGGGGTTGAGTTCTGGCTCTTTGGGCCTACCTCTCAACTGTCAATCAATCAACTGATTTTTTCCACACACACACACACACACACACACACACACACACACACACACACACACACACACACACACACACACACACACACACACACACATGAAGAAGCCCGTAGCAGCTGTCTAACTCCCAGATACCTATTTGCTGCTAGGTGAAGAGGATCATCAGATGAAAGAAATTCTGCCCATTTGTTTCCGCCTCCGCTGGGATCGATCCCCAGATCCTAGGACTACGAATCCCGAGCATTGTCCACTCAGCCGTCAGGCCTCGTGTGTGGGGGGGGGGGTCTGACGTACGTGTGTGTGCGCCTCTCGGTGGCTCTGCAAGTCACCCCATCATTACCAGAGCCCCACACACACCACTTTCCCTGGGAGTGAGGCACCAGCTCACAGTAAACATGAGACCCCATGTAGGAAAAGAATATCAACGATACTCGGATGCTCAAAACATACGCTACAATCCTTTCACTCTACAGTCTGCTTCATCACGAAGAGTCTGTTTCAGCACGAAGAGTCTGCTTCATCACGAAGAGTCTGTTTCAGCACGAAGAGTCTGCTTCATCACGAAGAGTCTGTTTCAGCACGAAGAGTCTGCTTCAGCACGAAGAGTCTGCTTCATCACGAAGAGTCTGCTTCAGCACGAAGAGTCTGCTTTATCACGAAGAGTCTGCTTCATCACATAGAGTCGTCTGTATCATCATACTTCAGGGTGTCGCCTCACCGCTTCACAGAGCGACGGGTCGAGTCCTTCCTCTGGAGTTGTTATTTCAGCAAAATATGACAAACACTTCCTCAACTGATTTCATGTTGCTCGTTCCCTGTTACTTTACGTGTGTTGTGTGTATTTAGCCCCTCAGAGTCAACACACACACACACGCACACAATGTGTGTGAAGGGAGCCGCGGTGACCGAGCGGACAGCACGCTGGTCACGATTATGTGGTCCTGGATTCGATCCCTGGCGCCGGCGAGAAGCAATGGGCAGAGTTTCTTTCACCCTATGCTCCTGTTACCTAGCAGTAAATAGGTACCTGGGAGTTAGTCATGGGCTGCTTCCTGGTGTGTGTGTGTGGGTGTGTGGTGTTAAAAAAATAGTAGTAGTAGTTAGAAACAGTTTATTGACAGTTGAGAGGCGGACCCAAAGAGCAGAGCTCAACCCCCGCAAGAACAACTAGGTGAATACAACTAGGTGAATACAACTAGGTGAATACACACTATACGGATACCAAAGGTGTTCAAATCATGCGCACCAAAGGTGTTGGTACATACAGCTGGGATCAGACTGGCCGGGGTCATCGTACAGCGTGGCAGGAGAAACGTCAAAGGACTTTCAGGCTGTAACTGACCTTCACCAGATTTCTCCTCCCTTAGAACAATGTTATTGTTTGACCGGTCAGTGCTCCTACAGCGTCAGGAGAGAGAGAGAGGACATGTTAAAGAGGGAGACAGAGAGAACTTATAAAAGAGAGATATATAAGACAGATAGGGGGGTCTAAAATGACAGGTAAACGAAGATCAAATGAGGAGCAGGACTTATATAACTGTGTAATCACGTATCTGTAGCGTCAGAATTGGATTGAGAGACCCGTCACCTGTAGCCACCTGCCACAGGTAACGGTAGCCACCTGCCACAGGTAACGGTAGCCACCTGCCACAGGTAACGGTAGCCACCTGCCACAGGTAACGGTAGCCACCTGCCACAGGTAACGGTAGCCACCTGCCACAGGTAACGGTAGCCACCTGCCACAGGTAACGGTAGCCACCTGCCACAGGTAACGGTAGCCACCTGCCACAGGTAACGATAACCCAACCTGATCCTGGCAACCACTGTGTCGCACAGTCTGGTGGACATTTTGTAATGCCCATAAATATAGGTTTCAGACCTGAACAAATCATAACTTTTTATACTAGTGCTTTCAGGTCGTTGGGAGTCGGTAATTTCTTTCCTATCAGACCTGAGTATTTGGAACGTTATAGTTTTGACAGCAGAGATGGGGATACCTAAGTCTAATTCAACTTTATCTTTGTTACTCCTCAG